GTCACAAGAAGTAACGTGTCGAAGGAAAGAAAAAAAAAAAAAAAAAAAAAAAAAAAAGCGAAAGAAGTTATAGTACGAGAAGCGATAAAATAAAAAAAAAAAAAACAAAAAAAAAAAAAAAAAAAAAAAAAGAAAAAGCGAAAGAAGTTATAGTACGAGAAGCGATAAAATAGTTTTAATGGAAACCAGAGAAGAAAGGTGGAAGGAAACAGCCTTGGACGGCCGTGGAGAGTTTCCTGAGGCGACGAAGTCAGTCGATTTCCAGAGATCGACCTTTCCCAATCCAAGGTCAAATTGGGAACGGCCACCTGTTACAGTACAAGAAAGGAAACACCGCAGCAGAAGGAAGCCGCTGAGAGTTGACAAAGGACACAAAGAGACCCGGGTCCTCGTTAATTCTCCGTCCAAGAGCAACCTCAGCCATCGCAGGAAGTAAAGATGCCTAGTGCAAATTGACAAACAGCCAAGACCTGTAGGTACGGGACGCAAGTGAATCAGGCGAGGACCCGGTGGAACAACCCTGAACCTTCGCGATGAGCCACGGGAAAGACGAAATGAGTCACGGCAGAAATCGATATTCCCAGTCGTACCTACAAACGCGCCCGGTCTTTCAGCGGACGTATGAAACTTCCCGTATACGTCGTTGATATATATATAAAAAAAAAAAAAAAAACGAAAAAAAAAAACAGTAAAAAAAAGGAAACAAGAGCAACGAAACGGCCGTTAGAACCCAACCTCAAAAATGTCAAATAGCTACAAGTTCTCCAACCTTAAAAAAGGAGATCAGTTAAAAGCATAAACACGCTCGAGTGAAACGCGCGGTAGCGTATATCCGTCCCGAGTACCCGAGGTACACAGAGTCAGGCGACGTACGCAAGCGAGCGACAGTCGCAAAAGTTCCACGTGGAAACTCGGCGTAGCCCAGTCACGGCAGGGTAGAGAAGGGAAAAAGGACCCGGCGTCGCCGTAGTACGAGCGATAACGAAGGAGGCAGATTGGCCGTCGGGTTACGTAGCCGAAGCCTGCGACGTAAGATACAACGAACGTTGGGTTTACAGGAGCCGACGGCTGGAATGGTATACGTATAGCCGGTTTTGCCGGCAGGTATAAAAGGGCCTAGGAACGTTTTAGGCCCTGTTCACAAGCCTCGGGAGACGTTGGGGCTTCTCGTGTTGACATCGTTAATCGTATACGCAGCTGTCCGTCGGATAGAAAATTCAGTGCCAATGGCTGCCACGAAGAATGCCTCGTGTATGACGGAGCAGCAGCAGGATTGAAACGCGGAGCGCAGAGAATTGTACAGGACGTGAGTGAAGGTGGAGAAGAAAATGGCGGCGGAACTTAAGGAAGATATATATATACATATAACATCCGTGCCACATTAGGTATAAAAGGGAAAGGACTCTGACAGGCCGTAATAAACGCTACGCGTAGACATGGACGTGAGTGTACTCGAAAAAAATAAAATAAAATAAAAAAAAACTTACACTTTACGTACGATTCTCTTTTACGTGCATATATTATGTAACTAAACGAACCAGTGAATAACCCCGCTCACGTTCCGTTCCCCACGCGCGTGTACGTACCGAAGAAACGAACCAAGGTTGTTGTCACCTTCCACTGCGACTCGATCAAAGCGTCCAGACGCTAAATATTTATCGCGAGGAGTCACGTTGATTAAATGTATTATTACGCGCGATCAGAAGGTAGCTAGTTATTAATGATCGTGACGGCCGAGGATATCCTCCGGACCACGTTCGCAACCTCCTTCGAGGATTTGGCGCGTCCTTTGTATCAGGCGAAAGCGCGGAGAGCTGCCCGGTGCGATGTGAACGTACCTTAATGCCAACAATAACCACGGGACTGAAACGTCCGTCGCGCTTACGCTTTGCTTATATTTGTAACGGACGTAGAGGAGGTTTTTGGTTTTCTTGTGCCTCGGCGTGCACGATGAACCAAGGAGGAAGAATGTTGGTCGGGGGTGTCGCTTGAGCTTCACCCCTCGGGGGTGAGGGCTGGACTTTTTTTCTCCCTTCGACTGGCCAGAAGGTAAACAAAAACATCGTACTGAGAGAACGGAGGGAATGTTATTGAATATATTGCATATATTTCGGGCATTTTTTTTATATATTGGATAGTCGAGCAAGACATTGTTTACGTGTGACCGAAATACGGTGTCTGTCGAATCTCTGAGAGGTGGCTATTTACGAGGAGGGGGGATCACGACTTTTTCGAATAAAATTCTTGTGGCACCAAAAACTTTTTGAAAGTGTCACCCGAGAGATATGGAGTTTCTTTTTGGAGTTACAGATTTTTATGAAGCTTGGTCCGTTGATTTTATGAAAAAAAAAAACAAACTTATTTGTCCAAAATTCAACTGTCTGAGAAAAAACAGTAACTGGAACTAAAGTAAGGTATAACGAGAGAGTCTAGTCAACGTATACATATACATGAAATGTCAATTGAACGTGAGCATGAAAAAAAAAATGGTCAAAGAATTAAAAATAGCAAAATTAGATAAGAGATCTTACTTCTTGAGATTTGTATACATGCTCGTTATATTAGAAAAATATGGAAAAACAAAGAGGCGTGAAGAAAGTTGACTCAACATTGGATAGGTCAGTGAAGCGAAGATACGACTCAAGATACTAAGATGAGCAATCAGCAGGTATTGTAAATAAAAGAAAAAAAGTCCAAACACGAGATAAAACGAGTGAATCCTGAAAATTCACGATAAACGAGCAACAACAAGTAAAAACGGTTTCTTGATGCCAGAGAGGAACGCGTGTGACGTTCCTCTTGTCTAATTAAAAAAAAAAAAAAAAAAAGTTTAAATAACGGACGCAGCCAGTAGATTTCATGCTTCGTAGGAAAACCGAACAAGGTTACAACAAAATTACCCATAATGACAAAGAGTAATGACACGTAGCATCGAATAAATTAAAAAAAAAAAAAAAAAAATGTTTAAATAACGGACGCAGCCAGTAGATTTCATGCTTCGTAGGAAAACCGAACAAGGTTACAACAAAATTACCCATAATGACAAAGAGTAATGACACGTAGCATCGAATATCCATGATTGAAAAAGGTCGAAAAGCCAATGGCGAGAGTGGCAGTAATATGGCGTCGTGGGATCCATCGGACGAACGAGAGAGAGAAAGAGAGAGAGAGAGAGAGAGAGAGAGAGAGAGAGAGAGAGAGAGAGAGAGAGAGAGAGAATCCATAAAGGAAACAAGAAAGGCCAGGAAAAAAATTCCCATAGCAGACAGAATTAATAAACGCCAATAATCGATTAGCAAAACATTCCCGCGTTAACGTAACCTCAAAAGAGCCAACGACGAAACTCGCCAACGAGAAAGCATTATTACATTAGGATATCAATCCGGTACCACGGCGTTACGCCACCGACCGATAAAAATAATCCCAGGATAATGTACAGTGACGTTTAAATAATTAAAAAAAAAAAAAAGCCAAAAATAAAAAATAAAAGGATCAATTGAACTGTCTCATCTAAATACCATATCGGCACCCAGGTCCTTCATGTCGCAGTAGAGAAAAAGGTCCCCCGGCGGTTTCATCCAGTCGCCTGTGTTAGCACCCTGGCCGTATCCCACGCCGAAACTCTCCACCGTCTCCAAGGTTCTCTCACCCCGCGTCGTCGACTCCGTGAAATTCACTGTTAACCCCGTGCCCGGCACACGGCACTTGGCACCCGCCAGAAACAACCACCACAGGAAGAAATGTGCACAGCGAGAAAAAATAGGAAAAAAAAATATATATGAACCCACGCGTATTCCTTGCCGTACGTTTCACAGTTAAATAAAACCAAATATTCGCCACCAGTGAATCCAAGAGAATACCGAAGAAGGATGCACGATAAAACAGTACAATCGAATAACAATCACGGGGCACAGCACGTTATTAAATTCAAAGATATATATACACACACATATACATACGTATTCACAAGTAAATATCCGCGGTCGACGAGCCGTCAATTAAATAAAGGTACACCGCCGCAACCGATTAGGAATATAACCTCTCGCGAGTTTCTCGTGCGTCAGAAACGACGCGGGGCGTCGCGACGACGTTTCAGAGGGGGGCGCGAACGCCGATTAACCACCCAGCACTGCCCGAGTAAATATGTAATATTTGTCTTCACGAAATATTTCTTCGTGGGGTCGACCAAAAGTCAACGATCCTCCTTGTTATCCTGAAGCACTGTCGCACGTAAACTGCCAATCCGTAATTGTCGTTATTAGTATCGCGCTAAACGATCCCCGGTATATCGATACAAGATTACGAAATTGCCAAGCGATAGTAGCAGCGACGATACTATCGACAACAACAACAAATAAGACTCGGTATCGGTGTATATACAGATCGGAGTGTCAAAGACAGTAAATAGGCATCGCTGTGTCTAGCTGGTGGGTAGCAGTGGCGTCAGGTTCGTGGCTGTCAAAAATGCACTGGCAGAAAAGCGTGTGGCTCTTCTGACGTTGAGTGTAAATCACCAAAAACACCCTGGTCTTCTGTCGCAGCACCCGGGGTTATGTGGTATCCGAGATAACGTTGCCGAGAGGAGGACGAACGAAGACGATGACGACGTATACGAATAAAAAGTTCCTCGCGTCACTGGTCTTCGAGCGTGTCCTATTCCTTGTTGGGTTATTCAAAAAATCGCAGGTGCACGACGCACATATACACAGCACAGCAACCGCTATTTACAGGAAGGTTCTCGAGCCGCGCGTTCGATTGCGTGCTACTCACGTCCGTTTTGGCATCGCGACGCGGCGTCGTCGGGCGCTAACCGCTCAGCGTCGAGAGTTCGTCGAATTTCGTTAGCCGGCCTGCTGGATGGAGACTGCCTCACGGCGAAACAAAGAACGACGCTCGATGGAGGCGCCGTCTGGCGGTACCAGTTGGTAATCTTGCTTCGTTCAACCCCACCATCGAACCTAACGACCAATCGGAACGGACCATCGCCGTCGATCTACCTTTGCGTTCGCTCCGCAATGTCCTCGTGAACATTTGACGCACGCCCGATATACATAAACCCTGGTGGCCCGTCGCTGCTACTGCAGGGACTCTACCTTTCCCTAGACCCATTGGTTTCCTCCATGAGAATATGCGACGGTGAGTGTTTCTGTTTTCCGTTCTTTTTATCCGGCTATACAGAGGTTATGTCGTTACACGTAAAAGAGATAAGGATGATTCTCTTAAGTTAAGCTACGATTTAAGAGGTTTTTACCAAATTTTCTATCCTTCTTTTCTCACAGTGATCGAAAGGTGCCACGGAATTTCGTCTCTACCTTGTTGCTGCTCCGTTTCCGGTTTATCCACGCCTTAACCTTCCGTTGGTCAGAGGGGGATCACTGATCATCATGTTAGCCTGGGTCTTGTCTATAATAAACACTGTCGTCGACTCTTATCGGCTATAGTCGCGTGTGAGCTAAATTGAGCATTGATTACGATCCAAGGCGGAAGACGTTTACGCCGTTTGTTTTTTTTTGGCCAATTTCTGGGCCGCGCGGAGTACACGAGTAGTTGGAGCAACCATCGCTAGATGGACGCTTGAAGAGGTAAAAATAGAAATTATTGAAATGGACGAATCAAAGGCCTCGACCGATTACTATGAAATATTCGTCATTAATTTTGAGAGTCGATATCAGCTGAAGAGCGATCGGACGCAAACTGGTAACTATATTTGTATGCCAGCAGCAGAGCATTAATGACGCGTTGTTATTATTTGCACAGGAAATACGTCGTACATTGTTAAGCCAGTACCACACCTCCAGAGGAGCAGAGCACAATTTCATCCATAACCCGACTACAGTGACGAGTATTCCCTTACGTTGCCTACAGTCAGGACACCGACGAGTACTCAGGCATGGCACCAGTAAGAAGTACAGAGGTCTGCGAAAAAAAAAAAGCCAAAGCGTCGCAGACCGCTTGTGCTTTCTACGAGTTCTCAGACCTCCATTGTCCGCTTCCTGGTGCACCAGGTCAGCTAGTGGAGACAGAAGGAACTTCTCGTAGTCGATGCGACAAGCACGACCCTGCCTCCTGGTGAGGAGCTCGATCCATAAATAATTAAGTTGCAGATAGACGTCGCACGACGTACAACATAGAATGTACACAGCGATCTCTATTTTTTCGTAAAAATTCGCAATCGCAAGCAGGATCGTCGCGACGCTTACAGAGACGTCAGGTAGCTATCGACGCACCATGCAGTAAAATACCAAACGGCTAAAGCCACAACGCATACGATCCCGTCAACGAAGTCGACTTGAGCGACGCTTTGCAGTCCGCGAACTCTGTTACAATTATCGAGGGACGTTACCTGCGTTACGTAGGAGCGTCGCGATGCTCGGCGTCCCACGTTTTGTTTCCGCGGAACAGAGGCGCACGTGGGAGCGCGAGCGAGCTCCGCGATAGAAATATAAAAGTAAACGGCTCGACTGACTTGGCGTATTCGCGCGCACCCGGCGGCGCGAGAGCTTCTCGCGTGGCGAAGGTCACTGCCTCGAGTGTCGAAAGAGAATGAGATAGAGAAAGACAGAATATACGTATATATAAGAGAGAGAGAGAGAGCGCGAGAGAGAGAGAGAGAGAGAGAGAGAGAGAGAGAGAGAGAGAGAGAGAGAGAGAGAGAGAGAGAGAGAGAGAGAGAGAGAGAGAGAGAGGCAGGCCAACGTCATATATATATATGCACGCGCACACACTAATCTAAGGCCGAGGCTGCCGCTTGCGCTTGCCAAACGGCCAAATCCTGGCCCTGACACGATTCCATGGGGACCCACGCGTCAGGGGCCGGGCCTTGCCGAGGGAGGTCCTGCTCAGATTCGTTAAATTTGGAGAGATATTTTGAAAATTCTCCAGACACTTATGACCGGCATTTCGGACAGGTCTCGCGTAACTGTATATTAATATTACGCCTTTCTCAGACTGCCAGTCACCGATAAGAATTTTAACGCTACCTAGCCGATCCTCGTAGCGGCCCGTGAATTTAATTTTCTTTCTTTCAATCGGATTTGTTAACCCTGATTGCCCGACGTGGGCGTAGGTGACGCGGATAAAGATATGGGTTTCGATCTGGGTATGGGAATTTCGTTTCCTTTTACGGCCTGTTCAAGGAATTCGTTCTTCTCTCTCTTGAAGAAGATACCACTACACGTTTCTCCGGGCATTCTGTAATGCAGACTTTGATCTCGATCCGCCGCTTGCCGTACGACGAAATAATCTTGGACGCGTCACGGGTCTGACGAGGGAGTCTACGTCATGGATATACGATATATCGTAAATGGACGCTGATGGCGTAATGACAGAGAAGGAACTTGGTAAGCTGTATGATGTAAAAATAAACGAGAAATGAGATTTCTTGTTCTATTTTCTCCGACGAGTCGAGACGAGTAGAATGTGTATTATTGACGTGGACGTTTACCTTTTTGCATGAGTCTGTCTTTCAAAATAAAGAACGCGACGGCAATAACAATGAAGAAAGGTAGGTTCAGGTTGAGACAGCTCCTCTGGCGGAATTACGAAATGCAAGTTTGTTTGTCACTGAAGTGACGCGGTGAATCCTTCAGGTGGGTATATGCTCAATGCTGTACGCAGTTGTGAATGGCAGCCTAATCTTCGAACTGAGAACATGGGTGCAGCATGTTGCACATGGGCGAACGGAGGCCGGAGGTTGATTGTGCATCTATCCAGAGCAAATTTTCGTGGGCGATCGAAGACGTAGGTTAGGAGTGGCGTGGGCTTTTATGGCTTAAGCCAGTTTGTCTGTACGACGCGTTCTTATAGGCTGATCTGTACCAAAGCCACCTGGAATTCGTATTCTAGAAACGCTAGAATCGAACTGACAGTGCCATCTACACTCTGTTTCCATTACACTGTTTTCGATAACGATCTTCTGCATTTGAAGGTAGTGACGGAGTCTGATTTCCATTTCCGGTCAGGGTGAAATTTGAGGAGGGTTCGAGGAATGTGAAAATAGTCCACCAATTTTGGACTATTTTTTTTTCAGTCACAGTAAGGAATGCTATTCTTTTGTGTAAAACGGACGCTTCGTATTCGATTTTGTAGTTTATACCTATTAATGGATGTTTGGTACTCACGTGGCCGTTTCTGAATTGTTGCTGCTGCTGCTGTTGTTGTTGTTGCTGCTGCTGCTGCTGCTGTTGCTGCTGTTGATGATGAAAGAGGGCCACCTGTTGCTGAGCTGTCATCTGATTGTTTAGGTACACGAGATGCTCTGCAGTTGGTGCTCCGCTCTGGATATAAAATATAAAGAGAATAATTAAAAGGGAAATTAATATTTTATTCTTTTTGCAATAACAGATGCATAAACGTATGCAAGATTTTCTGTTATTTTTTATCTAGAAATCATCGATGATAATAGAAATCAGGAAACGTATATAGAGTATTATCACGTGTATCCAGTATCATGAATCTGTAGATATAAGCATGTGCGTGTGTGTGTAGGGGGATGAGAACCAGTAAGGCAACTTGCAAGGATGCCAACTGAATAATACAGAAAACTCGCTTCTACCAATAAAAACCATCATTCTCCTTGCTATGTGCTTTGGTACGGTGCGACAGTTAAGCATTGCCATTTTTAAAATTGTATTTACCTTAAGTTGCATGGGGTGTATCTCATAGGGCAAGTGAACATTGTTCATTGCTTGAAGGCCAAGCTGTTGTGGTTGGCTCTGCTGCGGCACTCCCAGCTTAGTCATTGGATACTTCCATTTGTCGTGGTTCTGGAATCAATCGGTAAGACATAATAATATTATTAATGCCTAGTATTTTCGATAAAAGATATAGTAACATTTCCATAGCAATAATAATTTGTAAATGATCATTCGTTACAGTTGTGTACACCTGTATCAAAGTTACATATTAAAGAGTAATCAATACTTACATTATCGATAATAGCATCATCTGCTAAGGCCCAGGGTCTGGGCGGTTGTTTTGTTTGAAAACTGGAGGGTTGCGCATTAAATTCAGGTTCAGTTGGTCGCTGAAAAACATAGCTAACCATAGCATCGTCTTGAGTCCTACCGAGTCCCATTTGATGAGTTTGTCCAGGTTGAATACGTATTCCATCGCCACCAGCCATAACTTGAGCACACTGATCAGCCTCCTACGATGAAGAAAAAGTCGTTATAACAAAACCAACTTGCCCCTATACCTCAGAACTAACTTTAACTCTCTCGCAATAACCTCCATAAATGCACTATAACCAAACTAATCAAAAACTCCACCAAAATCTCAATAAAAATCCTCCTCAAATGCTCCAAACTAACCTCAACACTCATATACAATCTAAGTATCATGACTCCACAACAAAATAAAGAACTAAGAACGTGCAGCATTCCATGATTGGAAACAAAGGCGACCACAGGACGCAAGCAACGTGCAGTCCTATGCCACTCCAGAGCTAAAACCCCGCCGAGTAATGAAATATTAAAAAATGAAGACCTATTCCCACAACCAGAAATTCTCCAGGAACCAAACACAAGATGCAAACTAAGGGTAGAACAATACGTACAGTGGGTATGTGACCGTTGGCAGAGGGATGGTGCAGCTGTATGGGGGGTGCCGGCTCGCCCCCACCGCCGGCGCCGCTTCCCGCACCGAGCCACTTCATGTTCCTGTCAAGCACACCGCTTCGCAGAATAGAAGGTATATCCTCACTAAGGATGCTGTCACCTCTCGCTGACGGCGTCCGGATGATGCCACACAACGGCCTACGTAGAGATCATGTTCCTCGCTTGGCTAGCATGACATCTCGCTTTCCTCGGCAATGCAAACCCGACCAGTCAGTTGAGACTTAAGAAAGAGAGCGCCACTCGGCAGCAGAGCAATGGCAGGAGGATACCCGGCGCGCCGCCGCCTCCGGATTTTTGACAACACTCGTAAGAACACAAAGGCAGAGCCCGGATGCCGAGTACACTGTATAAAGCGTGTACATACACACACTCCTCTTTATAACCTTACTTTTCAGTTGTAACAATGACAAAAAAAAAACGAGTCTCGCACACCCTGGCTCCGAGTAAACCAAATGAATTTCACAGACTCCAGAAGCTATGGTCGAGTAAAAGAAGTACTAGGAACAAGTGCAGAACTCTCTCTCCCTTCTTCGAGTATAGCCTCTCTCTCCTTTCCTTCCTGATTAACCGTTCCTCTTGTTGCTCCTGCCGTATACTGATCTTCCTTTCTTTACCTCCTGGACGTCCCTTACGTTCTACGGTAAAAAGAATCGAACTCGAGTTACCGATTATCCGAGTTACTCTCGGTCTCTCCAATTAATTTTCCCAGTCTTCACGTTTTTTCCCCCTTTTTTGTTCTTTCCTTCCTTTCTTTTCTTTTCTTTTAGCCGACCGAGCACGGACGCCCCTCTTATGTGCAGGCCCTCACTGCTCACCAAGAGACGACGGACTCACGATTCTGTGGGGGGTTAACTATTATAATATACTCACTTTGTAAAACTAGCCTTAAATACACTATTCACACGTATATACAGCCGGGTACAGGATCGCGACTCGCGTCCACCGGCATTCGCGTTATTCGCGTGCTAGGATGCACCGCGATTTCTACTACCAGGGCCAGCTCCGCTCTCGACACTCGGCTAGAAACGGCGGCTGCCAACTGCCGACATTTTTCTTTTTTGCCGCTGCGCACGCGCCTTTCTCGCCAATATATATATACACACATATACGCTCCTCTCTCTCCTCGAACCTAGTATATTACAGGTACAGTCAAACTATAATATAGCATTGTATAATATAGTACAGTATGATACTTATACACCATACTGTACATTTCACATATTCTACACAGCCTGTTATTCCCTGTCTCCATACACGAATCCTCTCAGCGGTTCTTCAGTCCGTCCTCTTGGTACAGCATAAATGTAGAGGGTGGCTTTTGCATTCTGTGAATCTACAAACTCCTGATCCATCGGGGACACAAATAAATCTCATGGCGGTCAATCAGCACGTACCGAGTATCACTGGCGTAGCTGGAAATTGTGGTTGGCGGTTGTAGAATATACAGAATCACTAGAATTTTCATCACGTTACACAAGGTTATATTTAATAACTTTCTTTTGCGACGTCTCATACGGGAACTGGCGCTCCGATTAATTCGTAAGGGCGCTCAACTCCTTATCATTGTTTCTCCTGTAGGTATCTTAACAGTCCAAGTGTTTTTTGCGAACATCGGGAGGATGTTTTCCTCGCAGGATTTCAAGGAAGGAAATGTCGCCCTGCAAGGGGGACATAAGGACGGGTTTAAGGTACGGGATGTAGTAATAATCTAGTTGGCTAGTAGTGCGCTGAGGTTTGAGGTCGACGACGTTTAAAAACCTGAGCCTCGTTCGTAAGAGCCAGCCAATGTACATTCCTTAGGTTGGCCCTTTTTGTTTTTTTTTTATAAATCGCAAAACTCCTTCTCCAATTCTCTCTTTTGCTTCCGTTCTTCTCTCTTTTCGCGAAAGACTCAAGAAAAGGCTTTTAGAAATCAAATGAAAGTCACAAAGTGAAAGCACAGTTCGATACTCAAAATTTTACCAGCCTCCGATCCTCGTGTTATTTATGAAAGGACCTCGTACCCGGTGCAAAGGTCTGAAAAATATTTTAACTGAAAAGTCGAAAAATGAGCCGGCATTAATCTTTTGTTTTTTATAAAACAGAAAAAGAGAGAGACAGAGAGAGAAGAGAGTCACGATTCAACTGTAACATGTATGTATACATATACATATATATATATACTACTCAGGTAAAAAATATCATAAACCTGTCACTGGTGCTTTCCAAAAACGAAAATCTGCTAATTCAATTTTTTTTCTTTTCTTTTCTTTTATCTTCCTTCCATAATTCTTGTTTCATATTCTTTTCCAGCTTAGTCGAACACAATTTTCTCGTTCTATCCACACGCACATGCACGCAATCTCCCATACATTCCATGTACACGTCTGACACGCAACGTTCGCACAAATATTTCATTCGTTCGCAGTCACGATTCCTCACAACGAACGCCGATAGAAAACTGCCGTCGTTTAATTGTGTTAAAGGGGAAAAAAAAACTAGCACGATTCTTTCTTTTTTTGCAGTCGCCAATAGGGACAAATTCGACCTGAGGAAACTCACGCAAGCCGCCAGTACCGAAATCGTCGTCTACAAGAAAATACCAAAGGGGATGAACAGATTATCCGACATCCTGAGAATTAACTACGTATATATATATATATATAAATATGTAAATACCATGTAAATACGTGAAAAACAATGAGACGTTAACAGAAAACAACGTTACAAAGACGAAGAAAGAGAATAAACATGCACCAGGACAACAAGGAGTCAAAGGAAAAAAAAAAAGAAAACATCTTAGGCCAGTCGGGTTGCTTCTCTTATCTTGTGATAATAATATTTGTATAGCCATTATCTAATTGGTATGTTTCGTTAGGGCGGCTTGCATGAATTTCCTTTGTTGACGACGATACAAATATTATATATATATGTATGTTTATATATATATTTGTATATATATAATAATAATAATAATAAGTAACTATATAACCTAACGATCTTTCGTTTAATGCTTCAATAATATTAATCATTAAAAATAACTAAAACGATAGAGAAATATCCTATTGATAACTGTAATCAGGAGTCAGCTGTGTTTGTCTTGCTTTCTTCTTTATCTTTCTTTTTCTCTCATTTGTCCGTTGGGTGTACATTACGCTCCTCATATATGTATATATGCACGTATGTAAAGTATTTACAATTTATTTTTTTGTCTTCTTCCTTTCTCCTTCTCCTTTTCTCTTTCGTCGGAATTCTGTGATCGTTTATGGTGTAGGCACTATGGCTTTGGAGGTACCCTAAGTTGTTACGTTAGTGTACGCATCCTTAAGGGTCGTCGAGGGTGAGAAAGACTCGTCGGATTCAAAATGCGACACAGCACCTGGACCAGGACTGAGATCTATTGGATTTTTAATTTTTTTTTCACCCGTAAATTTTCAATTTGTTTGCATTGAATTTTTGTCTTTTTTTTGTGAATACACGGAATTTCGTATCTCAGGCCGGGTCCAGGAGTTGAACGCACGACGAGGTACTTTCTCCCGTTGGGACTCTTAATCAGGTCCAGAATAGTACTGTATCCTGGAAATATCTTAGACGATAATATTAATAGTATTAAATATGCGTTTACACGAGATGATAGCCTAGAGGTTTTGCTGAATTTTTTTCTTCTTTCTTTTCGCTCTTCATTTAATTTCTTATAGAGAATTGGTGAGTTCGTCCCCGTGTTCCTGACTCTAATGACGGATCAACAGCTGGTGCAGCTTCTTGTTAAATAGACGATAATATAGGATGGTGACGAGTATTTCCGTAATTTGTAAATCATTCGCTGCTTGCATAGACGAAGTGATTGATTCTTTTTTCTTTTCTCTACTCCATTCTTATACACGATCAGTAGAACGAGTGAAGAGTTTCGTGATAAAACGTAGCGTCAGAATCAAATAAATGTACAACCAAAAAGATACGTACTTAGTTAAAAAAAATGTAATCGAGTATCAAAAAAGAAAAAGTTCAGAAACAAGATACGTTGTACATGCGAGTTTTCATTGTTACCCTTATTTTTCCATTGTCTACCCTAGATTTTAAAGAAATGTACGTGAAAATTGTGAACTCACGCGTCATTTCAAGAATTGAATAAAAATTGTCGAAAGTCCTCGATATTTTTATAGAAATAATTATCTGTATCGAACTAGACGGACTTTTAAATTCATTATAATTCATTGAAATTCACAATAATCTCTCGTTGGTTGTACGTCCATCCTCTTTCTTATCTTGCTGCAATTTCTTCCACCCAAAAAGGATTTCTCTATTGAATTAAAGCAAAGTGTCTGTTTTCCATCATTGATGTGATATGTTCATCCTTGTGGCCCGTGGGAATAGGTTCCTTAAACACAATGGAAAGTTTGATGCTTGTGAAGAGTTCCATTTTCGGATTCGCTATTGAAATTATAATCTTCAGGGTTGAGATGGACGAACGGTGAAGCTAATGATAATCTGGATGACTGGTTGAGAGCGAAGCATGAATTCCGTGTTGTCTTTTCCTTTCTCAGTGGTATTTTAATTTCCTTTTATAGTTGTGGCCCCACGTTCATAGAGACCCTCCGGAGATGAACTCAGAGATTTAAAAAAAAAATTGGCGTATCGTTTTCGACGATCACGTTGGATCCTAGAAGGAAAAGTCGAAGAGATCCGTGAGGCCTTCCTCGGTGCCCAGGGAGAAGGCGTAGTCGTTCACAGAGAGTGGTGGTTCCAGGGACAGGAGAGGCTCTCCGAAATCAAGAATACTCATATCTGAAACAAATTAATAAGATATAAATATTATGAATAATTATGTCACAATAAGATTACAAATAAAAATCCATAGCAGTTTATAAGGTAAGCATAAATTCCAAAAGCATTGTCATTCCTTGATCCTCGTTTCCAGCTGGATTAATTATATATTAAATATACAGGGTCATCCAATTTGAACCTTATGTCTAGCTTGATAATAATTTCTGTCAAGCAATGCAATTTGGCAACGTTGTCCAATGGAGACGTAAACATTGTCTGTGACTTTAAATAAATGTAAACAATTGACACTCCATTGCCCTAAAAGCTTCTCTATAAACAGATCTTGAGATTTTTCAACGCAAACATGGGTTCCCACAATCTGTCATAAGAGTGCGGAGCAAAGTATCTGATAAATATTTATTAAAAGCACAGATTTATGAGATTTTTTAGTTTAGCATTCAAGCATCTTGAATCCTCCAGGTATAAAGTCTTCAAAGTGACTGAAATTCGAACGAACGATTCTCTCACTGAAATCACATTGTTTGTGCATTGTTTACGACGTTCAACAAATCTTTTTGCCACTATAAAAAAAAAAACGTACCTTCGCGCGACAATGCTTGATGTTGTAAACCGTTACCTAAGTAGAACTCTGCCTGTGATGTGATCTTCATATGTTAAACACACAAGTCACAGCCAGAGCTCCATCAGGGAACGGCTATAGTCCTCGGTCAAAAGAATACAGAGAATTTCAAAGAAGAAAAGCGACTACTTATGCTCGCAGGTAGAGAATGAGGAAAGAAAGAAGCAAGTTTCGAAACGTTCCTTTCAAAGTCGTCAAACTTCGCTCTTCAGGAATTTTAACTGTTTCTGTGAATTAACGATTCCCGAACGAGTGACTGAACTGCGACTCGAAAGAAACGCCTCAGGAAAACCACGTTGGCGATACAACGTGAAGAGTAATGGAGGAAGAGGGTTGAAAAGCGTATTTATTAGAAGAGATGAGAATTCGATAAAAGAAGCAGGAAGAAGGCAAAAAGGAATGTAAAAACGGAATATTGGTAAATGCAGGTCGAGGAAGAAAGAAATAAGAAAAAGAAAAATCATAGCGTGAATTTCTTCATGCTTAAAAAAATTTGTTAATTGAAAATAAAGAAAAGCGTATGATGGTTATATGCGCCCATGATACAGACAGTATAGAAAAGCATACGTGGATGAATTTTACAATAAAAGTACAGATTCTGAAAAGTCTTACAAAGCTGACACAAGAATATCATTTCGGATTGACAACTTTTCAGTCACTGCTTCGTTTCTATGTACATCACAAGCCCTTAATAGTAATTTGTCAGTACGTACAGTACACGAGTGACTATTCTATAAATCTTAAAAAAACAAAGAAAGCGTAATTCAGTTTTTGAGTAAAGCATAAATTGTAAAAACATAAGTAACGTAAAGCGTAATCGAGCTACTCGGCTGTCACGTTTTTCTGTCACCGATGATCCCTACCTGGCGTGGTGTTCTGATCCTCTGTCTGAAGTTGGAATCTGCCACCTCCCATAGGACCGAAATCATCGGATTCGCATAGGAGGGCATCCCTCATTCTTGCTGAGGAGGTAGTAGGCGTCAGAGTGATCGGAGCACTTTGATCAGGATTAAGATGATCCTCGACAGAGGGTACAGGTTCCACCTTGACGTCACCTCCGCCGACCAGCAGTTCCGGAGGGAGACAAGGCATCGGTGGCATCTTTGAGGATGTGTGGGACGTCGTCCTGTGTCCTGGACTCGAGGTCGACTTCACTCCAAGATCATCAGGACAGAGGAACACTTCGATCTCGCCATGTTGTGACCTCATGTGTATCTGGAGCTTTTTTTGTTGGTTCGAGCAACAGAGAATACAAGATTATATGTTTCTTTTTCCTTGTCGCAATCTCGTCAGCTATTATATGTTCACTACCTTTGGCTGACCGAAGGCGTTCACTGGCTGAGGAACGTGGAGGGTCGCTTCCGGTGGTGCCTTCACTGCCATAATTGCCTGATCTCTGTAGGCCGAGACTGAGCGTAAATCGTGATACGTCACGTAAGCGTATTGCCTGTCTGCGCAGAGTTCACGTAGATTTTTCTCAGCACCGTGAATCAATCTGTCCAGAGTGTTCTCCTTAGCCTCAAGATCGGCGACCTCTCTCCTAAGGTCAGCAATGTCGTTTTGTTCACCCGGCAGCTGTCCACCCCTGAAATAAAAAATTATATCCATGAAGATCCATCGGTCCACAGCCACGAAACACAGTGAGACCTAAGATTGAATAAAAAAAGTAAATACATATAAAATACGACTCACTTCCACTGAATATTATTTTTACTCTTTTTCTCCAAAATGCCAATCCCCTCCAGTACGTTTGTGATGTCGTAGATGCGACGTTTCTGCACTTCCAATTTCTCTGAAGCCACGTTCAGATCGACCACGCCGTCGTGACTGCTTTCCACCAGGTTGATAAATTTCTTCGTGAGCAAACTCAACGACGTGTCGTACCGTGTCCTCTCTACGGGCTTACCTAAGCGAGAAGTATCTGATTAAAAAAAATTGTCTTAACTCTACGTAACACGGATTAGATAATACTTGAGGAATACGTAATAATCTGAAATTACTCTTTGTGGGCGTGTGACTCGTCAATGAGTTGGAACCAGATCTTCTGCGTTTACCGCGTGGGGCCTTAAAGGCTGATTGACTTGGTCCTGTCGTACCCACTTCCAAGTTCAGTCTTCTCTTGACTGCCTGGACCGAAATCTAAGAACATTACAGAACAAACATGATTCGAATTTATCCAAACAAGACACTTGAGTACTATCAGCTTGTAAATTGTACCTCAGCTCGAGGCGGAGGCTGTGCTGGTCTCCTGGTTACTTGGTAACAAGGTGTCTGTCCATACTGATGATCCTGTAGATGAGGACTTGGCGTTTCCTCGGCTATCCTTTGTGCTTGGACTTCGTCCATGGATCCTTCGTCTATGAACTCTGTTTTGACTGCAATTAGAAAATTTGTATCAGCCCCGTTCGTAAAAAATTAAATACGATCATACAAGAGTCTAGAATATCTTACCCAATTTTGTTTGAGCCATGTCTGGCGTGACGGGTCCAGCAGGATCCTCCAGGATGACCTGTCTCCTGACACGAGGCATCCTGACGACTTTAACGAATCTGTCGATAAGGAAAGTGAATCAATGAAAAAGAAAAACGAAAATGAAAAATACACGTCATATCTAAGTAACCCGGGTCAGAAAGTCTTCTTGAGACAGTGGAGTATCGGTGCTACGAGACAGTTGAACCATAAATGTGCGATACACAGTGACTCGTATTTTTATCAAAGAGCCAAACCGATTAAACGTCAATGTACAATTTGATTGACCAAAGCTTGCCGAATCCTGGACACCAGGTCATCGCGACACCTAGAACATTCATGCTGGCGCCTGATCTCTTCCCCAGAGTAAACTGGCACCTACCAACCGGAAATAACGCCTATGTAAAAATTCACCCACGTTCTCCTCTGAATACCTTAAACGTCCACGTTATAAATAATTCCAACAAAAATTTAATCAAGCCATAGATAATGCTCCTAATCAAACTAGTAAATACCGAGTATACATTGTAACGATCATACTGATAATAAAAAGAAAAGAATTCTTTTTAAGTCATTCAATTAAAATGATTAACGTATAAAATATTTATCTCTACCCTAATCAATTAGATCCACAAAATCCATTCTGAATTCTACGACACTGGAGTGACTGCAGAGGTCTTGGATTTCGAGCTGGAGTAAAAGGGCGTGAATCCTGACCTAGGAATTCTACAAGGTCCCTAAAACCATAGGTATAAAGGGACGAAGGACCTGAGGGCGCCATTGGAATTTTTTTCATCTTCAAAATCGACCCCAACGCTTCCCAAACGATTTTACCGGTTTTCCCACCAAGCACCGCGTCGAACGATCTTCCCCTGCAGTAAAAGCCATCACCGGTGCCAGGATCCTCGCAGCATCTTCCCAGTCGCATATTGGAAGATCTGCAGTGTAACAGTCGACCATCCGAAATCTATCAGTACATAATCCAGCGACGTGGCAAGGGAGAAGGCGAGCCTGAAGAAATTCAATAGATTCCCTGAATCGCCAGTGAAACATGGGGGAAGGTCCTAGAAGCCGGGTATTTGTCTAAAAGAGAAAGAAAGAGAAAAATGGCTCCGGGTTTGAAAGCCAACGGAAAAGTATCAGCAACCCACCGCAGTAGGATCCTGAGGTTATCCCGTGTATGCGGCAACTACACAGAAGACTCATCCAACAGGAGTCCTAAATAATCCCAGGACTGGAAACATCTGTCAGAGGGAAATGAGAATGAGAAAAGATGGCAGAAAATGTAGACAGGCAAACGTACGTGTAGAAATGTATAAAAAAGAAAATTGACAGATTTCACTACCTGATTTCCACTGTCGATCAGCTGTTAAGGATCTACAGTAAATTTCCATGTACAAACGAATCTCCCAATGTTCCCCCGTCCGAATTTCAGTCCAAACGATCAAATCTTGAAAAGGTACGCAGCCACGTTGTCCATCCTGGAGTACCAAGTGTTTTGGTTATGTCGTACCACAACACTCATCTCGGACTCCACGATATATTTCTCATACGGTGTATACAAGCTCTTGCGAAGTTTTATCATCACCAGAGTGGAACTTCGCGTGGTTGATAATTTCGTAAACAATTAAGGAGCCACTAGCAACGTCGTACATAATACATGACACGAGGCGTCCACTGGCGTCGTGACGAGCGTGGCATGGCCGCTGGAATTTTCTCAAAGCGTCGTAGAAAAACGTGCAGGCCAACAAAACTCAATATTCTCATTGAACCTGCATTGCCAATGGGTTACGAAGAGGCTGCGGCAAGTTCAGAAGTATGAGAAGGTACATAACCAAAAAAAGAAGCAGGGTTTCAAAATTGCTCTAAAAAAACAAATGAAAACAGACCCCAGCAAAACAAGCGAGGATCACTGTAGAGCCTGAGAATGCCGGTTAGGATGTCTAAACAAAAAGAAAAAAGAAAGCAACTTCTGGAAGTCTATAGAGCCAACCTAAGAAGACCAAAGGGACCCTTGCTGCCTTGAACAGTTAAAGAATTTCCTGTACTTGACTGTTACGAAAAGGCAGGTTTACAATGTTCAGACTTAACCTGGACGCAAGATGTGGAGAAAAGGTCCAGTTTTCTAGTACGTCCTACGTATTTCGGTTTCCGTACCGAATCTTTTTCAAACTGTCTGTATGTAAACTTCTACGACGAAGACCGGTCGTGCTTAAATACAGACCTACGTGGCGATCAGCTGTTAACAATTAGGAGTAGTATCGAGCGTGGTTAGAGGAAGGACACGCCGGAGGGTTTCGCGCTTGTAATTCGCGAGCGCAGCCAACGGATCGAAGGGTAGAAAAGGGAAGGAGGCCTAGGGAGAGATAGCTAGAGTGAGATGGATATATATATATATATATATATATATATATATATATATATATATATATATATATATATAAAGTAGTAACAGAGAGGGAGAGTGAGAGAGGGTAGAAGGAACAGATAGAAAGAGGCCGATGCACCGGGATTTAAAGCCTTTAAAGAGCCAGGATAACGTCGCAGAAGCATTAGCCGCGTTAAGTAACCGTTAAACGAAAGCTCGAACGTGGAATTCAGGAGTTAGCGGCCCTCCTGGCGCGTGTAAGTACGGTCACGCGAAGTCCACGACGTTCCAAAAACGGTCTGGCAAGAATGAGAGACATAGTAGAGCGAGAGAATGATAGATAGAACGCGCGCGAGAGAAAGAGAAATCCTCCTCGTCCTCCATGGCACTCTTAGATAGAGATAGAATAATTGTTGCGAGAGAAAGAGAGAGAGAGAGAGAGAGAGAGAGAAAGAGAGAGGGAGAGAGAGAGAGGAGAGAAAGCGTAATCGTGATAGAGAATCGAGGTGAAAAAGGCACGGCGTGTAAGCTCGCCGGGCCCTGTCCTCTTCTCGAATGTAATGAAGTCCCAGTACGTTGGCTACCCTGAAAATTCAGGATCCTTGACACATAGAGAAGACCAGCTACCAGGAGATGCTTCAGTGTTTGTCGGGTAACCGCCCCAGGTCGAAGCACTGTGTGTCCACGCTCTTGAAATTCCCTAACCGTATTTGCGTACTAGGATCCTCTTTAGGCACAGGACGGGTTCTTGTATTACAGAGATTCCCCGGGTACCGGAGTAAGGAAGGATGGAGGAATTAAAGTATCGTACCCTGATCTAATATATGTATTACGCTTACTTGGCTCGGGTGGTGGTGCTGTATTTCGAGACGGCCCTCTTCCGGGGATCGTTCCTCCTGGTTAGAGGCTCCAAACGCGAGGCATTCTCGTGCTTATCCGAGGAGGTATCCTCTCTCGGAGCAGGACAGGACAGGCTTCCCTTGTGGAGTATCCTGGGGTCGTGCTTGACAACGCAGTTTGGCGACGATCTTGTGTATTATCGTCGTTGTCGTCGTCGTTGAATTCAGTTCTAGCTCTCTCCGCTTCCTGTCTCACTCTCTCGCTCTCGTACGTTAAACGTGTCTCTCTCTCTGCCTCAGGCTCTCTGTATTATCGGTACTCTCTCTCTCTCTCTCTCTGTGACCCTTGTACAAAATTTCTTAAAGTTTCTTTCTGTTCTCTCTTTCAATATCTGTCCCAGTACACGTATTTTCCGTGTTCTCTCTGGCTCTTTCTGTGTTCCTTTCAGTCTGGGCGCTCTCTCGGTGCCTCTAGCGCGGCCGAGCGGTGTCCATTTTCTGGCGAGCACACGGTCCGAGAAATCCTTCTGGTGTGTACGAACCAGTCCAGGAATCCTTATACGAAAAAGCCCGTGACACTCGCCACACCGTGGGCTTCAAGATGAGCCCAGTCTCGACATTGTCGCTACAACCTGGCGATGAGAAAATAATCCTCTCCTGGGCGCTAACACGAGGCCGGCTCGTGAGCTGGGTGATGGGCTGGCGCGCTGGCAACTGGCTAAGCTACGGGACAGATAGAAGTACGTTCACGGTAGTCTTGGTGCCGCCTATCTTTGTAGTCAGACGTTCGTGGACGCGTACGTGTGCCGGCATTGGCCATCTGCCGGCTGATTGGTAAGTGAATGCGCGCCAAAACGGCCTCTTGTATTTCCCGCAATACGTGCTGCCAACAGTGGGCGAGGAAAGTCACCGTATCTCGACGTTTATTTCGCGCGAGACTCTGCAACTAATTGGTTTTCTATCCTAGCACCGAGAACACAGATCAATCCCATTTGCAGTACGATTTCATATTAACACTTGACACTCGACTCCAATTGATATGTTTTGAGGTTAAACTTTTGATAGAGGGCAACATCTCCTTTCCTATCAGGATCCTTATGCTACGTTGGCAGCGGGCCCTCCCGGCATGGGCTAACTTCTCTAAAAAAAAAAAGAACGGTCAGAGTACTCGCGAATTATGTAATTTTCTCTCTGCTCTTTGGACACTTGAGATTCTACGATATCCGTACACAGAACGCTTGGTCGATTTCTTGTTTACGGGTCCTATTGCTCTGGGACTGATGGGATCCCGTTCCCTTCGGTCCCTTGGACGAAACTAAGCGGCCGGTTATTCGCTCCTCCGCGGTAGGGATGTTAGCCTGCAGGGACGTAGGATTCTGGGGCGCCTGGCGCCCGAAATCCTGCATCAGGACGACTTACTTGGAAGCCAAGAGCCACCGCCCTTTTTTCTTGTGCTATGCCTGTCGATCCTATGCACTGAATTCCTTTGGGTCTTAATTCTTTCTATTGATGTTAGATTGCGCCCTTTATTTGGACTTTTTTTTTTAATTTTTCGTAATATAATTCTCATGTACGATTGTCACAGGGAACGGAGCTCGGAGGTGGTTCTTTCGAGTTTTGGTAATTTCTTTAAACAGATATTTGGCACAGCAAAGAGTTGTCATGAGTTCTAAGAATTCTGCAAGATAGAACCACGTTTATCCACAAGGATTGTACGGTTTTGCGAAACAAACGAAAATAGAATGGGCGCTATATCTCACTGGTTGTTTATTAAAGTCGTAAGGCGTCGCGACATGGATAAGGCTTACGGTAAAAAAAGAAGAAAGATGTAGGATAAAAAAAGATGAAATACTCATAAGCATTTACCCCAGCCTCCAGGAGGATCTCTTGGTACCCTTGAAAGGGTCCCAGGGACCCCATGGGTATTTCGAACACTCCATGAAACACTTGGGAGGTTAAGGATGCAAGATTTCATGGGGCTCTCTATATCCCATGGTGAACTCGTCGAACCACCTTGCTCTCCACGCTACAGGTCCATTCAGTAATTATCCATGTAGAACAGATACGTGAAACGTATTAGCCGAGCAGCATTTTGTCCTGAATGAAATTTAATAAACTCTAAATATTATTTATATCAGAGTATATACAGTATAATGAAGCACGTAGTTACGCCAGTATTACGTATCCAGTTGACCCAATAAGATCCAAGGATCAGTATTCGATTTATACTCCAAGTGCAAGATCTACCCAGAGTAAGGAGTGTTCAGGACATGACCTTAGACCTGGAACGGGTACAGCCGATCATCGATTCCAGGCAGGTGTAAACGTGGTGTGCGAAGGGTCATTACTCTCGCTTTACTCACGAGTAAGATCCATGAGGCCCTAACAATTTCTTCGAGCTCTGAAAAGTGTCTACAGGGTGCACCGTTCACAGTGATACGTTCCTGCTTCAAGCAGCTAAGAAGGGGGGCCCGGTGTTTCTTTCGTAACGTATTTATTTGAACCCTACGCAACTACAAAAGGCCTGTGCCCTACGACATAGGGGAGGCACACTGTCTCCTCCTTTGGCCTGTCCCAAGTGCCACCCAAGTTATCCCATCGGTTTAATTTGTAAAAGCGTTTCCCAAGCGACGCCATGTCAAAAGTCCAAAGTCAAGAAAGCCGAATCAAGCCTTTGCAGAAGTCATGGATCCCATCCTCCTCCTCTTCTTCCACCACCATCATCCGATGCTCATATATCTACTATCACGAAGACCTCAGGTCGGTCCACTTCCGGCTTGTCGAGAATCTGCATCGCCGAGTACGTGATCGCCTTCACTTCCGCACCCTGGGAATGCTTCCCAATCGAGAACTCCTCGCCTACGGCTATTGCTTTTATCCTGTAGTTCTCCCGGTCGAATTCCTTGATCTTCACTTTCTGATAAAAGGACACATGTGTACATACGTACTTCTGTTAGTTTTTCCTGCCTTCTCATCGTGGACGGTAGTAGAAATAATCATAGGGATAGACCAGGGAAAGGAGGAAAAGGGTGGCTCGGTCTTGTTCTCTAAATTATGATAAACAATTACATCACTAAAAAACATCTAGAAGATCGTCACAGTCTGAACTTAGGTATAAGAATGCTGAATATGCTGATAATCGTTTTAAAATCGTACTCTTCCGCTTTTATCCAACGAACACTATGTTCTACTTTACTGGAACGTACCCTGGCGACAATGAAGGGCTCTGCACAGAACATGAAGAGCAACTCGTCCAGAAAGTGAAAGAGTAGACTCTGCAAATCGTGTCCTTCGGCTTCAATTTCATGCACTTGCAACATGTCGACGCGTTCCAAATCCGTCATGTATCCAAACATGGCTATGGCACATTGTTCAAACGCCTCCTCCAAACTATCTCCCCAGGCGTGCAACCTAAAGTATTAAAATTATGCATCACATAGAAATAACTTCCACAGCATAAATGAATCATACGAACACTCTATTCTTACATTTCCACAGAAAAACTTCACGTAAATCACCATAAATTAAACTTTTTTCAAATTTCCACCGTTACACGTCTGTCACGTAGCATCTATTTGATTGCCCATAACAATATAAATCCTCAGAAGAAGCATATATATTTATTTACTTACTGCACGTCCGCGGTGTGATCCAGATCTGCAAAAGAAACAGAAAATTTCCCGGTTTTACTTTGAAATTAATACTGCGTCTTTGATTCGGCGCATATAAACACACTGCGCCGGAAGCACACGAGGTTTTGCTTCAAGCACACCCGGCAATCTTTGACGATCTCTCATGATTTTATTAATGCTTCAATCAAACTTAGGGATAACGGACTAGTAAGGTTGCTTGGATATTATAAAAGCCGCCACTATCTACTCACATTCGTATTTGACTGGCGGTATTGCGAAATCCTCGTCGGTTAACTCCTCCATGATCGTTCACAGCTGATCTCTCCCACGTGAATCACTAATCAGCTGTTTCTCTGACAGTACGGATCAATGGCGTACTACTATTACAATTTTGTTTTCCTTTAGATAGGTGGCAGCACTTTCTGGCCTTGCGGCAGGGTCACGAAAATCTTTTACCGACGACGCTGAGATTACGAGGCTAGTACAACTGGTTGCCGCATTTCAGGCGTCACTGTACCTTTTCCAGCATCCTTGATAATAGAAATTGAGTAGAACGGATTGCCGGTCTGCAGGCGTCAGTTGCCACGTGAGTCCCATCACCTGCTGTCCTTTGTGAAATCTAATAAAAGACATAGGCCCTTACTCATACCTCTCTTTTAGCGTTAAGAGACGTCTTTTATCGACTGCTATCTGCTGTCTTTTAACGACTAATAGACGTGTCTTAACGCTAAAAGAGAGGTATGAGTAAGGGCCATAGTTTACTTAAGTCTTTGAGTTTCTTGTGCGTGATACAATTTCGTATCGATACTGTCTTGTCACTTGTTTACACGAATGCTTGTTGCACGCGCTCACTTTGTCACCGACTAGAAAAGGAAAACGTACATTTAAATTAACTCGCGTTGTACTTAATTTGTTTCTGCGAAAGATCTGTATCTAGAATACATGAGCTCGTTCTGCGTGAGCTTCGAATGTGTTTGATTTTTTCAGATTGACAGTTTTCCTCACCGTTTCTCCCCTCGCATCACGGAAACTTGTTCTCCATCTTGAGCGAGCCAAGGGCGTCCGCTTTGACAATAATACAATCTTCATTACATAAAGATGAGGATGAAGTGGCTGCTAGATGAGCAAGGAAGACTGCTTTTTATTTATTTGTTGGTAGCAAGTTTGTAATGGTAAGAATCCACAGGGTCATGGTTGACAGCTGCGTCTTTTCAATTATAACAAAATGCGTAACGGAGTTGACTCAAAGCACCGTTTACAAAATTACACTGTAGTATAACATTTGAATGATGCGCATATCAACGTTGTCTGGATTTTTTTATGTCTGGCTGCTCTAAAAACTGGTTTGATAAAATGCCTTGAAAGAGAGGCATATACATATGATGTATGTCAGTAGTTTTCGTTGTAGGATGAGTTCATCTTTAATAATTGGTCCTGCTGTGTTGTCGGTTCGTGAATTTACTCGGGTATCAGCGTGGCCGTTTTGATCCTGTGCAGGTTTGAATTTCTATTGCTCTGCTGACATGACTCTCCTTCCACAGAATGACTTTAATGATATGCAATTTTGCAACGTAGCGCGCTCCGGAGTCCTTGGTCGGAAACTATATAAAGAGAAGGCCTGATTGCCCCGTAGCTATACATTTTTAAGGTAACATCCACACGATGCGGTCACTCAATTTTCTTGCTGCAGCCTGCGCGGTTCTTCTCTTGTTCTTTGTTGCCGTACAGAGCGACGAGGATATTTCGTTGCGTAGGTGACACTTTTCATTCGTTTGAATATCTATCCGATGGTTATTGCAAAGTGATCCATTTTTGTTAAATAAATATTTTAATATTCTTCTGTGTTTTTGGTACAGCCAAAGAAGTGAAGTCATGCAGGAAGAGCTCCAATGACTATTCCTCCTGTCTGAGACTTGCCATACAGGAGTCATGGCCAGTCTTCATGAAGGGTGAGTATTTTGCATTTTGAAAAGCGAATAAATATTTAAATTTACTCAATCTGTTCTTTCTTTAGGTATTCCTGAATTGGATCTACCAACGCTGGATCCTTACTTCATATCCCAGGAAGAGAGTACTTATGAGAATGGTGCTATAAAAGGAAAAATCGTTGTAAAGAACGCAAGGAATTATGGCCTGTCCAAGGCCCAGTTTCTAGCAGTGAGGCCCCAACTTCAGAATGACTATTTCCGCTTGGAAGTTGATGTCGAGATACCCAAAGTCTTCATCGAGGGCGATTACAAGGCTGAAGGTTCCTTGGAAACTTTCCAAATGGGAGGAAAGGGTAATGTATAATTGATTATAATTAATATTCTAATTACTGAATTAGTAACAGCGATACTTATCAATCATCTGATCTAAAGGGTACTTCAATATCAGTCTTGAAGGGGTGATAACCACCTGGAACATTGAGGGACCAATTGTCAACGACAGATGGCAAGTGGAACACTTCACGGTTCTGCCAGAAGTCAACAAGATGCACGTCTACTTCACTGATCTCTTTAATGGCAATGAGAATTTGAGTTAGTAGTAATTTAATTCACAGTGCGACTTGAACATTGTTTTAAAACAAACTAATTACCAAATTATTCATTAATTTCACAGACAGAGCAGCCATGAGCTTCGTAAACGAGTACTGGTCAGTCTTGTATCACGGAATGTTGCCGTACGTTTCAAAAGCCTGGGACGAAGAACTGACGAAGCTGGTGAACCGCATGTTCTCAAAGATCTCATTTTCCAAGACTTTTCCATAATAAGACTCTCTTTATTTAAGTTTTCAAGCACGCTCATTCTCTTGACGATTTAATCATTCAAGAGACCAAGATACACTGAGCTTTTCTTTTTTCCATTAAAATACAGTGTACGTAACTGTGTTCAAATAGACAATAAGAATGACTAATAAAGTTAACGCTTGCCAAGAATATATATGCTAATACCCAGAGACGCGCCTATACTGAGAATAAGCCAATAGATTATCCAGAATCTAATACATTAAACCAGACAACGTTCTAATAAGATTTACAATAAGATGCCGGTAATCGAAAAACCGGAAATGCATGAGTTCACGAAGTTCTACCGTTACGGTAGAAGGAAAGTCTCAACGGGCACATGTCGCAACAATTGATTAACAATTCCTGCAAAGAGGCCGGACAATTTTCTTTTCAATTGCGGCTCCATAGCTTTGAGTACTTCCTGCCCATTTTCCTTGAGGAATAAGTTCGTTGCTTCCGCTAAAAAAGAATAAGGTCAAACAAATAACAAAGACAGATAAAATATTCAGGACATTCACTATCAGCAAATTCCTTGCAGCTGCACATGCCATTGCAAAATAACGACTTACTCAGTATACGGTTATTATTGAATATCTTGTGGACCCGCATCATGACGCCACTGACAGCCAGTTCAACGTCCAGGTTCTCAACATTCAAATAAGTTTTCCCTTGATTAATCTTAGTAGACAAGCCGCCACGGACAAGAGCCCTGACATCGGTGAATTTCGCATGAAAAGTTCCGTTTCCGTTCGCCGGTAAAATAATCAGGATTCCAGAGCTAAACCGAAAGTGTATCAGTCATCGAAAGTACCAAATGACGGCCAACAGAATAAATAATGAAATATTAAAAAGCCAAACCTAGAGTAATGAGCGTCTAACACAAGCAGCGGCATTCGAACTACAGCTTGGAACGGTGAACCCAGCCTGATCTCGTCAACCGTGAAGTTACTAGCACCCCTGACAAACAGTTCACGCAGTTGAACCTTGTAGCCGTTCTTACCACCTGTCAGAGACAGCGTGAGCTCGTCCATCTGTCTCAGGAAGACCACAAGGCAGAAACAGAATTAAGTTCCTCATTAAATAGCTATATACAAGGATTAAAATAAATAGGAAGAAAAGGACTGATACCTTATAAAGAATGTATTAAGGAAGATAATATCCTTAGGGCAAACTCACACGAAATGGTTCAACGGATGGTAATTCAATTTCCGGAATCCCATGGCTCAGGTACGGTCTTAGATGATGAAGCGCGCCAATCAGGCACTTTTTCAAATTGGGATCACTCCTTGAGCATTGCTTCACGTACTCCGCTGCGAATTATACATGCTCCAGGTAAGTAAGAGTAGGTCGGTGACATAGGTTGCAAAAGGAGTCGGTTGATGACTGTTCTCGGATTGAGCAATGCTTTTACAAGGTACAGATACAAAGTAACTTACGCGTTGAATCTCCATAGGTACTCTGGCTGACGAGGAGTAACAGAAGTGTGAAGAACATTTTTCGTTGATACAATCAAGTTCAGGTATCAGTCACTCTTCGACCTGGCAACGGATGCTGGTATTGTTTCTGAAGAATAACAGTGAAAGATCAATTTCAAGATGGTTCTTAACGTTAGAACTGTGGTGGGCGATTGGCAGATGCAGTTTGTTGCAGCCGATACTTTCACTACTGCAACAAACGTGCCTACCTCTTATTTCCTTAGAGTTATATACATATGCACTGTGTATATATACTGAGGTACTTATTTACTAACCAAACCAAGTATTTCTATGTATACATACCATCTCTATGGTTAACGATAATTTCGTGGATTTCAATGTATACATAATAAGCTTCCTGTGCGGTTATCATGCGATGGCTTTGTTTAGAAGTTTGCTTTGGTAATTGTTGGTATTATGCAAAAAAAGGAGAGAAATTATTGTTAGTTTAAATCAAGTGCAGTAGGGTATAATTTTTTTATTTACTGGGATACCTTGTTCGTGTGGTTTCATGATAAAATTCAAGAATTTCTCCTCGTACTTCCTCCTCCTTTTCACGGATCTTCCTTTTAGTACTTGACCACTACTCCATCATTTTATTTACTATCTGGTTGGTCAGTTTTAGTATAGTGAGGGGAGGGCACCCGAACCTTGCGCAATCATTCTCGAAAATCAACGGATCAACTTGCTCGCCTTCCAGTCTCTTATGGTAGATACATTGCTGAGAGTGAAAGCGTAAGCGACACGCGTTCTTAGTGCCCCAATGGAAACGTGCGTTACTTCTGGATCAGGACGACTTGGGAAACCTCACACGAGAGCTTCACTCCTGGTGGACATGTTCTTCGGGACTGGAGTCACAGCACTTCCGGTGGTATTGTTGCTGCTGGGAGACATTGTTGGATTTTCGTCTGGAGAATTTGGTAAGTGTCCGATTATTGTAATTTCTTATATGATTGGTAATTAACGGTTATGGAATATGAAAGGATCGAATACCTGGATTTAATATTGACAGTGAATAAATCCTCAGGGTGGGACTGTCGTTTGATAATCTTCTTACTGATAATTAAAATGGATTCAAATTATTTTAATAATTCATAGACGTTACGTAAATTTCGAAATGTCAAACAGTCTAAACGACCTTCTCTTCGAAGTGAAAACGAGGGAATGTTTATATAATTTCGCGCAATAAGACAACAACATGAAGGAAAGTATTTTCATGGCTTTCACTAAGAATATAAAAATCTGTTTTACAGGTTAAAAAGTTTGATTCTCCTCATTAAAAAAAAAAATAAAGATATCTCTGACTAAATTTTCGTTTAGATAGGACCATGCGTAATGGATGCTAACAAAATTTAATTCATAGGAGTGAAAGTGGTTTAGACGGTTAAGCTGAATCATTCTGTAGTAAGTTTTTTTTGTATGGAACAATTTTTACTTCTGAAGATAAAAATAAAAATAAATGATCAATCACACACGAAATCATTGAATGATCATACGCTCTCGTGCGTACACTGACGCGAGTCTTTCTCTCTGGTAAATTCACTAGGATTTCTTTAACCGTTCTCCATTCTAATTACTCATCTCTTATACCCCGTAGAGGATAACTTCAAGAACTGTCATCCCGATCTACCAGGATTCGATACTTGCGTTCGCGAAGGTCTGAACGCCATTCGTCCTTACTTCAAGACGGGATTATCAGAATATGGCGTGGAGCCTTTTGATCCTTTCTTTGCAAGGGAAGTGAAAACATCACGCGGTTTACCCAATCTTGGTTTTACCGTAACCCTCAAAAATGTTACAGAAAGTGGATGGTCTTCTAGCAAAGTAACAAAATTCGTGAGCGATCTTCCAAATTACAAGGTGAACCGATTTTACCTGAAACAATAATAAATAATTGTTATTTGACGAATTTCTATAATTATTATTCATAACAGGTGAGATACACTCAAAGCTTCCCTGAGAAACACCTGGCTGGCGATTACGAGTTCACTGGTGCAATTCTGGGCTCACGGATGAACAACAGAGGAAAGTTCACCTTGACTCTTTGTAAGTTCATTAGAAATATACCGTTGTGTCGATTAATACTTTCTCTAATTTTCAAGTGACTTAGCAGCTGATCAAATATGGCTGAGATCATCCTCGAGATGTCTGGTCAGGAATTAATATTTCTTATAATACTTGGTATACTAAGTCGGTAATAACCGATCACTTCCTTCTTGAACTTCTGACCTGAATAGAAGTAATGAATTTAGCGACCTGATTATAAGAAATTATTGGTCCATAAGTGAAATAGTTTTAAGTGACAGATTAAAAAGTTTAAGGTCCATAGCAAAGTTTGCCATTGTCAATGCTTTTTGTGCCATTGGCAAGAGTTCCCAGCATCGAACACGTGCTCCTGTCTGTCACTTTGAACTATTTTATTCATGGACCGACTATATAAGTAGCTAGGTACCTGGTTCACAAGAGGAATCATGATTTGGTTTCAGACGACTTGATCCAGACGACGACCATCACGATGGCACCCAATTCAAAAATTCAGGTTCGCGTAGACGTTCAGTCAATTCGTGACCTGGCCTTGCATATTTCACATCTCCTTTACGGTCGGGAGGTTCTGGAAGCCATCTTAGACAGGATCATCAATGGCGTCTGGCAACCAGGATTCAGCGTCACCAGACCAATCATCAATGATTTGGTATCAAATGCGTTCACTGACATTTTTGGTAAAGCTTTCCAAAAGTTTCCTTTTGAGAAAATCATCCAGACTTCAAAGAAAAGTACCAGGAACAATGCGGTACCAGCTTCCTGAAAAACGTGGTGAACCAGTATTATAGTGTTCTCCAGGTTCTCGAATGCTTAATAGAAAACTTCAACGACTCACCAGAATATGAAGTGGGTTAAGAACTTCTTAAAAATTCCGTCTGCGTGTACCTATAATTTGTCTGTTAAAAACTATACATTAAATATGCTACCAGCATCCGGTAGCAGCCTGGTACCCCACTACAGGATCTTTCAAAATCTCACGAACAAGACTCAAACCGGCTTTTACAGTTGATTCTGAAAAAAAGTTATTTTGTACATACCATTTGTAGTATATGTAAATAAATAAAATAGAAGTCATCGTCTGATTTAATATTAAATCTATTGACTATTCTGATCTTGATCTCACACTCTTACGCAAACGTCTTCCTTGGTATTCAAAACAATTCGGACCATCTATTACTGGTACTATTTTATAAGTATAGTCAGCTCCAGAAATTCTTACGCCTCTGAATTCCAAGTACACCGATAATAATTCTCAGATCAGCAGATCCCCACGTATAAGCAGAAACTATTAAAGAAGACAGAATTAGCAATGGCGAACCGTGACAGATCATTTCTCTCGACTGAGTAAGGCGGTTTAGATTTTTTCTTACCTAGTTGTCAGCTTCCTTTTTCTTTTATTTACCCACAAAAAAAAAGAAGGAGAGTAGGTAATAATGGCGGTAGGTGTAGGTTTCCTCCTCTACTCAGGAAGCTGCTTACCTTGAGATCCTCTCAAGCAATCCGGTCTTTGACCCCACATTCTTCTGTCACCTCTATGGATTTCAGTTCCCTGCACATTTACACAATACAAAATATCAGACTGCGATACCAAAAATTAATCTCCATCAGTCACAAGACACAAAAAACAACAAGGTACACTACCGGTGAACATGGTGTTCCCCAATGATAATTTGCACTAGGTCCCATAAGGTGGGGCCTTATAAATATAATCTAAGATTACAACCGTTTGTTTAACGGGCCTGAACATTATTAATTAAGTCATGTACTACAGCACGTGTGACGTCTATTCACATGACGTATTGAACGCTTTCTTCTGTAGTGCGACTTACATTTTTATGGTCGATTATCGTGAAATTGCATTTCAAATTTCGCAACAGCTATCACTCACAGTGGGCCATTTATCAGTAGCGAAATTAATATTGAATTGCGATGCTTTAAGAACCGATTAGATAATTTCCTTCCACGGAAGCCCATGAGTACCAGGATAGCCGTATGATCAAAATTGCACTTATTGGATCTTTATCGTTTTGATATGTCAGTCCCAAAAATCAATCCATTCGTTTCACAGTTAAATGTAATATCAAGTAATTTGTTGCTATCGCTTTTGAAGAAAGTCTCTGGGTCGTCAGGACCCCACTCTGTCGAAGTTCGACCATAGCGGGGGGCAATGTCAAGGCATTATAAGTTCCCTGGCATCAGGAGAGTCCGGTCATTCTTCGTGAAGAAGTTCAATAGCACTGATTGGTAGGGTCCAATCGGAGCGAAGTGATAGAAGCAGGAAGTCAAGGAAGCATAAGAAGACTTGAAGATCAGGAAGATTAACATGAAGGGTGTTCTTATACTGTGTGCTTACTCCTGCTTCTTCCTGGCAGGAGTCGATGCCATCGGCAAGTACAAAGGATTGGAATTCCTGGAGCCATGTTCGCGACATGATCCTGAGCTAGAGAGCTGCTTGGCCAAATCCGCCAACGTCCTGACTGAGCATTTTCGTCATGGTATGGAAAACAGTTCACATGAAATTATTATTAATCTTTTATCAACATCATATAGGGTGTTTAATTGCTTAGCAAATACAATATCACACGTAACACGCCTGTTGTAATTATTTACGCATTTTGTTATTTCAATATAACAGAGTTCCCATTGACGTTATTTATATGAGCGCAAAATTACAATTCGCATACAGGGTACACGTATTATTGTGGTTGCTGAATTTATACTGAATTATCCATACAGTTTATACTCACGTGTAAAATATTCTGCTCGGACGAGCAAAACTTGGGAGCGCAAAAAAGCAGGTTATAACGGTGTATTTGAATGGTTACCCAGTGTCCTACATTTCACTCAGAGTCTTGGCGATGGATGAGCATAGTAGTTCCGTCACGATTTGACGGGCTGAAGTACTTTATTAGTGATCTGGAAAAAAATTGTTTGATAAAATACACATTTTTATAAAAACTCTGAATGATTTTATATTTTGAAAAAAAATAGTATTTTCAGATTTTTGACTACAAGCCCGTATCCTACATAGAATAGAGAACACCAGATACGAACAGTGAAAGTTCAAATACGAATAGTAGGCGACACACTAACGTTTTGATAAACTATTGTCACTAATAGTATCGTTCGCCATTTTAGGTCTGCCACAGTTGGGGTATTCTGAGGTGGAGCCAATAATACTTGACGAAGTGCACATTGCTCTTGGAGGAGGTCCCGACGGTTACAGAGCCCAATTTAAGGACGTAGCTGCTAAGGGTGTCTCTGCCCTGAGAGTAACAGGTCTCAGGGCGCGTCTATCCGACGATGAAGTTCAGCTGCAGCTGGCCCTGAGCATTCCGAGAATCAGGGCAGCCGCTAAGTACAGATCGAGTGGGACTCTCATTCTGGTCCAGGCCAGTGGCGCTGGGGATTACTGGGGAGAATATGGTTCGTTTTAATAATCATTAAATCGCGTACCAAGTCATTGTACAGAGGTAATTTAACGTACCTGAAAGTTTTTTGCATCTAGAGAGTTTTGCGACTTGTATTAGCGCTTGTGTTAATTTGGCCTCCCGACTTTCACTGCTAATTTTATTTTCAAAGAAATTCTTTCTTCCCGCCATTGCGCTCAAATTCATTGCTGCCTGATCATAGGCAACCAGTCGTACACTTGTGTACAAAGGAAAGCCTTTATTCAGGGATTGACTCTTCCTTCACCTTCTCCTTTAAAAATTCTTGAAGACTCTTTGTGACAAACTTGAGTCATTCGATGATGAATCGTTCAGATCTTTTTCTTCTGAAACAAAGTACATATATCTATAAATGGTATACTGTATAATGACGTGTACGAGTTAAGAGTATTAATTAACTTATGCACATGAGTTACTATGCAGATCCTTTGTGCACTGAGCACCTTTTTGTCTCTACTTTCCATTATGACTTTCTTTTGTTCTGATTATTCATCGGTTAATTCTTTTCATTTGGCAATTCCTTTTGCAGAGGGTGTGAAGGCTAAGGTATTCATCCGGGCCAAACCATTCTCTGCCCATGGACGTCAGTACCTGAGACTTCAGCAACTCAAAATGGACTTCAGCGTACAAAATATCAGGATGGGCGTCGAGAATGTTCATGATGGCAATACGATTCTACGTGAGTTTATGCATTAACAAATGTTTATGTGGTATACAAAAACTGTATATCATACACGTACCTGGTTCCTACGTATAATTCTTTATTGCAGAAGCTGCCCTGAATCTGTTCATCAACAGCAACAGTCAGGAATTATTAAAGGAAATGAAACCGGACCTGCGCAGAAAGTTGGTCCAGGTCATGACAGCTTTCGTTGAGAAACTGTTTTCTCAGGTTCCGTATGACGCTTGGATTTCTGATTAAAAGAAAGAAAACATGTTGCCAATGCGAAAAGAAATTCGTGACAGTAATTCTGTTCGCATTCTGTAAGACGAATGAAAGATAGATCTTGGAAATCTACCGGAAGTCAAGGAAAAACTTTTTTTTTAAATGAGAAAAAAAATACCTGACAGCTCAAGAAATCGGGAGAATTTCTAATTATCCTTTGTCTTTCAATCTTCCGGCTCTTCCGGAAGTTATTTCTTATCTATGCAACTTCAGACTGCTTTTTCACTTCCTGACAGGATTACAGTAGATATAAGCCCATACTTGAAAATGTTTCATGAACTTCGTTTCCTGGAACAGATTAACTTTTCAGTAACTTTCAGTACTGCCCCATTCATATAATATTCTAAAATCATTTTGATTGAAGAAATACAAGTGACCATCATCCACTCATAAATTAATGTGTAATAATGATAATGACGTTAACTCATATGACTAGCACACTGATAATTATGATATTTAAGCGTTACAGGAATCTCATTTTAGTTTAGTACCTTAAGTCAGTCCCATTGCAGTCTTACTGGGACATCATGCCCTTTGTACCTTATTTTTATACTTCATTTTTTTTCGATTCATTCTTTCCTTTTTGTACGTGTGTATTTATTGAATAAACTTAGGATAGAATGACGCAGCCACATTTGTTTCGCAAAGCCCCATCATTTGGAATGCCGTGTGTTCCTTGAATGCGTGACAGTAATATTCAATTCACGCCTATACCTCCTGCAGCCTTGCTTCCTGAAAATATGACGGAACCAAGATATTACAAAACTACGTACGATTCCACCAGAAAAATTGTGTCTCTTGACGAGACATAGAAAATAAAAAAAAAAAGTAAAAAAAGAAATCGACGAAACAGTCTTACGTGCATATTCTAGTATTTATTATCCTATTTTAGAAATCTGCTTGACATAAGAACTAGCCAAATAAAATTAACAAATTATTATGATTCTTCGTAATGACGCACTTCCTTGTGTCACTGGTCGCATAGCTCAATGAAATATCCACGAGTCCACTGGTTAAGCCAAAGGTCGATTTAAGGTTCTCTTGGCCACACCGATGAATTATTCAATTACAAAAATGTGCCCAGCACGTCATAAAAGAACAAGGTTATTATTGTTGACAATAATATAAAAAATGGAATGACCAATCTCAAGGGAACGTTCAGCTTTCGGAATTTCTGAAAGTAAAATAAAGTTAGACGTTTATGAATATTTCTTTTTAACTGATAGAGTCAAAGAGAGAAGAAATTATTGAAAATGTATACCTGCAAGATGATATTGATGAAATTGTAAGGTTGAGAGAATTGATGGATGAATGGTAGAAAAATGACAAAAATTATGAACATTTTCCAAAGGCATCTTTGTAGTCGTTTATTATTTTTTTCTTTCTGACTTTTGAGCTCGCTCATGATGTTCAAGTTCGAAGCGACCTGCAGATGTCATAAGAATGGTGAGGGAAATCTGCTTGGCAATTTCTGCTTTTGAAATAATGTCCCAGCCGGGACCCTCTCATCATTCCTGACATAATGAGACTCATTCTGTTATTCAGGTAGTCCTGCCGTGTTATGCAATAATTATGTGAGGATTACCTCTGATAGCTTCAATGACTTCTTTGACCTGTCATAATCATTCCTTACTCTTGATACTAACCGATCATTTGATTGATTGTTACGACTGCACTCGATGAATGCTTATGAATCATTGTAAACATTAATTCATTCGGTATGGCACGATTGTTTGTATCTGTCATCCAATTGGAAGGTACAAGATAATTTTATAGAATTTCTGTAAATCTGTATTCCAGATTTCTTGATAAATTTATGCACATCAATTTGTTCTTTGTAATTATAAGACACTCGTGATTCCATGTGAATTCATTGGAATAATAGAAATTTTATAGATTCATCATTCCTAAGGCTCTCCATTGTGAAGAATCAAATGATTCAGTTATAGCTTATAATATTTATAGTTAGAAGTGACGTTTATCATAGAGATTATACTTTAAAGATACTTTGATACAGTTAATTAATTAAGTTCGATGATCATTAACTGATAATTTAAATTAATTAAAAAATGTGTCCAACGTTTATATAAACATTACGCGTAATTTGCCAGATATACATAATAGCAGCTGAGTAAATTTACAAGAACACAGGAAGAGCCGTTAAGAAATTCTGAACATGTACTCAAGCATAATTCTGCAATATACTCCTATGTATGCTGGTTGCACCAAAATTTTACCAGTGCTTGTTTATTTCTTATTATTCTACTTCGAATCGTCGTTTGCAAGATACTTTTTTTCCTCCTTTTTGTTTGCTTAAATTCGAATGAAATGCATGTATGTGCCGTATGGGCGTATTCGCAGAATTTGACGCAAATTCTAAATCTCTCGCGAGCGAGACGTGCTTGATGGCCACCATCGTCGAAGGCCAAAGTCACCGAGTGAACTTAAGTCTTCACCTTCTTAGTATCCGTGTGCTTCAATCGCACTGACACAATGATACCGACAACAATGGTTTCACCAGTCCAAGAAGGGTGGGGATGTCTATAAGGTCCTCGTACCGGCTTCATTTTACCCATTTCCAAGCAGACCATCCTGAACTATTTATTCCCGACTTGCGATCCGTTGCTAGAAGAGTTCCAAATTTCTATTTGGCCAATCGAAGAAAGTACCGGTTGACATATTTACGTCTGTGAAAATGATTCTCCCAATTGTTGCAATTCTGAGTATCGCCGGTGCCGTCACGGCTGTTGATCTACGTGAGTAGAAAAATCATTTTGTTAAAATATATCATTCGATTAAAAAGAGTTTAAACATTATCTTGTAATTACCAGAAACCTACAGTCTCTCTCTTCTAGTGAAATTGTAACGCCGGTCAAACTTTCTTTATCGTCACCAGCCCTATTTTCTTTGGAATGCATTTCACTAGATTTTGGGCACACGTGAAATAGCAAATTTTCACCAATAAGCTTGACGTTGTTTGTTAAAAATAATTTAATAAAACTTTACCCAACAATTTCAAGTTCCATTGTATTTACACAGCGGAATTTCTGCACGTCTGCAAGAGGAAGGATCCTCAAGTAGAAGCGTGCATGACGCAAAGCGTCGAATATCTGCGACCGTATTTAATGAAGGGCGTCCCCGAGTGCAACATCCCTGCCTTGGAACCGCTCTTGCTGAAGGAATTGGTGGCAACCGAAGGAACCGGTATAAGGATAACAGCAAACGACGTCCATGCCTATGGCGCAAGCAACTTCAACGTCAGGCGATTGAAGTGAGTTTCTTTAACTGTAATGTAAAAAATCGTCTGTCAACAATTACCATGTATCCAGAGCCAACAATCTTATTCGTAACATCCTAACCAGTCCATTCTAGTACCGATGACGTAAAATGCACCAAAGTTCACAGTGAAATTAGACAATTCATGTTTATCCATTGAAAAAGATCTGTTGCTGAAAGATTCTCTGAAAAATGTATAAATTTTCAAGATCTGTACTCTCGTGCACTTTGCACCAAGTAAAACGAGTAATAATGAAACTTAATTGCTAGTATGAACAAGTTAATGACGTGCAGTATGTATAGGTGCTTAAGGTGTAACAGGGTGTTACATAATGTCTGAATAACAAGATTGCGCATAACAAATCTTGCTCTTCGTTTTCATTAGCGCGTAACAGCTGCTTTTAAGCTGCAACTCAACCGACATTATGAAATCGAATGAGATCGGTTGTATAGAAATTTCGTAAAGTAATACGAATACCGATTACGCTCACGTATCCAGGATAATTATCCATTGACTTTATTCAATTGGACGATCGATAATAAAGAATGGAATTTGGCGAATCTTCCTTTCGCTACATACACACTTTTAGTGTCGCAAAACAATCCCTAAGCCATTGCTTGGACTTCCATTTTTGGATAATTTAATTGTTACGTTTTTAGCACGCGCCAAACTCTTTTGTACATACGTAGAATTACAATGGCGGCTACTGTGTGATTCTCTGAAACGAAGTGAAGTTTGTCACTTTCTAAAAAAAGATTGTTGAACTCAAATTTTAATGACCATCACCGTTAAATGAAATATCGATAGGTACAATGGATAATGGGATTTATTTATAAAATTTTCCTGCTAGTAGAATGTCGAGGGGTTCTAAAAATAAAGTGGATAAGACATTAGATTGTTTAATTGTTAATGAGAAATATTATGCTTACCGTATACGAAGTGTCGAGCATCAATTGGCAATGAATAAATAACTATAGCAACTCATCGTAATAGCTCGTTCGTATTCCAACGGTGGTTAAGAAGGTGCGTGCGGCCATGACACAAACAAAAGTCTGTATGATACAAAAAGAAAACAGTTGTACACAGTGTAGAGAGTTTAAACGTTATACACTGTAATATACAGCGGATGGATACATAATATGAAATATGAAAATACGAGGACGGCACTGGAGTAATGTTATTGGTAGCAAGAATGTGTCGGATTGATTAAGCAATCTTGGACGAGAAATCAGGGACACTTTTTACATTATATTACTGTTACCCATAGTAATGCAATACTTAGATTTCAAGCAGGAAAGTACTGGAGTGCCTGTAGGTATATGATGTATTGAATACTTGAAAAAATTTCCAATATGTAATTAGTCTTGTTAAATGATGGTGAATATTTTTTCTTAGAATTGACCTGAACCTACTGCGCTTCGAGGTTGATGTTGATCTACCACATTTATTCATCGATGGACAGTATCAAGTCGATGGAAGGGTTCTTCTTTTACCAATCCGTGGATCTGGACCGATGAAAGGCAACTTTACTGGATGTACCGGAGCAGTAAAACTTCAGGGTGAAATTCTTAAAGGAGATGACGGAGAGGAGCATCTTCATTTCTCTGATTTCCGCATGAAGATCTCAATTGGAAAGGGGAATCTACTTCTGGAGAATCTATTCGGTGGTGAACGCACTCTTGGTGATATTGTTAATTCTGCGATTAACAGCAATTTTGATGCCTTCATTCGTGAACTTCAACCCCTCATTGAGAAAGCTTTGTCCGAAGCTTTTCTTGAAATAGCAAACAACATTGTAGGACCGTTCACATATCAGCAACTGTTCCCTGACGATTAGATTCTCGTTCCTCTTTTCTCTTGTGGTTCTTTTTATTAGATATCTAGATTTACTTTGTCACTATCTCTAAGAATAATAAAAGATACAAAATAATAGCAAGGACGCTTATTATAAGTCCTGACGTAAAGAAAAAACCAAAAATTAGCTCGTACTTGTTCAGCAATCGGATTTATGAAATTATAATATTACTTTGACAGTCAAACCGGTAGTCAATAACAATCGAATAGTATTCCTTGAACATATAACGCCGCCAATGCCGAGCAAGACAGTGTAGTGTTATAATGAATATTTATATAAGAATAATTATTTAAAATTCAGTTTCTAGAGTCCCGCAATATTATTATGATGTGGTCGCGACTGAAATGTTTAAAATAAAAATAAAGTAGATTAGACGTTATGCCAAGTTTAAAGATTTTTTAATAACTCGCTATATATTCTCACTTACAAAACAACTATTAATGCAAAATATAAAGGTCACAGGTTAACAGTAATAAGAAAAATTAAATAAAGCGTACACAACTTCAATGAAATTTTCCATTGTAAGAGGTAAGTCGTTGTATTATTTACAATACGTATATCCTTCTCGTCATTTAATACTCTTTCTTTCTCAACAGATGATAAAACATCGGCCAACGTCTACAAAAGTATTTCACGACTGTGAACTAGATATCTTCTGAAGTTTGGTATAACCAGCAACAAGAGTCGATGAAGCCAAGATTGTCTCTACATATGTGTATCAGCCCAGTCTGAACAATTTGTCTTGTTAGATCAATCCAAAAAAACCAACACAATTTATTCACGATCAGGGAACAGTTCTTCATAAGTGAAGTGTTTGCAGATCTTATTGGCATACTCCAAGATCTGCTCGGAAATGACTTTCTCTAGGTTGGGTGTGATGGTCTCTATGATTTCCTGTCTGCCGTTCGATAATGCTGCGTTGATACCATTGGCCAGGGGACTATTCTCACCTTCACGTGGTACAAAGTGTGAAATGTAATCCTTTATGGTGAGTTTGATCGTTATCGATGGGAAATACATATACGTCTTTCCTTTGTGATTGACCAGCTGGAACTTCAGAGTCACCTTAGCGGCGACGCCGTCTATGAAACAATGATTAAACATTAATAGCATATATATATATATATATATAAAACATTAATAACAACACTATACTAAAGTTATCACAAACAAAGATCATCCTAGAAAACAATAATGATACTTAATTTCTAGTATCTTTTGCACATACCAGCTACTATCTCAATAGGTCCGGTACCAGCAATAGGCACAACAATCCTAGCAGACACATCATACTCAGCATTCAGCTTTATATCCTTGAATATAACATTCAAGTCAATCCTCTTGTTGTTCAAGTCAGTCTTCAATGAAGTAACAGTGAAGTCAGACAATCCATAAAGCTTCACATCCTGAGCAATGGCCCTAAAGTTTGGCGTATCCGACAAGGCGATCTTTTTAAACTTCATAGGTTCAACCGGAGGTACGTCAAGTTCAGGAATACCATTCCGAAGATTCCCTCTAAGAGCTTCAACGCTCTTTATGATACAATCATTAAGTTGAGGATCCTTCCTCCCGCATATATGAATATAAGAAGCTGCAAGGTAATATAAAAATTAAAATTTCACCAGTAACAGCCAACAGGACTCTTCGTACAAAGTTACTGTACAAGATAACCATCGACTAAAGCCACTTACGGACTTCAGCAATAGCAAAGTTCCCCAATAGCACGATACAAATGGCAACGGTAGCCAAGAACATCTTTGACAATATTTTAAACAATTAAAATTGGCACCGAAGCACGACGAGCTGTCCGCACTGAAATGTAACGAAATACTCTGTTCATCTTGTCGCTCCCAGGTTTATATATACATTCCTGACTAGATGGATGGCCTTAGGATTATTCTGATTCACCTAAGTTCAAGGCCACGGTTGGATCTCTGCCTATCGAATGGATATTCCAGCCCCCTCCACCATATGCTGACACTACACTGTCATTTTCTATATAGGTATCAGCTAATCATGATCAAGGAATATATGATTCTTTGGTAAACAACTTCCTTTATTTTTGAGACCTCCATGAAGGACCGGATCGTACTATTCAATAATTAATACATTCGTTATTATCTTTTATTACAAATCAACGCTTTTCTAGAATATACCAACACCTAGTGCCTTTTACCAATTACCCTTTGGATCTGGTCAACCTATACTTGATTGGCAGCAGTTCACCTGGTTCCTGACATATACTTATATCTGGATACGTTGCTGAGCCAGATTTCACGCGGAAAATGCGGCTGGGCTTACGACAGGGATCACATTACCATCGTGAAACAACCACACACATATTTATACATTTAATGCATTAGAATACAGACATAGATGCACGTGCTGCAGTCTGCTTGAGCATTCTGCATCTTGGAATATAGTAATACAATTAATAACAAGCTAATGATCTCGTGCCGTTACGTATACGTATAAGAAAATAAGTGATGTACATATGTCACGTGGGCACTTACAGAACGAAGGAAAAAAATTGCAAAATCCCCGAAGGTCGACGTGTGAACTTTACAAGTGGAATAAAACAGTCATACGGGTTGCTACATTGATTGATTCTTTATAATTGGTACAAGCTACTGTATGGCAGATTTGATTTGCATAAATGTGAGACAGTATTTAAGTTATGCTTATTGTTAAGTCACTCTACTTCTTACGTTTGAGTTAATTTTCTTATTAGCAATTTCTTACTCGTGTGATAAAGGAAATTCTATGCAAGGAGATCTGAGAGGAGTCACAGCATCCCATTTGAGTTGGAAGATGATTAAAAAGTGAGAGTAAATCTGGAATCCAATGGCGAATAAATTATTTGTCAATAAAAGAGACTGAAGAGAGGAACGTGGGAGAGAGAGAGAGAGAGGGAAAGGAACTTGAATTAATCCAGCAGTGGGATATCTGGAAAAGTTTAATGAAAATGTATGTATGTATATATATATATATATATATATGCTAGACTGGACCACGTACGTTCTCCAGATCTTAGCTGGAGTGCAACTTGCACCTGAACCAATCGGGACCAAGTAGCACGAGGTAATCTACAGCGGCCGAATGTAATACCCTACTGCAATAATTCAACCCGTGTACTTTAGCTTGGTGCAATCATTATCCCATGGAGTTTTTATCTTTTGGTTCTCTTTCTCTTTCTCTCTAGGGAGTCTCCTTTTATTCGACTTTCATTGATTTCTTTTATTTAACACTGCAGAGTTCAGGCCCCTCTATCGACTTCAACAACTTCAATACATTCTGAGTTCAACTTCGTCTCGGGATAGACAGCATGTCAGCTCTACTGGTGCGTGCGTGGTACGATTGTTATTTTTGTTAATATTAATTAGAATCTATGCTGATAAGATATCTTGATATCGTGGGATTCGTTTGATACAACACGAGTTCGTAGAATTATTTGAAATTTTAACGTGGTTTCTTGTTTTTTACATACACTGATATATAAAAGTATCCTTAGAGTAGAGTTCTTATGTTTTTCATTTTAAACTGCTTTTTTTCAACTTATGGCATGGTTTCCATGACGCACGAAATTATATAATTCTCTTGAATTTCGCATGTTCTCCCAACGATGAATAATAACAAGCGTGTTTGTTAGCTTGTATCAAGTTGCGCAGATATTGCTATTGGGAGAGAAGAAAAAAATATCGATAATAGTTTATAATGCTTAAAGAAAATAGTCATTGCGTGAAGATAATGTAATTGAAAAAAAAATTGGAATCAAATGTTAAACGTACGAACGTGTAAATTAGTTTTTTTTTCTGTATGTTCTTTCACGTAAGCAAAAGATGATACTCCTTGATCACACTGGAGAATATTAATGATTTATTAAAAGGAGAACATTTGTTGAAAACAAATAAAGAGCAATAAGATGTCGGGCAATATCCAAAGTTGACATAGCGACGCTGCGCAGTGGAAAAGTTTCAGATTTTATTAGGAATACTCGGCCGTTATTTGGTATAATTGAAAACTGAGCGTATCATGAATTTCTTGTCCCTCTTATCTATCCTTTTTTCTTTAATATCCTTTCACGTCTTCTTTTCTTCTTTTTTTTTCCAGCCTCGCGGCGGCGCTCGCGAGAACTATTCTTGGCGCGTTACGTGAGTACATCCATTGTCCTTATTTCGCACGACGTAAAGACATCGGTCACAAAATGCATTTATCGGAGGAATAAAATAGAAATAAAATAAACTAAGAGAGAAAGAAGAAGGAAACTTGCGGAAAACAACGCGCAACTTAAGGAAAGTAGCTTTTGTGAAAAACAGAATAATTTCCTGGACGCAAACATATAACAACGTATACACAATGAATAATTTATCGTACTGTGGATATGTAAATGATGCCTAACATGATCTATTCGTCCTTAACATACTGCATGGATCCTTTTTTATTGAATCAAGAACCTTGATCCATTCGCAGCTCCTTATATCAAGCCGTGCAAGAGGACAGATCCAGATATAGATATATGCGTTGCTAATTCCATTGAATCGTTAAGAGGAAAACTTGCTGAAGGAATCCCTGAACTTGGCGCGCCGCCAATTGAACCTTTGTACCTTGACCAGGTCAGATTACTCAGAGGGCCGTCAGGAGCTAGACTGGATGTTAATCTCACAGACATCAAGGTAAACCTGGGAAATAGAATTTCCTGTATTACATATTATGAGATACAAACGTATTGATTATACTTGATTTGATATTTTTTTACTAATTACTTCTGGGTATGAATCCTCCAGGTAGCTGGACCTTCGACCTTTAAGGTACGTGATCTGAAGGTCAACGTTGACGACATTTTGTTCACATTCAAAGTGAGCTTTGACAGACTTAGCTTTCGTGGAAAGTATCAAATAGACGCCAGAGTCCTTCTTCTCAGACTTTCTGGAAACGGCGATCTAACAGGGAACTTCAGTAAGTCTTGAAGTTGGTATTCTGAATCAGTTGGATACTTTAGTTAACAATGTGTATATAAAATTCTTGCAGCTGGTTACGACTCGGATGTTATCTTGACAGCAAAAAAGGTTTATAGGAATAATGGAGAGTACCTGGATTTTGAACGTATGAAGTTGGCTATTAAAATTGGCACAGCCAGTGTCTATCTGAATAATTTATTTGGTGGTGATCCAATTCTTGGTAAGTAATGGAAACTCTTGGTGAATTTGATGGAGATTGTTAGAGTTGTGTATATGGAGAAGCAGTCGGTATGTTTGCAGAATTAAAGTGGTTACGTCTCTGTACAGCTAGATTTCCGAAATGGGAAAGAGCTCAAGGAAGATGGATTCGTTAGAGATTCCCATCACGAATTGACGAGCACGTAATAGCCATTTGGGTCTAGGTTCTTGGGTCATTGTTCTCATTGGCTGATATAAGATTTACATGGCTATCGTCCTCGTATTAAAAATTGTCAAAGTTTTTTCCTCTTTCCTTAGTTAATATAATCAGCAGCTCTTGATAATTATTAACTTGCTTCAGGTGCTGCCAGCAATCAGGTACTGAATGCAAACAGTGCATTATTCGTTGAGGAACTGAGACCAGTCCTCGAATCCTCATTGGCTGATCTCTTCACTGACGTCGCTAACAAGATCACAAGATCATTTACGTATGACGAATTATTCCCAGTGTAATAAAAACACAATAAATCCGTCAATCATGATAAATTAAATGTTTCTAATATTAATTATAGTTTGAGTTTGTTAGAATTAAAAAAAAAAGCGAATCTTTATTTGCCCATTCAACGTCGTTCAGGCGCAGTCTCGTTTTGGTTCTACCATTGATACTATTTTACTAATTAATTTACAAGATTTCCTTTTTCTTGAAAACTAATGACTAGGGAATCAGCTCTTCTTTCTTCAAGACACCAAGTGCACGTGCTGCCAAAGCTCTGCTTATGGTAGCTGCTGTGTCTTCGATTATGGGACTTGCTATGTCCAGGACGATTCTTGGATTTGAATTGAAGAAGGTGGCAGCAGCGTCGGCTTTATGAAAGCAAGAACGATTGTTACATATACAATTTTTAAGTAATCAGTGCTTTTATCTTTGTTTTCTTTTTGTTTACCTGCCAAAGCATGACTTGGTTGTGCTCTCAATTTAATGTTACCATCGCCAACACGAATTTTTGTAGTGAGCTGATCAATTTGTATTCTCTGTATACCATTTTTATCTGCCACCTCCTTGCCTTTGGCATTCACTTGAGCTTGTGTGTTAGCTGAAACAATGGAATTGAACTGGTCAAAAAATTCTTATTTTCAATTATCAAAGTATATATATATATATATATAGTATGTATCTTTTCTCACTGAAATTTCCTTTGAAACTGCCAACTCCATTGAGTGGCAGGAGCAAAAGTCGTCCCTGAACATCATAATCGCCCTTTACATGTATATAAGGTAGCTGAACTCTAATGGTGACTGTGAGATCTTCAGGATTGGCCTTGAGCTCATCCACAAGGAAGTTGGTAGCACCATAAACACGAATCTGAGTCATGTTAGCCTTGATTTTCAAAGCTTCAAGATTTCTGTCCACGGTCAAAGATGGAAGTAGCAAAGGATCCAAAGCAGGAAGTTTAAGAGTCGGTATACCCTTGGCCAAAAAAGGAGTAATGGCTTCCAGTTGTTTCATTATGCATTTGTTGTACTGAACAAGATCCTTAGTAGTTGGACAGGCTGTGACACCAGGTGCTAATAAAATAAAAAAAGTATTGCCACATCAGCCTTCGTCTTTTGGCTATTAACATTTTATAAAATGTATTTTCACCAATCCTTTACATCATGTATAAATAAAAAGATGTACTCTGTACTTTCGGAATGTTAATGACTTATTTTGTTAGGATGACTAATTAGTCAAAAACTCGTTCCTAGTATACATTTATTTCATTTCCTAAGAGACCACTATATAAACACTTTCGACAGTAAGACCCACGGTAGTTTCACACTGTCGTCGTAACGGTAATTACAAGAAATGGCAACCGTGGAAAAATTTAGCTAGTTTCTCACAAAGCCAAAGCTGCTTCTTTCTATATACACGAGTAAAAGTGTAACAAGGTATAAGAATCTCGCGGCCGTCTATATCGTTTTTGTTTGGCAGCAATGCCAGACTTAAAATCGAAAGTGCGCCAACTGAGAAAGTGAATTGGCTGGTTCGGTCAACGGCCATTCCTTCGTTAAATTCACCTGTATGATACGTGCCTGCGTTACTACCAACTACATATCTATGCAATAGAATAAAATAAAATGCCCCAGCAACAGCTGGAATCATTAAACTGACATAGTAATTGTTGAGGTAAATAAAGTAGAGAATATAAAAACACTGATGATATTAATATTAATTATTACAACGACATATTGTAATTATAAAATGGTACAAGAAATGGACATTGACAACTGTTAATTATTTATTATTCAATTTTTTAGAAACCGTTTATACTCACGCAACTCCGATAAGGCGATCCTCGTCCAGGAAGCAAGTATCAGGAAACCGATCAGAGTATTCATGCTTGCCGTTTTATCCACGTTTCTTTTACTTTGTACACACTGGACTATGTGTATTGTTGTTTTACGTTTAGTGAACTAATTGTAATGTTGTCAGTGGCGATATTGAAAATGCGTACGATGGCCCCAGTATGCCGGTATTTATAAACTACATGCACTTTCTCCGGTTGTACCCCACTCTTACAAGCACTAGGTGAATTTATCACGGTAGAATGCCCCCTTTTAACTCAGTCAGGGCCGTAACTCCCTGGTACCCCTACTCAATTATTGACAAATCCTTCATGCCAGACGTCTTCTCGTTAATTCATTCCGGATGGACGTTAGAATCTCCTCCTTCCGGGAATTACGAGTATAGATGGGATGTTGATAATAACGTGGATTATCCAGCCGGCCTTTGTCGCGATGCTAATCAAGCCGTTGCATCGATACGTCGATAGGAATTATTTTTAATTAGAAAAGTTTCCTCATAAAATAAGTATAAGGTATGTCAGAGCCAAACGTCTGAGTCATCCGGAGAACTTTGGCAGTTGGTACTGAAACGAGGTACGAAGCTGTGGGAAAGTATGACAGCTGTCTAAATTGACAGATAAATTTTAGCTGTATACTCAATAAAGGAGGGAGTATTAATAAACAATAATTATAGTATATAATTGTGTAGACTACCTGTGTACAGTGTAATAGGTGCTATTTATAAATATATAAATAAAGACCTTAATTATTACAGTATATAAAAACCAGACTTATTGTCACTCAATAGGCAGTGTCTTATACATCTTGTAAATCATTGAATCAGCCATTTTTTCACTTAAAGCTTTACTAGCCAAGTCGTCAGCCAACATGGCGGCTACTGCTTCGGCAGCCATTAAACCTGTAAAAGAAAGTTACTGTAGTGACAGAGTTTACCGGTGAGCTTGTAGTTTTCCGTTGATTATAACAGGTTCCAGGTGAAGAGGTAAGTTCCATTTAATTAAGATCATTGTAAAAACAATTGAGTGATTCCAAACAAGATCACAGAGACTGACAGATCTGGATCACGATGAATGATCAAGCGTAGATCAAAGATGCTTTGAACTGTTTTGAACATGGAGTCACTAGGAATATTTAAGTACTTCATTACTCTGCAGCACGTAATCATCTGATGACTTTACGTAACGTGCTCTTTGCATCGATTCAACCAAGATGGCGCTGTGTATACTAGTCCGTATGAAACACAGATAAAATTTATATTTATTAAAACCACCAGCTTGGCAGAAACTCTCGTACAAACTTTCATCGATGGAATTTGTCGCTTTTCCTGAACGACCACCTGGTATGGTTTCCTGTGAATGCGCAATGACGCGACGTATTCACTTACCGTGAACCAAGATTGACTTCACTGGTCCTTTATCATCCATACCATCCAGATGAATCTGTCTGCTTCTTGAAGTCAGTCTTGCACGAGCTGCTCTTACTATCATTTCACTAGTATCTTCGATCCTCTTCAATTCCAGGGTGAAGTCGCCGGTTAGGTCGGCTGTGGAAAGTGAAGTATTTTTTAATAAAAATTACAATAGTTTTTTTCTATGAAATTAATTATTCATTTTCTTATCAGTAAGACTTACTAAAGTTTCCATCAAGTAGACCATTACCCCGCAGAAGTTCCTCGCCGACCTTACCGGTGAGAACGTAACCGGCTTTTACATGAAGCAGTGGTACGTGGATCTTTAGTATCACGTGCATCACGTCATCCTGGGACATTGAAATTTAATTAATAATTTAGGATAATACTTTCTGGACAGTCCTAATCTTTCTGTTTACCTCCTCGGATTCGTTCTGGGTCTGATCCCTTTTTCTTCTTCTGGCTTCATTTGATTTTTCGTTCTCTGAATCCTCGATTTTCTTACTATTTATATTTACGCCGCCGTAGTGATAAATTAATCGCATACCCTCTTCGTAATAGCCGTCTTTTTCCTGGTAATTCTTCGCGTATCTGATAAGGTCCTTTATTCTGTCAGATTCCTGTGCGATCCTTTGCAAGTTGTTTCTCTTGAGCAAAGATTCTCCTTCGGTGAAATTGTGAATGATGTATCTTCTGTTCTCTCGCAAGACCTTGATAACAATTTTTTATTGATTAATTATCGTAATTAAAATGAATCAATATTATTCATTTAGGTTTTACATACCTTAATGATATCGTCCAGGCTGTATACTTCAATATTCTGGTCAGAGTCTATTTTTAGATTTCCAAAATGCTTCACCTTCTGGTCGTTCCTGTCGGCATAAATTATGTCCACATATCCTGGACGTTTTTCCAGTGGAATTGTTGATGATGGATTATCAGTTGAGACATTAAATTGATTTTTATTTATCGCAGCCTGATAACGTCGCCCTCCTCTTAGGAATGTATTATTAGACACTGAACTTTCATATTTTCTCAATAATTTCTCTTTTGATTCCAAACTTTCCGAAGCTGACACATCAACGTCTTCTACGCGTTCATCAAAATTACTTTTACCAGCGGTATCCTCAAAAATTTGTGATTGGTATCGTTCTTGTCCTCTTGAAGGATTTTGCTTCTTGTTACAACTTCCTGAACATTCTATCAAAACACCTTGAGAATTTTCATGAGAATTTTCCTTCAACAAATCCTTCACTTCGGTATTTTTAGAATTAACCTTCACACTTTGAGCGTAAACTACATGAACATTTGCAGGTGAATTTTGTAAATTACCAGAAGATACAGATTTATCAGAAGCTGCACTATCCTCCTGAGATTTTAAAGTACTAAGAATTTTTTGTATCTTAACAGCATTAGGATCTCTAGCAGTACTGTGGTGACTTTGTGAATTTTGCACAACATCCAAATTTTCATCTTCCTTCTCAATATTCTTGGATTCTTCTTTTTCTTGCTCTTGAACTTTGCTCAATGACTCATTACTTGCTACAAGCTGAGTACCTCTATCAATGTATCTTCCTGGACCAGTAGCGTTCTTAGGCTCTTTAACAAGTGTATGGAATCTGTATCTAATCGAATCCAGATCCTTCAATTCGTTGTAGCTAACATATCCAGCCTCAAAATCACTTAGATTCGATTTGAGACGTCCCCGAGCTATATGAACAGATTCAAGAACAGATTCATTGAATCCCTTGACTTCCAAATTTCTCAGAACAATCCTGTATCTTGTATCACCCTCTGATTGGTCGACTTTAATCACAGGAACCCTCAAAGGGTCCAGGGTACCAAACTTTGTGATTCCACCAGCCAGCAGTTTGGTCCAGAGTACTTGAGACATTTCCAATAAGGAACACCTTGCCAAGGAAGTCAAAGCTAAGATCAGTAGGATCTTCATGGCTCCAGGATATCCTTAAGATCTTCAAAATAATTTTCTGTCAATCCTCACTCAATGGTGTTGACCTGCCAAATGTGAAACGGCTTATATACTAACATAAGTGACAGTGCCGTCACTATGAATACCACTAAAAAACAGAAAATCACTGAGCACATAGAACAAACAATGAAGCACTTTTCAAACCAAAATACAAACAAAGTGAACAACAAGATCTTGGCTAAAGATCATTTCAAAAAAGCTTTTTTTTTTCTCAATCCTATGAAGAACAATATTTCTTGCACACCGATGCAACTGAACTGAATGCAAGAGAACGATGCGTCCGGGAGGTTTTTATAGGAGATGCTGGAAGGGCGCAAATCTGGGCCATGGACCACAGCAGCCTGACTAACTGGTTCATCTGACATTAGTCAGGTATTTTTATATCCTTTATGGGGGGCAAGGTCTTCGACCGACCTTGCCGATAATTCCATAAATTATGAATTTAAAAAATCCAGTATCTTAATCATACAGGACCTCCATGCAAGTAACTAATTTCAATTGATACAGTACATTGATACTATCTGGATCATTATTCAATTGGTATCACATTGTAAATGACGGAACAATTGTTTATAATAACGATTGTATCACAATCTTATTACGAAGTAAAAGAAATGGCGGTTCTCAAGAATCCAGCAATGTTTTAACAGATTGCGTAGTAGACAGCCAATGAGACCCAGTAACCATATTCATGCAAAAGGCAGTAACGTCAATCAGGCCCAGCTGGCAGTCAATAAATAGCTAAGTCAGCGCATTGCGTTCAACGTCAGCGCATTTTCAGCCTGAGGAATGATCAGTGAATACATTTTTTTTTGAGCAACTCCTCAGTACAATGACAGCCATGAAGCTTGTGCCAGTCCTGGTCCTGTTCCTGGTCAGTAGATCGAGATCAACATCGGATATCCGTAAGTGTACACATCCTATATAAATAATCGAATCTAAAATTGAAATATGATAAAATTACTGTTCATACGTAGCAAGCTTTCTTAAAATATGTCATCGCAATGATCCCAACCTGAACGAGTGCATAAAGCACAGCGTGGAGTCCTTGAAGCCACATCTCAAGGTTGGCATTCCATCCCTTCATATTCCACCATGTGAACCCTTGCACGTACCTCAAGTCGAGATCAAACAAGCAGCAGGTCCGGTTTCCATCAGTTCAACTTACACCAACATCAGAGTACGTGGCGCCACAGATTTCGTGCTGAAAAGCGTCAAGTATGTAAATCATCTGTAAACATTGATAAAAGATAAAATTCAAATGTAATTACAATGATGATAATCATCCTAGGATCGACCTGGACAAGGATCGTGTAAGATTAAAGTTATACGTCCCGCGTCTGGAGATGACGTCAAATTACACAATGGAGGGAAAGATATTAATGTTACCAATAACCGGTAAGGGCCTCGCTTATGGTAATTACACAGACATAGACGCCGTCGTGACGACCCAGAACGAGCATTACCAGGATCGGAAGACTGGGAAGACACACTCCAGGGTGACCGATTTCTACGTGGACTTTGACGTTGGTCATGCCAGCGTCCAGTTGGAGAATTTATTCAACGGCGACGAGACGCTCGCCGACGCCATGAATCTCTTCTTGAACGACAACTGGAAGACTGTGGCAGCTGAGATAAAACCAGCTCTGGAGGATACGGTTGCTGAACTCTTCAAGAACTTCTCGAACAAGATTTACTCCAAGTATCCACTAGAAACATTATTACCGGAATAAGTAAAAGAAACATGTAAGACTATCAGTTAATAGGAATAAAAGTCGATGTCTCAAAGAGATACAAAATTTAATTTATAAATAGGCAATCTAATATTTCATATCATAAACCCCTGATGGCACTGGTATGTCTCGACCCTACTGAATGACGGGTTACATCCTTTCAGGCGTCCCGACGTTAATTACACATCACACAATATATTCTCACTTTTCACAATTTACCAGCTCATTCGTGCATTAGCATATATTGCAAATCCATGCGAATTCGAAATTTTCTTACGCTAGTCGCTCATAAATGGCAACAGTGTCCTTGTACCTAATAGTCCAGATTCTCGTATAGAAAACACGTCGAACACAACACGTACACGGAGGCTTTGTTTGTTCTTTACGAAATCGCAAGTCTGGAAACAAATAATTTACATAGCTCTTTCCTACGGAATACATGCAGTCATTGAGCGGGAATTTTGAAAGTTTCAAAAGTCTTCTACCGTCCAGACTTTCATTGACAAGTAAGTGACGGCAGACTCCATACAAGTACATACGTAATAACTCCATAACTTGGGCAATTTAAAGCAGACATTTTATAACAGAGTCATAGGTTATTATTTGACAATAGTAAGTACCTACTTCTACGTCGCAATTTTTAACAAGACTTTCGTAACACTTGGAAGCATTGTGTACTACTAGGAAGAATTCAGGAAATGACTAGTCTACTGTTGATAATAATAATAATCATAATTTCTAGGACAGAATCGTGTTTCGAATATGTATTCATACCATAAGACTAGAAGTATAAATAATTAAGTACTATACGAGCAGAGTATCTTTGTGATGTACGTGTGCGTACATATATATATATATTGAGTATAAAAAAAATTAAAAGTATTGACATGACTCATGATAGCTTAAGAGACCAAGATTTTATAATACGCCATACAGAAAGACGTAAAGACCTTTACGTTTATGTCGTTCCTCAACTGTGACTAAAAGGACACCTTTTATACAGTCGTTGAGTAACAGTGTACGACGAACCACGCAGATTTCTCCAAACAGTGTAAAAGATTAGAGATAAATTGGGCCACGGGAGACTGGTCGGTTAAATGAGGACCGTTGAATATCTTTGCGAATGCGCCTCACCAATTACGTAATGTAAATGCCCAGTTGGACCCAACTGAGAAAGTCATCGTGTCATTCGATTGGATTTTTGAATGGACGCTTGTTGTTCTGCGTCTGAATTAAAAGCTGGTATCCGCAGCAGCATCTCTGTCGGTGAAGATTTTATAATTTAGATTAAGACTAAGTCGAAAGATGGTGGAATATCGTTTTCTGTGTTATTATTTAATAATTGGATGTTATCCAATGTTGAATTGGAAGAATATTTGTTTAGGTACATTTTGCAGGCCGCTTGTATGAACGACAATGGCGTTTTAAGATTTGTATTGACTGCATATTGATATTTACTGGTAGTCCGATTTGTTTCTGGTACTTTTCGTGTGGTTTGTTCTTTCAAAATGGCGACAAAATAAGTGAGGTCAGACTGGAGAGTTAGGAAATCAAAAAAGTCATATACCTTGGTTGGGTATAACTTTGACATAGCCACGAGGTCGTTGTATCGGCTGTACGCTAACGTTTCCATTTTCTTGTATTCTTTTTTTTCTTCTTTCTTCCACCTGTTCCCTTATATTTAATTTCTCTTCTTTAACCTAACATGTCCTTCGTTATGGTTGTTCTAAATCATTCACAGAACATTCTCTCTGCGTACAATGTAGCGAAGCATAATCGGCACGGCATTTACATTTGAATGAATGTATAAGGATGCCGGAATGCGTGACATTCTAAGACTCTTGATTTTTCAGGATTCGCCTAATCCATAAGAATGTTTATTCATTGTGCTGGACGGAGAACGACGCATATACGTAATTCTGAGGGAAGGGTAGAAATTTAATGAGACTCAAATACGTAGTTGTAATACGGAGAAGGGGATTTACCTGGGGGAGTGAGTTGTAAAAATGTAACTTTTCCCTCACTTGGATCTTTAGGGCCTCAATCCGTGGGACTTCTCGACGAAGAAAGAGACGGCGGCGTTGTTTCTTAAAGGAGCGGGTCTAGACGTCTTGAGAGTAGTAGGGGTTTTCGCATATAAGACAGAATATGAACGGGGCCCCGTCTTTAGTTTATCACAAAGCAGCGCGTGTTTGTCTCTTTAGTTCATTAGGTGTGAATGATGCCTTAGGAGTATCCTACGTTCGGGTCACTGTGATAAGCTTTGTTCCCGTCATCAAGAAATTGCAGATAAACCAAGGAGGATCCAGGTGGACGTTGATCCTAAAAAAAATAAATATATAATATTATTTTACCGAATGAGAAACAAATAATTGTTTAATAAATTTATACTCTTGTGCAACGAAATGAAATTGTGAAACTATTAAAGGGGACATTGTTTTGATACTTTTTAATATACTGGATTGTGAAATACCATTGAGGATGTTCCTTCTCAAAATTCTATCCTTCGGCATCCTCTTGCTAGGAGCCCTTGGACAGGATCTCATAGCTGAGGATACATCACCTTCGGAGACAACAACTCTAACAACCCTTGCAGAAAATCTAGGAGCAAACGAGCCTGACTTTGTGACGCGTAAGGAACTTGTAGAATTAAAATATTAAAGTAAACCTACAACCAGATTAAAACCATTCAACAGAATTCGTCCTTTCTCTTTTTGCTTAGTTACAATGAAAAAGTTTTACAAGCAGACACAAAATTAAGATTCAGAAAGAAAAGGTCAAAATACCATACAAATGATGCTATGAAATTCATAATGTAAATTTTTAATAGTTTCGTATTCCAAGTTGTGACTTAACTATACTTTTCTTATGGCGTTCATTAATTCGCAAGGCCCAACATTGGATTTATTGCCATTATAGTTAAGAAGATACGGGTAAATCCCAATGTGGACGCAGAGGAGGGCAGGTTCTTGGATACATATAATAGCAAACATGTCGTAACGTACTCCGATGGCGTGGCGAAGGTTATGTCAGAGATTGCATAACGACGGAGGCAGGATTGGCTGGAGAAAGTTGGGACTCGAGTCCCCGTACAATGCTTTTCTCAAGCGGCGGGAGTGAAAGTGCAAGTATCTCGTTAGAAGTTGCCTGTGTAACGAGAGCGTAACTCGTCGTTGCTTTTAGTGCCATGATGACGTATTTCACATAAATACATCAGCGCCACACGGTCGGACCAGAAACTAAATATCCATTGTATATAATCAGTCCAAAAGGAAGTTAAAGCTCTTTCTAAAAGGGTCCTACTCCTCTGGACCGGAAGTGAGAGTCATTGCGCAATAATACAGTAAACAGGAAGACAGTTCAGAAAATACTGTGCATCGCGTGTCTGGTTGTTACAGAAATTCCTTCTTCTGCTAATGCGCATTGCGCAGTCTTTATCTGGAAGCTTTATCTGGACGATTTTCCTTTTTGGAATTTTCTGTCATTACATAATGAACAATTGCCGCTCATGCATTGGACAGTAGATTCGTATTATCTTCTAGTAAATATATCTATCCAGATTCTCATCCTTATCTTCATGACTAAGTCCATTACCGTGATCACATTGAAATTCGAGACCCGTTATTACTGACAATACGTGTTACCATTTGCAATTATTTATGTCGATGGTTCATTCTGTCGCGTCCTGCAAACAGGTCTCTGGGTTATTTCCACAATGATTTTCTAGTTCAAATTTTTCTACAGACTAAATTTCTTGGCCTGTATGATAATACGTGCCAGTACAACACCCTAAATAATTTCGTTTTGCTTCTTCTTGAGTTTATGTATGTAATTATTATGCCGATTTATGGTGTTTTTCTTCTTTACTTTACAGCTGAATATATTCTACCATGCCGCAGATCGGATGAAAGGATTGACAGCTGTATACAAAAGACGTTCAATCATCTGCGCCCTTATTTGGTGAAAGGTACTTGTACCAATTCTTGAAAGATTAGCTGATCAATGATCATCCATCTTATAAATTTACTCCAGGTATTCCGGAATTGGAGTTGCCGCCAATCGAACCCTTGAATATTCCTCAACTGGGTATGGAGAATGGACAAGGTGCAGTAAGGGTCAGTGCACTCTTTTCTAACATCACAGCCGTGGGACCTGGAAATTATTCAGTTGGAAAAGTCAGAGTGGATATACCTACGTTGAGATTGGATCTTCATCTTACCATTCCAAACATTGAACTGCAGGGTCAATATGAAGTAGCTGGGAACGTGCTTCTGTTTCCAATCCAGAGTCAGGGTGACTTCTGGGCCCATTTTGGTGAGTATCGATCAGTAGACATCATCTGGATATTCAGTTTTCAATGAAAACCTTATCCTTTTATTTTACAGGCGACGTGGCAGCCATTGCCAGGGTTCAGGGTATTCAAGAAATACGAGACGGTGTCCGTTACATGAGAATCGAACGTTTGCTGATTGACTTCAGTCTGGGCCGTGCTCGATTTCGTGTAGTGGACCAACTCAATGGGAACAACGTCATTGGTCAGGCAATGAATCAATTTTTGAATCAAAACGCCAAAGAAATTATCGAAGAGATGAGACCAGCCGCCAGTGCAAGCATCGCCAAGCATTTTCAGGGTTTCCTGAACACTGCATTTACCAAAGTGCCCATGAAGGTTTGGTTGCATGATGACTAAGTGTGACAACATCTTTTTTACCAAAATTTCAATTAAATTTTCTTCTGAGAAGAGATAAACTCGTACGAAAGGTGCCTGACCGTGATCCCAGTGACTTTTGGAATATTCATGTTTTCCAAAATAAAAATATGGTCATCCACATTCTCGTCCCTGTCTGTTCCAAATTGCACGGTTTGGATGGACCATAATTCGCAGCTTTTCTATTTGTATTTTGTACCTAAAGTAACTTGTTTGTAAATAACGAATAAAACAACAAAATGAAGAAACTCTTTGTAACAACAATTCAATTAATAAATAGGTCTCACCTTGGCAATACTAATTGTATAGTTTTGGATGATATATCTCTATGTAACAGTAACGTATCCAAGTGTATATAAATACAATAGTATTTGTTCAGCCAACAGTAAATAAAATATACGTTATCGAAAGAGCATGCTATACCATGAAAAGTGATACTTCCCAGCAGCAGCATCTACAGGTTGTTTCAGCATTATGGCGCGTGTCAGTAGAATCCCAGAGTCTGGACTGTGTATATAATGTTGTGATAATGAATCAGAACCGTGGCGGGACATATCTAACGACCTCTGACCCGAAAACGCGTTCAACCTTAAAGGAAACAGCAATATACAGACATTGAACAGAGTAACGCTATACCATTTAGTATTTACCAAAAGCTAAGACGTGACAATCTTCCAATCAGTCGTTCGCGAGATCCCTGTAGCGTCCCATGTCAGGCATCTCGTGAACTCTCGACGCGACTTAATTCGACCCGAACAGAGAACCATCAGGAAGGAACATCTTGAGGTGTTGGGCTAAGAAAAATTAAGAAAATGGTTAGACAGTTCACAAAGAGGCAGTGGCTGACGTTAATAGTGATAAGCATTGCTGACTTTGCCAATGCAATCTGTGTCTCCCTACAGGCTCCGTTTTATCCTCATGAGGTAAGACCAATTGAGAATTTATTCTAATCAACATTAATCACTGGTTTATGTATCGGAATTGTATAAACTCGGAAATAATGGTGATTTACCTTGGATTTTATTTTCTTTAGTATTCTCATAGGATCTCTTACTGGAGTTCTTTTAGAATTTTTCATTCGGAGTCATTAATTCTAGACTAGGTTCAAGATATTTCAGATGAACGTAACTACTACCTAGGATGTAAATTGAGTAATTTAAGACTCGAGACACTACGTAAGACGTACGTTAATGGTCCTTATCAGTTATAGTAAACTCTTGTCATAGCTAGTTAATGTTATTAAGGTCGTAGGGTCAAGATGGCGCCTCTGCTTGTTACTCCGATTCACTCGGATCATAACGTATTTCAGTTTCTGATTAATTAATTGCAAAATTGCATCAGACGGGAGTAATTAATGTTGAGCGAAGTTTGAATATTTATTGAAGAAATTTAAATTGGTCCATAGATACTGGGATGATGATTCTGTTTTAATACGTCTTATGCCAAATCTAGAATCCAGAGTTTATCAGAATTTATCTGCGAGACCAGTTAATCATAATTCGGATTAAGAATGAGAATGTGCGTCGATCAATTTGCCAATAAGCATATACTTTAATGGAATGAATTTTTCTATTTCCCAGGCTGAGAAAAAAGGCGCCTCCGCTACTGAATATGGATTGGTCTTTGGTATATTCGAATTCGTAGTCTTCATCATAAGTCCCATTTATGGGCAGCACGTGAGTTCAATTTTGGGTCTGATGATCGTTCAAATGATCCTTATGTATGATTGACAATAAATTAATTGTCTCTGGGGATTCTGTCAGGAAGCATTGTCACTAGGATTTTTGTCTTTACAATGACTTCATAATTTTCCGATTGCCATTGCTTCTTTTATTTTCTTAGAGGAAACTTAAGATTTCAATTTAACAGCTCAACCGCTTAGGGCCAAAGCTTCTCTTCAACGGCGGAATTCTAACAACCGGCACTTGCGCCATTTTCTTTGGCCTTCTGGATAAGGTCGAAGGTCATTATCCTTTCATCATCCTCAGCTTCGTCATCAGGATCGTCGAGGCTCTTGGTAATGCTGCGTTTCTCACAGCGAGCTTCGCCATCATCGCCAAAGAATTTCCAGATAACGTCGCAACGACTTTTGCAAGTCTGGAGACATTCTTCGGTCTTGGACTTATAGTCGGACCTACAGTTGGTGGGGCCCTTTATCAGGTAATCTCTAATCTAGTAAACGACGCGCAGGTTCGGGTGACTCATGGTTTCATTAATCTGTAAAAATCATTGGATTAATATTTATATAAATCCAGGTTGGTGGCTACACAACACCTTTTGCTGTGTTGGGATCAGCCCTGTTCTTGGCAGCTGTCATGACAGCTTTTGTCCTACCAACTCATGACAATGACGAGCAAGATACTCAAGACTCTGGTGGTATAAAAACTATATAAAAATTCAATACACTTAATACCAAACGAGTGCTTAGGTATTTTCAAGAAATCTTACAAAGTCTCATCCGATCCCTCCTCCCAGGTTTCATGAAGGTCTTAAGGATTCCTGGCGTAATGGTGGCAGCAGCCTCCATAATTGTAACAAGCATGAGTATCGGTTTCCTCCAGGCGACACTGGAGCCTCATCTACGTCAATTCAACCTGAGTCCAGTAGTTTTGGGCCTTATGTTCATTATAAACGGTGGCACGTACGCCATCACAGCACCAGCCTGGGGTTGGCTCTGCGATAAATATTCGAAACCGAAGGTAAATCATTTTCATTGTTATTAACAACCACAATACATTAAATAATACTTGCCATATAAATGCTTAGGTAGCAACAGTCATTGGATGCGTCTTGGTAATGGTAGGATTCTGCTTAGTGGGTCCAGCACCTTTCATCCCAGGAACAACCATAATTTGGCTGACAATTTTGGGCCTTGTCATACATGGCTTAGGCATGTCAGCCCAACTAGTAGCAAGTTTTACAGATGCTTTAAGAATTTCCATGTAAGCCTGTCGATGGGACTTATAACACTGCTGTATAACAAGTTGCCATTATTTGGGCGCCATACTATTAACACATATATTATACCTCGCAGATCCTACGGATTTCCAAATAATTTAGAAACATATGGACTCATCAGCGGTCTGTGGACTAGTACTTTTGCACTGGGAGCCTTTATTGGGCCCAGCATAGCAGGTATTCTCTTGGATACTATTGGGTTTAGAAACGCATCCATGTTCATAGTACTCTTGCATCTCATCGTGGTTAGTACAATTGATTTAGTGGTTTGGAGTCTTCATAAATCGTCGGCATTTCTAGAAAAATATTATTAATGGATTAAACTTCTTTTTTCAGGGTATCGTAGCCACATTATTCTTGACCTGTTGCAATAGTGGCCCAAAGCCATATACAGAAGTTGGCAGTCACGAAGATATAAGGGCTTCATTGAGTTGCAGCATTAGGAACAACAGTACCAGTCTTCCGTTGGGTGTCCGGGCACAGGGGGTCCCAATTGACAGGCCCAACGGAATGAATTCTCTTATTGCATGTAACAGCTATTCGAATAGGGCCGGAGCATGGTCAAGGGCCTCATACAGTGGTCGCTATACACATAGTTACGGATCCATAGAGTCTAAACAATATTTGGAAAGAACTACGTGATTTTGATTACGTATAGTAATTAATGATGTAATCAGAGGTTACTGGGGAGACGCCAGAGTGTTCCACAGACTTTCAGAAAGAATAATGGAATGAGAAGAACAAAATTGTAAAATGTCAGAAAGTGGAAAACCGATAAGAAACCAAAAATATTTGATTTTACAAGTTTCTGGGCCACGTGCGACTTCTTCAGCAGGGACTCCTTTACTTTAATTGTATATATGATATTACTAGGATTAATGATTATTCTTTATTACACGTGGTTCTCGAGTATCCATGACCTCGTCTCTGAGGTTTTAATAAAATATTATTATCCGTTATCACTGTCTCTCATTTATTTACTTTCGTTATTTCAAAATCTACTGACGGGCATCCAAAGGAAAGCGCATACGTTCTCTTGGAATTCTGAGAATTTACTTTCGACCATTGAATACTAGATTTTCACTTTCAATTGAAAGTCGACTGCAATCGTTTCAGCGTTTCGGAAAGCAATCGATTTGAATTAGTCGTCGAATTCAGAATCAACAACTAGAATGACGCATTCATGCACACCTGCGCATATACAATAGACGTTACTGGGTATGTGGCCAGTAGTTGAAATAATTTACTAGCAGTCGTATGGAATGATGCGAATAGTAGCAAAAATCCAATTTCCACTATCTAAATAGTCATTGATAAGACTGACCGACGATTAAAATATATAAAATATCAGATCTGTTGATTCAACCAATGAACATAACGATTAGTATAAAATCCAAGAGAACGCACATCGTCTTCTTCGGTATTATTCCTCATAATTATAACAATTTTTTACTTTCCTTTTTCAAATCATTAAAATTTTTATAACGTCAACAGGTATACCTGTATGTTGTCTGCATACGCAAGTTACTATCTACACCCTATTCTCTGGCGTTACTGATCACTGAGGCGCATCGCGCATTCCGGAAGTAGTTCCATCCTATACCTACAGTTACGTCATTGGCACTCACGTAGTTTGGCAGTCCCAAGAATACTACCTGACGTAGCATCCAAATGCTAGTCATCAATTAAACAAACTGCAGGTATCCAAGTCATGAAAAATAGTGTCCAGGTAGTCAACGCAGTCCTGATACACCTGTAAGAGAAAAAGGTACCTAAATAAGTAAAATAAAAAGTATTATAATTCAAATGTGAAAGAATCTTTACCAGACTACCTCCCACCCAAAAGCCAATCCATCCAAGCATATTTGAAAGCACCTGTAGCTGTTACATACAGAGGGTGGATCCCAGAGAACAGGTAGATGATGATTCAGGCAAGGTGCTGCCACCTGAGCTGTTTAGTACCCGGAGTCACCTAGGAGCCTCAACAGGTGAGCCACCACACCATCAACCACGGAATAGGTCCCTGAAGAGAGTTCTGTGAAGGGATATCGGTTGGTTGTAGGTATAAAGTTGGCATACAGTAAAATGGCCCTCCCTTCCACCTTTCACTGGGTCCGTTTGCGGCTGCGCTTGCGTCGAGGCCTTCGTGGTCTTTTGCCCGAGACGACCGGGCATCGTGAACGGGCCCAAAGTCCGCTTCCATTCGGTGGGGAAGGAAGGCCGCGAATCGCGCTCGCAACATTCGGACATCGTTACACACACACTGCGGTTACACTGTCGCGTTAAGCCGGCTGGCCTTATCATTACATTGTTTCCTTATCAAAGAGAATTTTTTATCAAAAAAATAATAGAAAGCAAAGGGTGACTGTGAATAGTTGAGGAAAACGTCTCCCTTGGACTACCAGGATATCCTCTTGTGAATTTTTCATTTTTATCGAACTTGACCAATCACTTTGTCTCCTTTGATTCCTTTTGGGACTTGCCCAATAATCTTTTACTTGACACACTCTGGATTCAGGAACTCAGCGGGATACTCGATTACACCCGTTGTGATACAGTGCTTTATAAGTGCCATGGGGATCTAGAGAACACAAGGGTAAGTTTCTTTAGCATTGGTTAGTCCATAAAATTTTGTATTACTGCTAGATATATATTACAACCCATGTTTCTTCGTTATTCAGTGAATAACGTGTGTGGTTCCTACCTCTTCTACTGTTTAGTTTTCAAATTCTCCAGGAGAATTTCTGGTACAATTTTCTAACGGTACTTTAACTAATAATCCTCTTTGGCAACGAGCATCCTTAAAAGGAACCCTATACGTATTCTCAATATTGAGAATCCCATTCCCAGGAACCCTTACCGGATTCTCCGTAGACCTTCCATGAAAGTTGTAAAAGGGCTCGCGAGGGATGTCATTAAACAGTTTAAAGTAGCGTCTAGACGGTGATTTGAACGCCGGCCAGAGCGCTGTCCCACGATCCTTAAATATATTCCTTCCTTCTGCTGAAATAGAGTCCGTTCGTCGTAACTCCTTTGGAAATCCAAACTAGAATCGGCAATCGATTTTTGTCTGAAAGAAATAAAGAGGGAGTTAGTGAATGATACGAGACTCGTGAGTGGCTCAAAGAAAGAGAAGGAAAAAGAAGAGAGAGAGAGAGAGAGAGAGAGAGAGAGAGAGAGAGATCGCACGTCGCGATCGGCTCGCTTGGATACCGGTTGGAGAATTTGAAATTGTGATTCCAGGCGTGTCCGAGTAAAGAGTAAAGGAAGAGAAAGGAAAGAGAGGGTCTTACCGGCTTGTATTGAGAGAGAAGAGAGAGAGAGAGAACTTGAGAGAGGGTCGCGCACACATCTCTCGCACCTTACGTCCTCGAAAAATGCCTCCCCTCGTACACCCCAAGAATTCTATGAATGTATGCATTTGGACGTGGGTGTATCCTTCGGAGAATCTTAAGTATCCTTAAGTAGCTCGAGTCCTTTCGAATGACTCCCAAAAGAGAGATATACGTATGTACGATGTATGGACACATGGGCCCAGAGGCACTTCTCACGGCACTGGGATCCTTGAAGAAAAAGAAAGAAAAAGAAAATAAATTAAAAAGTCAAACCAACTCTAAAAACTATTCACTTGCCTTATCGCTGAACGAGGGGCCTCGCGAGCAAGGACTCTGGGACTCATCCAACAAGAAAATCCCTGAAGCAATCACGAAAAAGCTCAAATAATTGCCAAAGCCCATGTAACCCAATATCTTCCATGTGTTTTGCATATGGGCCTGATGCAGACACGCATTTACACAGAGAAGAAAAAAAGACAGGACCCTCGTACGTTCTGGGCCTCAACGAACACGCACCTACTCGTGTGCGGGAACGCAAAATGCAGTCGGACCGGCTATACATACTGCGGGGCCCACACGAGTCCCAGAAACTTCGTAGGTCCCAATACACTGACTATCCTCGTCACACCTACAACTTTCCAGGGCCCAGATCGATCTCAGTTCTCCGAGCCATCCATAGCCAGGAAATGAAAAAAAAAATAACTCTGGGTCCACTCGGTTCTAATACAAAAGTTACGACGCGTCGCGTATACCCTATTTACAGTGATATTTTAATACTCGACTATTATCACGTCTCGCTTTTTCATTTACCCAAAAAATTCACACAAGGCCCACGCTCGATCATGCGTATCCACTTAGTAGGTAGACTCGATAATCAGTTTCAAACTAAATACAAAAATTCAAACCAGCATTCATCCCTCGACACTCGTCGCTCGAGTTACATAGGATTCTATGACTCTAATAAAAAAAGGCAGTTTACAATTTACACAGTAGTTATAATCCTAAACAATGGTACCTGTGACGTCACTCGTATGCACCTGCGTGTCACGTACCTACTGTTGTGCATAGGAGCACGCGTGCATAGGAACAGAATGGCTCTGGAGTCCTATGGGAGCAGCCACCCCGAGTACGTAAACGCAAATGAACGACGGTAAACACTGTGAAGTACATTGCGCGTTTATACGCTATATACATGTCTATTATATATATCTACATACGGGGTGGGACATTTATAAATGACCAGGTGAATTATTTCGGAAACGAAGACAGATAGCACAAATTATTTCAGACAAAAGTTGTGGGGTTTTAGGGCGAACGGGAGATTCCGGTAATGAAATCCTTTCTACGTGTTTACGTGGAGCACGTTGTGCACGCGGCTTTAGAGCGTAATTTGACCAGGGCCATTAACTGACTAGGGACGTTAAAGTCGCATTTCGCGCCCCACTAGGACTCTAATTCCTTCTCTAGAAGGATGGGAGGGGATAGTAGTTAGTAGACGCCAGGTAACGCAGAGAACGAATATTTTTTCTTACTTTTAAAATATCTTATCATCTGTCAATTTTGGGTCATAAGTGCACTTGTACTCGTGGACTCAAAATTGAATGATTTCACTTCCGAAAAAATCGACCTGATCGCTATAAATTTCCCACCCTGTATACGCTCGCACAGCCTATGTAACACCAACGTCTTTTCGCTCAGTAACTTGGTATCGCTTTGCTTCAAGACCGGATACAAGCGTACAGTCATCCGGAATAGAAAAAAAAGTCCATGGGGATATTTACATGGCGATAAGCAACCATATTCCTCGGTCACGAACAGTTTTCCATGGAATATTCTGTATATATATGTATATCCGAAGTGGCTGGATAAGTTAGATACTGGATCCGGACTGTTTCCTTGGTTGTCTGTCTGCCACTCTGGGCCACTTGGATAGGAGGGTACCAAGTGATTTATCTCTGGTCCCTTGAGGGATGGTCCTCCTTGAGACTCTCAAGATTTTTATTTTAAAGTTTTGGACTATTCTTAGCAGGAAAAATTGGCAACAGCTGGTAACAATGTCCTGATACCATTGTTCATGATTCGATTTAACCATGGGTGATTCGAGTTACGGATTTTAACAGAACGAGTACGTCCGTCTCACTCTTACGCACGTAAGAGCTCATAGGTATGTCTCTGTCGCACTTACGAGAGCTATACGGAATTCGCTAAATCTAAGGCCTAGACCTTCTCCGTTCGCTGAACCGTATCTTCATAGACTGTGCATGATTGTCGAAGACTGTTAGTCTCGATTCATTGACTTGACTGGGTCTATTGTTCTTTTTCTTTCTTTCTTTTGTCCAGAAGAACTGTATCTGGGAGGTTCAAGGGACTTTGGGACCACGTCGTCTGGGCCCTTTGAATTATCTGGTTACAGCGAATATCCAGGGAAGATCTTGACAGACTTTCACCGTTTAAAATTCGTCCGGCGTTTTATACGCGTGTGTCGTGTGTATCTTCCGCATGATGGTGTACCGAAAAAAAGTAGGCCCCGCTAAATACCTTATTACTTTTGAATTTACATACAGCCGCGACATAACAGGACTTTGCGTCGTTCGATCTGCCATTTGCGAGTGAAACGCAGCTTCGGTACATAACGCGCAGGCACTATCGATACGTTCTCCATATATTTTTCCTCTTGACACTCATTCCTTGCCTTTCTTCGAGCTGTTCTCTAATATAGAGGCGAATTTCTAACTGGCGGAAAAACTTGCTGCGACTAAAACTTCGCTCGGCGTCCACTCTTCTTGCCCGCGATTACTTGCTGCCATCCTGTCGGTTTCAGCTTTCCTTTGAGTTTCTAGATGCACATGACTATACCAGATAGTGCGTAGACGATTTTTCTTATCTGAAAAAAAAATGATCTATGAGTTTGTTAAGAGGTTAGAAAGAATTTTTTTAAATATTACTGTAGGATAATACCTTTCGAATCTGACAGATTACACCTGGACCCGAAGAACGCTGTATGGCCTTCTAGAGAATTGCTAACTCTATTACTCGAGATGATACAGCGATAAAATTCACAAAGTATTATTCAGTATAGAAATAGCAAGCAGCGATGCGTGTGAAATTTTCATAAAGGCTTGCACACACGTCGGAAATCGCATGGAGACAGTTAGGTCTGTTACGTATGTAGCTACGGCTTATTACGGCGTTGTGGTTCAACGACCACCAGGTATTATTTCTTACAGTAGAATTATTCGATCCTACACTTACAGCCTATTGACATATTCAATAAATTCATTGACTAATTAGATTATGAATTGAAGTTTTTAGTTTATCGAAGTAGACAGAGATCTGTACCATATGCAGATAATAAAGCAATTCTCCAGATGAGGTCGTCCTTGCTCGACTTAAAGGCTCGTTCATAAGAGTAGCTTGTGCTCTCTGATATCCCGAGGACTAATCAACGATCGGCAGATCCGGTCGTCCTTACCAGAAGGACACATAGTTTAAACCTGTACAAGTACAGTCGATCGTACAAGAAACGGTGCTCCTGGTATCAGGAGCTTTCAAAATCCACTCCCAGTGATGATGACCGTCGTTATTTTTAGGAATTATGTCGTATTCGAGGACATGACCTTGAAGAGCTATCGACCTCGATTCCACTCTAGTGCGACCTAATTATCCTAATCGACACCATTCGAATTCGGCTCATGCTCAGCATCAGTAATAATACAGGTAACGATCAGTCTGAAGATGAGTACTCAGACTGTACTTTGGGTGACTTATTAAATTAGTACCTGAGAACAATAATAATTAATCAGTATTAATTCATTGATTAAATCAGGATAATCCTGATCAATTCCCACAGTTGTTACTTAACTGGTATGAGTATTAAATATCCATCCCAATGGCGCAGCGTCGTATCAAGTATCCTTAGTGCCAAGGATCCACACTTGGTGCAATCGTTCCCATGAAAAGAGTCGGCAGCGCCTTTTTGTTTCCTTTTATTTATTTCTTTTAAACTAGACCTTCCTTTTTTTTTTTAATAAGTCTATAATACATCGCATCCAAGTGTCCATGGCTGGCTATCAGTCAAGCCCGCATAGGAGTGAAGCAAAATTGATTTCACGGACGTTATCGTACTTGTATTAGACATATAAGGTGGTAGCACTGCATGACCAATTTCCAGGTAGACTGTAGTATGGATGTTGATAAAAAAAGGAACCAGGCAACCAGCTTAAGAAACGTCTACAAGTCTTCTATACACAAACTGGTACAGGGAAACTCAAGTGTTTGTGGTAGACACGCGCCTACATGGTCGTGTTCAATGATACGACCAGATCAGCGTAGGTATATCTAACCAGTACTGGTGGATTTCTAAGCAACGACGTGTAAGCAAAACGAGCCAGCGACACTTTCACTTATACTGGCAATGTCCGATTGGTATTACCGGTATGCACGGCGGGGCCAGTTACGAGCCTTGCGACCATTCCCTGTTCGCCCTTTGGTGTCTGGAAAATAGCAGGAACTTGTGCATGGACTGACTAAGGCCCAAAACAGTATTCTTATCTGAAACCAAGAATTGGTCCATTATACACAGTCTTTTGACATAAGCACCTGTTTATGGAGGCAGACGGTTTATTAATGTAAAGCAGAGTACATTAGGTAGAGTCACAGTAGATTGACTAAGTGTCTTGTCACTGTAGCAATTAACGTGGATCACGGGCTGATGATAATTGATCTAATTAATTAATTGAATTAATCTTACTTGTGAGAAACCCACCTTTTTATTCATTTTAAACAATCTCATGGAAGTTCTTGCAATATGGTATGTAGTGGCCACGCCTCATTTTGAGCTCTAGACTTTTTTTTTGGTGACGTATCAACTCCCTGGGGCCCAGTTAGTCTTTGCATTTTCCTTGAGGCTTAATGGCTCTTGGTGCTCAAGTTGGATTTCGAAAAGGTCACTTGCGTTTCTCTGAATTCTAGATCATCTGTCTAGTATCGATGCACGCATGTCTGTATATAGATTTTGAATGGTACTCGCCTCATGTAGCATTTCACTATTAGAATCCGCCATATGCTTTTTGTCACGGTTGTACAAATGGCTCTCCGTATGGTCACTTCTCAGAGACGTTTCAATACTTAAGACTGAACGGTACCAAGGACCTTCTTCTTGGGTACAGAACATTTGTAACAGAGGTACGGCAAATGACGGTCCCAACTAAACAGAAGAAAAGTCCCAACCATTGTCCATACTTGTGAGCAATGACTTCCAGCTGTTAAGGAACAAGAGAATGGAAGTGGTTGACATTTTGCACAGACTGACTTATTGAAAGACTTGGGTATACTACAAGACAGAGTCACGTACCAAGAGAATATCTGGACTAGGATACCAGATTCAAACATAGACTGATGGACCCAGGTCCTGGAGTTTTCTGTCAGGCATAAAGACCCCGGATTGTCCTGATCCAGGAAGTGAAATCGAAGGACCTTTGACCTGGAAGGTTTTTAATCCTACGAACTGCCACTTCCGGTGCTTGTTGAAAGGATTCTTAAAATGTGATAAATATTCCCGTCATCGATACGGCATCCGGCCGTACCTTGATTCTTCATCTAAAAAAAATATACGTGTTCCAAAATACGTCAGTTGCTCAACGTGCTAAGAAATCTTAGTTGAATTCGCACCAGGGCAACAATTTCTAATCGAGAATATCAGCGGAGAATATAAAGTTGACGATCTGCATCGTTGACATTTCGAGCGGAACGGTGGAAATGATTTCCTCAAGGCCGCTCCTTCTGTGCTTCCCACAAGTTCCTGCTGGTGCCTTGTACTCGGTACGCGTACCCTGACTTTTTGTCTTTCCCTTGGTATTGTAAAATTCATATTTTCATCATTTCACCATGATTCATCGTCACGAATTGGCAGCCCTGTCTCTGCTCGTGCGAAACAATATTATTCCAGGCACGAATAACGACGTGCCCCGTTTCCAACGTATTGCTTTGGGACTTGGGAGTGAGTCTCAGCACATGAAATCGAAATGACTTTTTCTGGCTCTTTGACTCTTGTTTCTACCTAGACAGACTATAACGACGCGTCGCGACGCAAGGTCGTTCTCTCTATTGGTCGCGACTTTCATTTCGCTTAAGCTTGCTTGGTCGCTTAGTCGCGCCACAGTGTTATAGCTATTAAATAATTCCGCACCCGTAAACTGGTCGCGCGCATAAGAATGTTCCACCAGGTACCACCAGAAGTTGACGTACATGGTCGACGAGTTCTCCAAGAGAATGTGTACCAATGTGGGACTTAAATATATACACAATTAACTCTTCAATATCATAAGATCTTATGACGGATCATCCTGTTGTCTTGGTGATAATCGATACGTGTTGATTTCTGTAATTTTGTATCTTTCATCTCTTCCTTACGACTCCATTGCGTCATCCTGGTTATCCCACAAACACCAGATCCGGTTAATCTCTTGAGATCATATTAATTCGACGAGTTACCCTCATCTCCAAGTATTAAATACTTCCACGGTGATCGTTATGAGTCCCTGCAAAAAAATATTAAGAATTATTTATCAATGCTCGCATAACTTCCTCGATGGAGTTTTCCACAGCAATATCCTTATTAGAATATTTTACCATTCAACCGGTACATCATTTCCTGAAGATGACTCGACTCGGAGAACCACTCTGTTGTTGTACGTGTCTTTACGCTTGTGCTTCTTTTCAATCCTCACGACCAGCTCTTTCTTTACATTGATTTTTCTGTTCTACCCGCGATGCAAAGCAATGCAAAGTAAGGTAACGCAAAGTACTGTAAAGCCATGCTGCTTATACTCATAACCATGAAGTTTGCAGTAGCCAAGGAATGTCGTTGGCTCGTGCCCTCCTTGTGCGTTTCATTACACGCTGCACATGCACCTGAGAGAGATGTCTGAATGTATATGCATACAGGACTCTCGCTACCGATACACCAGAGAGTTGGGACTTATGTAAGTGTTGGTTGGCAAGGCCCCCAGGGCCCTGAAGCACGAGCTCATGCCACTGCAAGTCTGTTCCACTTTCTAATCAAACCGACCCAATGTATGGACCAAGAAGTTCGGACTCTCTCGTCTGAGCAGATGGGTCATGAAAAGTCAAAGAGCTAAAAGAAAAAATGAAAAAAAATTCTAGTAAACAAGACACAGTCGTATAGAAGTATTTCAAAGAAAAATTCTCAGCTCACCTTACAGACAACATTGCCATTTTTTCCCCCTTTGATCCTACACGATGTGTAACCAGGGCCTTAAGGGGGTTCCAAGTGGGCCAGTCTACTTTCGCAAGAGCAGATGTGGACCCAAATCATCTTTCTCCTTGTGGATCTTTAAAGAAATCGTCTTCCCAAGTGGTGAGTGTTCATCGAATGAGGTCTTACTCTTATGTGTATTACTAAATTATTCACTATCTTATAATTCAGATTATTAGATACACTCTACTCTCAGGATTGCCAATGGCAAATTTTAAAAAGAGCCGGTCCAATCTATAACCAGATTGAATGAACTGACTTTGAAATGTGTTTGACTTGGTTTATTGTGCTACATTGGTAGCAGTGCAAGCTTTATTTGGCCCAGGGAGGTAAGTTAGTAGACATAGAGAAAGGCACTGGACGTTCTCCACGTGACTACTTGAAATTTCTCATGTATTATTACTTAATTGGAATGTGTATAATCACTGGGCCATTACGAAAAGTCCAAGTGGCTCTCAATAACCATTCAAGGCTCGAAACGACCCGAGTCCCAAGTCGAAGGAAAATCATGATGATCCTCTCAGCACTGTACTTAAGGACCTGACCAAAGGAGAACGGAATTGCGAGTAGTGCATCGGCCTGGTCTGCTCAGACACCAACTGGGTTACAGACGGTTACATAAAACACGACAAGAAACGGTCACCTTTATAAAATGCATGACATGCCGTGGTACGCTTTACAATAAGAAGAGGAAAATAGCCGCAACAAGAAGTCAAACGAGAAAGAAAGGCCGACAGTGCGCGACGTAGAATAATGAATAAAACCAGTAGAGTATTTATCCGGAAAAATATACCGTGCCAGAATAATCATTGCTTATATTAATAACGAGCCTAATGGCTTGTTTTTAATAGCAGTAACGTAACGCGAGTAGAGCATTATTAATTCCACATTTAATTTCTAACTAATCAAGAACTCTGAGTCGATCTTTAATATCAGTTCTGATTGACTGAACGATTGAAAAACTCTAGGTTATTGGCTGTCTCTGGTATTTCCATAGGAAAGGCATGGCAGTGCAAGGTCATACAATTTTCTAAATCATTTCCTTACTGCAATGGAATTCCCATTTTTACATTATCAATCCAGACGTTTACAGATACATCTATAGATCTGTTTACGATTAAGCTGTTTCAAGGCACACCCTACTCTTTTCGTAATGTATTATTTATAGAATAAATTGACGTTGACTCTCGGCGCTTATGTAGGCAAGCTACCGTTTATACTATATGTCATTTAATAACTCATCTCGAATGTGATTCCTTGCTCCAATACAGAACCCATGGCAGATACATAAATATCTAAGGCACTAGGCGTGACCTGGATCAGTGCAAAAACCTGATCAATCATAATCCTCTTATTTTGTACTTTTTTCTCTGACTTTTTATCATCATTACCACACGTTGGGTTGTAACCACGCAACAGTAAACCGTAACGATTCTCTTACGCTTCCTCATGCTTCCCTAGAGTTCCCCTATACGCAACCATGCACGCTTAGATATCCGGCAATGCGACCACAGAGAATTTTCATTAAAATCACGTAGTCCAATTATTTCCAAGAAACACTAAATGCTCTCTAAAGTCACGTTAACGGTACTAAAACGATAATGATCGGAAATGTTTTTCACCGCGACGTCTAGCCCACGTAAGACAAAAATATTATTATGAACTCTAGGCCAAGTGGTACCAAACATAAGTAAACTGTCTTGAGAATACCCTGGAGTCACGAATGACGCAAAAATGTAAATGGTAATACCGTCACGGATACCTCCTACAGTTGCCAATACCAAATCCAATAGGAATTTCTATTGCAAGGAACAAGGATTCTCATTCGATACCTATACTGATTCTACAGTCAGTTTCAAACGTGACTTCCACCTACGCCATACCACAGGTTCAACCACTGGTACCAAGTATGCATGCATGTACGTAGGCTAGTACATACAGTAGGTGCATGCGCGGGTATTGTCTCCTCGGGGAGGAATGTAGAAAGTAAAGTATCTTAGGTAACTCAAGAGTAAAGTATAGGTTGAGCGACGGAGGATGCTCCGTGGAAGTCTGCCTTCACATCGCGTGGAAAGGTCACTCACAGCCTGGCAGAAAACAGCATTGTGTGTCGTTAGCCAGCAAACGGCATTTACTCACTAGAGAATTGCTATTGCCATCCTTTCTTCTTACTTTTTTCTTCCTTCGTTACTATTTTTTCTCATCCACATTCTTTCTCCTACCCTCAATTCCTTTGAACGGACCTACATTATTCTCACATTCCAATTTGTCATAATTTCTTTGTCCCACTCTCTTCTCTATCTCTAATGATTTATACTATCACCTGGATAAAAAGTCCATGAGTAATTTTACAGTTATCTCTCCCAGCATCTTGACTTTAACTCCTGCTCTATCCAGGAAGATCGTCTTCATCGCGCTACTTCATTGTATATACAGGAACAGTGCTTTACAGCTTATATTTATTGCAGGAGGTTTCATCTGAAAGCTCAAACTGTTGTAAACTTGTTTACGAGTCAAGACCGAGTCTCTGCTTCTATGATGGTACTTACCGCAAGAGTGTACAGTATGGAGAGTCTACACTGTATTCTACTATAGAATTATAGAGTAGTAGTTGTTTCAAAAGGCATCAAAAGTCTCAAAGCTCATGACCAACTATAAGTTAGGAACGATATAAGCTTTTTTAAAGGTGATCAGCAATAAATTTGTCTGAAAAATAAAAAGACTAATTAATATAATCGTATTTGCCTTCCTCTTGATTATTTATGAATTTACATATATACCTACGAATATATGGAATGAAGATCCTGTCTGAAATCTCGCGTAGGTGGATCGAAGTACCTAGGAAGATATCCATAGGTCCCAGTGGTAACGTGCTTACCTACCGGTTTTCCGATTTTTACTCTTGTTTTCAACCGGCTGCGCCATGCTTACGTACGTAGACCATTGTGAACGGGTACGATCGAAATGGCAGATAGTCGAATACTGCGGTTTACCATCGCACAATAGAAATTTTCGCACGTCCATCCAACCGAGTGACTTCCTGTTCCTTGAAAAATGTGGCTTCCCTCTTTTCTCTTTTTTTCTTTCTTTCTTGATACCCTCCATGCATTTATAACGTACTTAACTAGTACCTTTATAAGTACTTTGTCTCTTTAAGAGTCGGAAATTGAAATGAACGTAAAGGTGTAGGAAGATGATAGCAATTACATTGCCATATCAATTACCGAAGAAGTAGCAATGTGATTAGTAGAAGCATGTTGACTTCAGTACGTATAATAATGCATGAGATCGAAGTGGTAATTTTAAATCGAGCCAAGGCGCGCAATAAAGCTAATAGCCACTTTGTAATTGCCTGTATTATCTCGCGGGATGCGAGGAGCAGACCGATAGGTGTATATATATGTATATTGTGAGACCCAATATATATCTTGTACTGGATAGTACACAGAGTGGAGTACCTGGCTGATTTATGATTTTCGGAAATCCTGCATGGCTACGTTGGTCGCCATTTTGTCAAGAAAAAAAAAAGCGGCCAAGTCTACACTTATGATTTTTTATCCAATTTGAACAGGTTCTCTTAAACGAATCCCGTGGGATTATGTCATTGGTAGGGGTAGACTCTTGCAAAATTGGGCAGTAGACTCAGGCCGAGGGTTCTGGGCCTTTGGGACCCTGGTGAATCAGTCCTTTGTAGCCAGCACTCTCAGGGTCAACCACTTTTGGCATAGTGTATACTACAGTCACTGGACGTATAGACGGAGGCAAGTCTTCTGAGTGTGAGACCAAAGTATCGCTGGTTCCAGGAGAGATGAACAGGGGTCCAACATGCCGAGTGGACGTTCCTGGTCGTGTGGGGCCCGGACCCCAGCTCCTGGGGCCCTCTTGGAACCTCTGCGAAACTCTCAATGCTCTTTTTACTGTCCTGGTTCCCTGGGTTTATTGGCTCTCCGTGGCAAAAAGAGAGCCGAGGAGGAAAGTAAAAAGAAGACAGAGAATGAAAAAAAAGAAGAGTATAATAATAAGAACAATATAAAAAAAGAGAGAAAGAAGAGCCTAAAGGAGAGAGGCAAAAAATGAAGAGAAGACAAAAGACCGTCTGAATCCTGGGCAGGATGTGCCCCGGGTTCCCTGGTTCGATCATCTCGTCTGTATTTCGTACCTCGTAGAAATCTCGGAACTGGTCTCTTCAGAAATACATATGCTCATGCTATATAAATACTATATGCATTATTTATTCACCACTGACGTCATCCCATCATCTAGGGATAAACCGGTGTATCCTAGTCTCCAGGATTTCGCGGGATTACTCATCGTCATGACCTCCCAGAGGGAGACTCCTCGTACTTCCACCATGATTTACAGAGTCTCACGGTCTGGTCCCATGCAATTTGTATTTTCATTTGGTTACTCGTTACGCATTAGGGAAGGCCATAGCACTTTCAAGCTTCTTGGATAAGATAATTAATAAATCCTTAACAACGAGGTCAACAGTCCTTGTAGATTTCCAGTTTCAATTTTCATTCAGGGTGAATGTATAAAGGTGATCATCGCTCCACCAAATGACTTCCTGGACCATATTCTCTTCGTTATTATGGTATACTGGTTATCAAGATTTATTTTGTCTTTTGCAGAATCAAAGGAACGCATGTCAGTGGCTGCCAGGAGTGCAGTAGTCTAGTGAACCCGGGCAGAGCCAAGGGTAGAGGATGTCGGAAGGCGGTGGAACTGATAATCCGGCCTTCGCCGAAGACGACGTAGCTACCGGTACCAATGTGAGCACGGTGAACCTGGAGAACAGTCACACGGAGAGTCTTCAGGATAGCCAAGTATCTGCGTCCTTGGATCAACAGGAGAATGCACCCGTACAAAATGGGCACCAGCAGTCCTTCGTGTCCCAACATTACGTTGAGCCTATCAGGACAACACCGGAACCCCATTACAAGACTGAGACCAGGATAGAACTTCCTGCGGATGTTCCTGACAAGAGTCCAGTGCCTGCTAAGCTCAATGGAATCCACGGGAATGGAAATAACAATGATGCTAGTTTCCTGAACAGTAGCACTGCCAGTGCGCAGCCTCCTGGTGAGATATCTATCGCTTCTTATCTTGTTATACGAATAATCAAACATTGCTCCATCGTGTGAGGCAGCACGGTTCTTACCTGGTAAACATAAACGATTGTTAATTACTGGTTTAGCGACAAAAGTCATTCGAGGTCAGAGAAATCTAGGAAACCGCGACAGCCATACTCTTACGACACTGAATACTTTAAGTAGAATTAATTTCATGCGACGCGTCTACTGCGTTTCTAGTGACGCCTTCTATGCTTTTCCTACTTGAGTTATTTTTGCATACTGTGGGAAGTTTGATGCTTGAGGAAATGACGTCAGTTAACTTCGACAGCTTCTGATGCGACTATTCCTGGATTTCCGGATGGCAAGAAGGAACAGATTGAAGCAGTGAATTTGGAACTGGTATCAATGAGGCCTTACACTGGTGGTAACCTCCAGAGTAAAGGTCAAGAAGCGTGTGAGGTCCCAGCTGATCCTTACGAAGAGTATTTTGTGCCTGTGAACGAGCACAGAAAATATATCAGGTAATAAAATAAGAAAACTTCTTTTATATATCTTTAAAGACAGAATCTCATTATTTCATACTTAACTATACCTTAACAAAAGACTATCGTGTACTGTTCGCCAGCCCGGCGGGCTTAGGATATTGTCAGAAGGTCTAGGCCAAAGAGATTTCATCCTAATTGGGATAAAAATCCATCCTCCTTAGATTCGTGTTCATTTATAACCAGCGTTCACAAAGTCTGCCAGCTCCCTGTCACGCAACAGTCTTATGTCACAATTAAATTTCCAATCACAAAGGTATAACGTAAGATAATAGAAACTAAAAATACAAATACAATTATGCTATCATATCCTATACTGGACAAGGAAGTCAGTTAGAAGAAGAAGAAAAAGAAGAAGAAGAGAGAAATAGAGAGGTGCCAAGTAACAAGTGAATTGCAAGATACCTTAGAGTTTACGAAATTCATCCATGTCACAATAGACTCCATAGAAAAGCGTTGAGTAGTGTAACCCAACCACATTGTGACACTGGATTCAGGAAGGCGAAAACATGGGGCAGAATAATTCCTTAAAGATTAGTAGTTGCGCCACGATTGCTGGAGACGATCCAGAATGGTTTTTCTTATTGCACTGAACCCATCCTGAGAATTAGTAGTTGCCATGCCAAGGAGATGATCCAGCATTCATACGGAATAAGTATCCATGTTAGGCATATCTCCTGGGGGAGTCTAGACTTGGCTTAAAGCTAGAGAGATAGAAGGATCACAAAGATAGCCCTAGAAAGGAATACATGTTATACACCCTCGATAATAGCAGAAGCCCGGACGCAGAAGTTGAGACGACCGTAGCTGGTGTCCGTTTTGATTTGGGCCCGGGTGTTGGCCGTGAGGGACTCAGCCTGAGAGACCCAGCTGCAGGACTAGTCGACTATTCCCACTGGCTGACAGCCCTCAGGTACTTCACAAGGATGTTTCACGGAATTGGAGGATGGAAAGGCGACAGGATGCTCGGGCTGGTCCAGGAACACGCACTAACAATGCTTTGTCTATAACTTGTAAATTTAATTAAACAGGGGAAAACAATGAGAATCCATGCATACATCTTATTAAGAATTAATGGGAGGATAATTTTGTATGATTTTTCATTATTGGGTGAGAGTTGACAAAGCCTTGGGAGGCGGCAGCACGCAATTTCTTGGATATTTATTATTATCTCATTCATAATCAATGCTACCGTCATTGTTCACATGCGTTAGATCTTAAATGAGAACTTAGGTATTGGATGTGTGAGGTGACTGATAACCAAGGAGAGCTTCTAACACCGTCGCTACAGGCTGAACGAATATGATATAGCTGTGTGAACCAGAAAGCTGTACAAAGTCGCTTGGGTCTTGATGCTGTGTTAGTATTGAGATTTCATATCAAGGGATTTTGTGTTGCAGAGGCGAGAAGCTGTACGTTACTAAGGATAAGAGATCCAGTAGTTCATACTGGAGACGAATAGCTTGTTGGGGATGTGGTATCCTAGTCTTGGTGATCGCTGTGATCATTGCTATACTTGCTGCAAGTGAGTAGAATTATTTGGAATTATAGGTATTAGATTTTTTCTTTGTAAATAAAGAAAATTGTCTATGTTCCTTTTGTTTGGTTATAGCTGGTGTGATACTGACGCAGGAAGCTACTCAGCCGTTGGAGAATGGCGATCATACCAGCTCACGACAATTTGGTGATGTTCAGACAGCAGGAAGTCAGGAATACATGAAAAATCCACCGTCGAGTCCACCGCCGGAAACCTCGAGTTTCCCGTCCTGGCCGACTACGGATGAATCCATTTATCAGAATGTGCCAAAAGCTTTGGAGGGTATGGTCAAGTTGGATGATCTTCAGTGGAACGATGACTTTGATGATCCAAGGTCCAGAGTGTATCGTGATGTCAGTGGTGAAATTGAGGAAAGTCTGAGGAATATGATACATTTGGCTGATAATTTGTCTATTGTCAAAGTTTATAATATCAGTAAAGATGGTGAGGTCAAATTTAGGATTAGCTATCCTCCCTTACCTACGCCTGAGCAGACTCAAGAGAATATTGAGAAGATGCTGCAGAAAAATGGCAATATGGTTGGCAAGTATCATCTTAGCCAACTTGTTGTGAAACACTTGGTGGATGATTGTCAGCATGGTGAAATGGGATGTCAGGATATGTGCAAGTATGATTACACAGGAGGTACCTTTATGTGCTCCTGTTCACCTGGAAAAATTTTGGACAAAGATGGAAAAGTTTGTATAGACGAGAATGATCTTAGTGACGTGAATATGGATAGGGATAATACAGAACCTAGTACGGGATCGGCACATGATATTGTGCAGGGGAGAAGCAGGGGACCTGAAACTACGTTCAGCCCTAGGAGACCGGAAGATTGGTTTCATGAACCTTCTGGTTTCGTTACTGAACCTAATATTGTTCCTGAAAATGGACACCAGCACGTGGAAGCTGTTCCTGAGCCAAAATCAGAACCTGAACCTTCTGCTGAACCTGCAGCAGAACCCTCCGCTGAACCTTCCACTGAACCTGCAGCAGAACCTTCGGCTGAACCTGCAGCAGAACCTTCTGCAGAACCCGAGCCTTCTGCCGAGCCAAAATCAATGGATGGAGACATGGATCATTCAGTATTAATTCATGGACATCCCCAATTTGTTACTGACTCTATTTATGGTGAACCATCTGCTGAACCGAAATCCGAACCTGAACCTACTGCTGAACCAAAATCAGAACCTGAATCTGTAACAGAATTAATATGGAACGATAAGAGTGCAGTGGAAACGAAGTCCGAGCCTGAGCCTACTGCTGAACCAAAATCAGAGTCTGAATCTGCTACGGAACCAGCACAGAAGCTTGATCCTACACTAGAATCAACATCAGAGCCTGAACCTGTAGCAGAACCGAAATCAGAGCCTGAACCTGTAGCAGAACCGAAGTCAGAGCCTGAGCCTGCAGCAGAACCAAAATTAGAGCTGGAACTTTCTGTGGAACCAGCATCCGAACCTGAATCAACTGCGGAACCAGCATCCGAACCTGAATCAACTGCGGAACCAGCATCAGAACCTGAATCAACTGCGGAACCAGCATCAGAACCTGAACCAACAGTGGAACTAAATTCAGAACATGAATCGGCTACAGAATCAGTATCTGAACCTAAACTTATAGTAGAATCATCTGCGGAACCAAAATCAGAGCCTGAACCTTCAATTGTAACTGAAATCCATCATGAATCTTCTGCTGAGCCAACATCTGAACCAGAACCGACAGTTGAACATTCCACTGAACCTGCAGAAGAACCACAACCAGTATCAACGTTTGAATCTGTAACGGAATCATCTGCGGAACCTAAAGTTGTTCCAACAGACGATGTTAAACCAAAACCAGTATTACCTTTATCATCAACTGAAAGCACAACCGAACCTGAGCAAATGACAGTTGAGGCTGAACCATCAGTAGAACCAACTGTAAAACCAGAACCAATTAACAATACTGAAATGTCACAATCTCCAGAAGAAATAACAACAATTGCATCAGCGGATCCAACTTCGGAACCAAACCCAGAGGAAAAAAGTGCACCATCCAAGAAACCGATATTAGAACACAATTATAATCCTTTGGCAAGTGAACCGGTAGCTGAACCACAACCAGAAACTGAAACAGTAGAAAGAACTACAGAACCAATTTCTACGTCTGCGATCGTAAACGTTAGTGAATCAAAACCTGAATCAGAACCATCTATAGAACCAAAACTAGAACCGACTGCAGAACCAAAAGCGGAACCAGAACCATTAAATGAAGTGAATGAAGAAGTGAAACCATCGAAAGAAACAAAATCAACATCAATGGAATCAGTTCCAGTTCCAGAAGTAAAAGCAGAATCAGTACCAGCTATGGAGGAGAAAGCTGAACCAGAACCAAACGAAGGTTCCACATCAGAAATAATCAGTAGACCTTCGATTGAACATACGCCTCCGATAACCCATGAAAATTTAACCGAATCCATTGTCTTAGTTCCTGAACAGAAACTTCAGGAACATAACGAGTCCAACGTTATTGAACACATGCCGACAACAGTGTTCCCAAAACTGCCTAAAAACATAGGTGAAAATGTGGAACCTCTGATAGAACCTATTATTAATGATACGCATTCCGAGGAGGAGCATATGATGCTCACTCCAACCTCTGAACATTCCCCAGAAGCGCAAGATCAACACGGTGTCATTCCTCAATTGATTCCTGAACAAAGTAGCCACATCGATGACTCAAGTTCAATTCATTCTCTGACTAATGAATCTCCCATTGATCATTCCACTGTTCATCCTGAACATAACGCTGTGAACTACGTTGCATCTTCGTCATCGAGTCATCCTGAAGAGTCTGCTGAACATTCCACAAATCATCCTTTGCATCCAATGGTATTCCAGGAAAATTCAGTACCGCATTCAACTGAAAAGCTTGATGTTACTGAAGAGAAACATGCGGAAGATATGTCACCATTTTTACCGGATGTTCAGCAGGAAAAGGAGATTCCCAAAAAGGCACCAAGATTGGATAACGATGAACAGTACATGCCAAATCCGTTTGAACCACACGTGGAGGATGTTATAACCGAGTCTCCTGAAAAAATGCTAAATCATAGTAAAACGGTGAATGATATCAATGGAACTAGTATCACCGAATCATCCAGTGACGTAAATGAAACCCAAACTGATAATGGGAATAACGTGGAGAATCATGCAACTAAGAATGACGCTGAACATGAGAATGAGGTTGAGAAAAAAATTAATGACAGTATAAACAATGGAGGAGTCATTAGAGACACGGAATCTAATATTCAGAACGAATTGAATCCTGCTGATACGCAAAAAGAGGATCTCAGGCAAAATAATGATAACGATGGACGCAACCCTGAAACTACAACCGTTAAAAGCACGAAAGAAATTCCTGATGAAGAACGAATTCTCAGTGTTGTGCCACTGGAAGAGGAATACGAATCTACCGAAGCTCCAGCAATGAAAGACATCATGGAAAAGGAAAAGAATGATTTGAAACTAAATGCAGAGAAGATTCCGATGACTGAATCTACTACTGAAAAAGAAGTCATTGAAGTGTCCACTGAACATGTATCTGTTACTACTATGGTACCTGTAGAAGAAAAAATATCAAAATCTGAAGAGCCCATGGTAGAAGAGAATGTTCAGGCAAATTCAGGCAAGCCTGAAGAGAATGCTTTGGAAGATCAGTATAATGATATTAATGACGAAGCCATTCCTAAGAATTTCCAAAATCTTCATAACGAAATTCAGAGCGTAGATCGTCTTAGCAAAGAAGAGGTTGTATTAAAAAAAGCAGAGATTCAGGCGGAAGTTCATCAAGAGGAAGCAGCAACTGAAGATGACGAAGTACTAAATTCAGGAAATGTTCAGACTACTGAAAAATTATCAGGAATTACAACTATTCCTGACGTGACGGAGTCGGTGACGGAATCAAAGTCATCCATGGAAAGTGTTACCGTGATAGAAACGGAAGTGGCTGTCACATTGTTACCGGAAGTAACAGACAAACGTATGGAGGAACAAAAATTGACAACCGAAGTACCAATATTGCCTGTAGAGATACAGCAGGATATCTCAACCACGGAGTCTCTAACTAGAACTGAACCTTCCATGTCAGCTGAAAACATGACAAGTATTAATGAAGGAAGAGGAAGTGACGTCTCTATGGAAACAAGTAAAATTGTGACAACAACTCCAATGATTACTACACAGTCTACGTTAGTGGAAACTAAAACAACTGCTCAGGTACCAATCTTACCTGAAGAATTACAGACTACAGAAAATGAAGTATCAATTACCACTTCGGTGAGACCTGAACACAAGGAGATGAATGTTTCCAAATTTGGTGAAAGTACAACAGAAACTGTTCTACAGACAGAACAATCAGAACAAACTTTAGTAAAGGCAGAAATAGACAAGAAAACATTGGACATATCAGACAATAAGACTGCTGATATTTTAATAGAAAATACTACATTAGTGGAGAGTAGTACGGTTACTGAAGAAAAAGTTCAGGACGAATCAACCGAAAGACATCTTAATGAACCAATGAATTCTGAAGAAACTCAAGAAGCAGCTTTAGATACGAAACACGAAGAAAAAATGTCCAATATAAATACTACTACTGAAAAAATGGAAACTCAAACAATACCAATAATCACCAATGAGGAATCAACCCATAAAGTTGATCAGCGTTTAATGGAGGACAGTATTGATAAAATTCCAGAAACAGTTACAACACTGGACGATATTAGACCAGTATCTGAAATTATAGAGGAAGACACAAAGCCTATGGGATTCAATTTTAAACAACTTTTCACTGTTACCACTGAAAATATTGTACCCACTTTAGAGTCTGAATTGTCTGAGGAAGAGCTGCGAGTGATACCTCTTGAGCAGGATCAGGAGACTAAAAAGAAGTATGTGGATAAGAAGCCGTTAGATAAATTCAAGCAAAAGAAGGAAAAAGAATTGAATTTGGAGACTAGAAAGGATGATAAGGAAAGATCTACAACAATGCTCTCCGTAGAGGTTCCAGGAACTATTATGACAGTCACTGAGAAACCTCAGGAACCTGAGATAACTACAACGGTGGTGGCTCCTAGTGTACCTAAATTTATTCTTGCTGATACGGAAGGCAATATAGTACCAATTCCGCAGTTAAAGATTGCTGATATCACTTCTGGAATGAATCACTCTCAAGGAAATGTTGAATCATCAACTGAAAGACTTTCAGCTAATGAAACAATTCCAACTGTTATAGAAAATCAGCCACTGATTCCCAGCATAATTCCAGTAACTGAAGAAGTTGAGGAGAACGATGAGAAAGTTATGGAAGTGGCAATTACTGTGCCTAAAACAGAACCTGTGGAATCGGTAGATGTGAAAAACGAGACTGTTACTGATGTTGTAAAATCTGAAATTTTAGAAAATGCCTCATCCCCTATGAAAATTTCAAAAAATGAAAGTGTTAACGAACGCTTGAAAAATATCGAGAATCGTGAAGAAGCTCTCATGCAAATTCCTAATATACCTATGGAATCTCAAACGAACAAAACGATCGGTTATGAAAATCCTGATGCAAATTTCCCAGCTAGCGCTTCAGGTGCTTCACTGTCACTTCCAAATTTAATATTTTCAAAATGCACTGCCGGTCAATTCCAATGCACCAATGGCACTGCCAAAGATGGAGCTTACTGTGTCAATCTCTCTGCCAAGTGTAATTCAGAAAATGATTGTTCGGATGGTTCTGACGAATTGAATTGTGAGCAGGAAGGTTGTCCAGGAAATTTCCAGTGTTCCAGTGGTCAATGCCTCACAAGACACTTAGTGTGTAATGGAATTGTAGACTGCGACGATGGCAGTGACGAAAAGGACTGTGAAAATTGGAAATGTCAGTTCGACGAGTTCCAATGTCCTAGTGGTAAGATAAAAAAGATCATTAAGATTCCCCAAATGTAACTGAATTCTAACTAATCAATATTTCTTTGACTTTGTAGGAAGATGCATTCCAATATTGTGGCAATGCGATCGTCGACCTGACTGCGAAGACCACAGGGACGAATATTCTTGCGTAGAAAGTTGTGGAAACGATGAATACTTATGCCCAACAGAAAAATGGTGCATTCCTCAGACTTGGAGATGCAATGGAGTACCAGAATGTGCTCACGGAGAAGACGAAAAACTCTGCGATTGCGCCCTAGACCAGTTCAAGTGTGAAACTGGAGGTTGTGTACCCCTGGACCAAGTCTGTGATGGTGTAGAACACTGTCCAGATCATTCGGATGAGTGGAATTGTCTTGCTGAGAACGTGACTCTAATAAGAAATCTGACAGAGGCTGATGCTGAGTCTGAAATACAAAAGGAGGAAGATAACGATAACAGAAATCCTATTTCAGCTAGAGCTACCTTACTGAAGATAAGGTATCTATTCTCAAATTGTCTCATGCATAATAGAAATGAAAAAGTTTACTTACTAATCCACCTGGACTAATATGCATAAATAAATTTGAATATCCTTATAGACAATCCAACAATGAGAGACGTCTAGTATGCTCCGACGCATGGACCCAGGAGTTCAGTGACTCCTACTGTAGATCTTTAGGATACTCAGCATCTGAATCAACGCAGATCTTATCGCGAGAAGAAGGCTTCAAGTTACTCAAATTAAAAGCTAACTCCGATTCCAAGATTCCTTTAGTTAGGAACTTGGAGAAGACTGAATCCTGCGAGAGTGATAAGATCGTGGAGGTTACTTGTGAAGAGTTCTCCTGTGGTTCTCATGACCTGGATGGCCTAACTGCTCGATTAGTTGGTGGAACCCAAGCCGGTGAAGGTCAATGGTCAAGTGTTGCACTTTTGAAGGAATCGAAACATGGCACAGCCTGTACAGCCAGTGTACTTGGTCCTCTACATGCTCTAGCTAGCTACTCCTGCATTCACAAGTAATGACGACAGTTGTAGATCTTATAGCAATTGTTACTCCAGCAGGCCAACCTTGAATTAAATAAAATTTATTTCATTTCAGATACAGGCAAAGCAACAGTTGGGAATTGTTCACTGGTGGTGACATGCACAAACCTACTCCGGTCAAAAATATAGTACCTTATCCCCAGGTAAAATATAATCAATTTTTGTACAACAATGACATTGCTTTAATCGAGCTAGAGGAGCCTCTGATCTTCTCAAGAAATGTCAGTGCTGTGTGTCTGCCTAATCACAAATTGCAGGTAAGCAAAATATATTGTACGTTGCAAAAATAACTCAACTTTTTGTATTTTACCTGTAATGTATATTTCAGCCAAGATCTTTATGTATCACTGCCGGATGGGGTTTCCCAATGAATGGTGAAGTCAATCTTCAACAATATAGAATATTCCTTCCTGTTCTAACATATGATTCTGAAGAATGCAATGCCACTGGGCATTATGCTGGATTCATCACAAAGGATAACATATGTGCTAGATTTACTGACACTGGGAAGGGTCCTTGCTACGTAAGCATATTTTTCAATAAGTACACAAAATTTAATATATATTCTTCGATAAGGATACATCTAATTAATTCTGTTTATTTCTTTCAGAACGATGAAGGTGCTCCATTGATGTGCGTTACTGAATCAGACAAATGGGAGATTCAGGGCTTACTGAGTCACCACAATAGGTGCTCAAGGAATCATCCAGCTATTTATTCAAGTTTGACACCAGCTCTGACTTGGCTGAGACACTTGGTACCAGCTCTTCAAATTCAAACATAAACAGCAGATACTGTGCCAGTGCATTAACGGTGCAGGCATGGAACAACGAGAACTTAATGATCCTAAATGTTTCTCATCGCAAGAAACGATTGAGAGTTATATACAATATGTGTTCCCTTTTAAAGGAACGTTCCTATTTCATGTAACGCAGAGAAAATTCACTTAATGACAGTGTCATTTTAACAGAATGCAATGTTGCGATTGTCAGTGATAAGTTTCCAGAACAGTAGGAGTAGAGTCGGGAAAATGTCTTCCAAAATTATTTGTTAAAAATGAAAATGACAAGAGTCACTAAAAATGAAAATGTTCATTCTTCATTCTTTATAAGTGAACTCGAAATTGTTGTACTGATAAAACATTTAATTACTATAATTTTATCCACCACTATCATGTTATTTGAGGCGAGAACGCATCCTTTCTTTTTCTTGTTCCTTTTCGTGTCTCAAAAGAAACTTAATGTCCAGCTTCTTGTGTTTCGTATCGCATTTTGTACATAGAATTTCATACGTTTTGCAATATTTTACAGCGTATTGAATTCTATCCGTCATATATTATAATGTACATGTCTCTGACAATGAACGGAGGCACGCATTTTTGGAAAAACTAAATATAATACAACTTGAAGAGATCATAATTTAGCTTAGGGCAAAGAAGAAACAAAAATGTAAATATTGTATAAAGTGACTGTTTGTAACGGTCTAAGAGATTGTTTTTTTTAACACGTTTTAGTCGATCGGGTCTCTTTGCATGTAATAAAAAAAGAGATATGGAAACAGATATAGGCTTTTCCTTTGGTAAAATATAGAGGACTATAACGTATAACTCTGCTGTCGAAGAAACTTCATTGTGTTTCGATACAGTTAAATTTTTTATGTTTCCAATATGCATTTCTATTTCCTGAAGAACAATGTACGAGAATTCTTATGGCTCAAGGGACCCTCCAACTATGGACAAAAGTTTGCGCAATTGACAGTTTGTCTCAGAAATCCTGTGAAAAGGATTCCTGAAATGAACGGTGGGTAGGATATAGATATAATAGATAGGATAAATGTATATAATATATACTATTTTAATAAAGTATATTGCTACGGACTTATTATAATGAAAAATATGTTTTCATGTATGCATAGTCATTGATGAATGCCCAAGTATTTTTATATAGTAAGATCGAAAAAATAAATAAATGTAATTAACAACAAGATTGTACTTCATTTTCTAATAGTATTACTTTATTTGAATTTTACAGAGCATGAATAATAAATAGTATCGAAAAAATTCAAGGCTACCTTAATAAAGCAAACACATATTTGTAAGTTACAAAAATAAATCAACCAAGTTCTCATTCAATCTAGTTGTTTAACCGGTGTAGCTGCTATTTCTGCAGCCGTTACTGCAGCATCCAAAGTTATTAAGGATTTGGAAATACTAGTGATTATTTCATTGTATTTGGAAAATACTTCATATGTTTGGGCAGACAGTGCTTCCGAATCTTCATTTACTTTCAGGTAAGATAGAGTTAAGGTGTTCAGCTTACCAGTTAACTCGGGAACACCATGAGGAAGTTCAGTTTCTAGCACTGGCGCTAACTCTTGCATTTTCTCAAGCATTTGAATGATCTCTCTGATCTGTGGTTCTACAGTAAGGATCAGCTCGACCTTTGCTTCAGTTTGCAAATCAATATTCTCAAACTTAGGGTCTAAATAATCGTTAAGTTCAGGCATCCGTTTTACGAGAGCATTTGCTTTCTCCCGACCAGACAGAGCTGAGGCGATGAGGGTATTTGCATGTAGAAGACTATCCACAACGGAGTTCTCTGGTAGAGGATCATCGATTGAAGGACATTTACCAACTCCATATATTTGTTTTTCAAGATCTGCGACTCTCTCCTCCAATAGCTTTATACTAGTCATTCTAAAAGGTATTCCAAAATATGTGGCATGTCAGAATAACAAAACAGTCAAATGATACAAAGTACAGATTGTACAATACTAACACAATTTAATCTAATTACAAATATAACATGATACTCACGTTGTTATCTTCGTCACTGAAAATGTAGCTTTTTATGCTAAACGGCTGATAACATAAATACCGTACAGAATATAAGATTTGAGAAAATACAAAAATATAAAAGCAAGGTGTGCCTTCTTTGACAGCTCGTTGCTGTTAGTTAATCAACACTAGCGCCGTTGTGCGCAAGCGGCGCAACTAAGCGCGAAGATTAGAAACTGCCGATCCGAGTAAAAGTCACATTGCGACTTAACCCGGCTTTTATTACTCGCATACATTGTACATATTTGATGAATGATATCAATATAGATAATACACTATTAACATAAACAAGTAGAATTGAATAATTCTTGCAACAGCCACTACTGTTCAAGATACATAGCTATAAATGCATAGGCCAGATGTACAAAGACCATTGTCAATTATGCAATAATTCTATAACAATGATTAAGATTTCTACATATTTCCCATTTCTTACTCATCGCTAACGATTCTGGCTTCTATATTTTAAAACGTAAATTCATATTGTATGTCTTACTCACGAATTCTCTGCAACCAACACCTCGCAGCATCCAGCATCGGGTTACCTAAATCTTCTCGTACAAAAATGGCTGCTGTCTTCTAATATCTGCAATGTTTGATATTCTGAGAAAGACGTTGAAAGTACAAGGAACATCCTGACACAAGTGATATCGTCCAGGAAGGAGGATAGAGACTTCTACGAGTCGTTTACGCACGGTCCGTATCAGTCCGTATACAGATCATCCAGCACCGTAGCTGAGGAGGTCGGGAGTGGTGGGGAGGACAAAGCCGTCATGGCTGACATTAACGAGGAGTGTAGTTTTGGAGTGGTCGTGCTGTGGAGAAGAGCTCGTACGGTGTGGTAATACAAAATATGGGGAGAAATGGGCAGACGAGTAAGCGGAGACGGGGCTAGCGAGCTGGCAGTCCTTCTACCGGATGATACATGTGAGAGGACGGCGAAGATGGAGTCCAGGGCAAGGAGAACTCGACTACGCGGTATCATCGGCATTTGTATCATCCTCGCTCTTACTGGGATTGTATACCTTGGCTACTTCTGTCCGGATCATGTGTGCGCCCTAACAAATCGTGACCTTAAGGAGTCCAGTAGGCTATCAGAAGGTTTTGCTGCTGGCACTGGTTCTGGACTTTCCTTCCCTTCCATAGAACCTGATCGGAGTAATCTTCTTTCTGTGCATCCTGCCTTCAAGCTACAGAGTATCCAAGGAAGTCTTGGCTACGAGGACATCTTCACCAATGATACCTTTCAATTTGACATTAATGCTAACGATGTCATCGTATTCCTCCATATACAAAAAACTGGTAAATATTCTGTCTTATCCCGATACTCATGTTTGGATTAGGTTTCCTGTCGATCCATTCACTCCTTATACTCCTTCATGATTCACTATCCTTTGACTTTTAAATGTGGTTTCGCAAATGGATTTGTCATAAGTATGATAACACTTTGCATGTGCTGTTTAGTACTCGTTCCATATATGGATCTGAGTAAGGATGTTGAGATGATTTATATATAACGATATATTACATAATCGAGATAAATAACATAAAGATACATTAGTTATTTTTATGTCTGTATAGTCTACACTATTTTAAACTTTATAGTCATCACAATCTCATGACTAGAGAAGTCTGACTGACCAAATTCCAGTGACATATCTGCATAAAATACCTTAAATATTTTATATTTACAATAGGACACTGAACGGTCATTGTACAGAATGTCATCTATATAAAGACATATTTTTATTTGACTTTACACAGGAATTTCTTTGGCCTAGAGCCAAGCAAGTACAGTACTGCAATAAAAACACTACAACTTCCTTCTGGCCATTGCATTGTGTCCTTAGACCACTGCATTATTCATCAGGCATTCTCAAACCTCCAGACACTGTCTAAGATTTAAAAAGAATTATTCAGGCGCATAGAACGTGTTTTGCTTGTTACATGAAAACTTTCCTTACAAAATTTCAGTAGTTACACAGAAAATTATAAGTCACATCTCACATCGCATCACTAGTCACTAATAAGCTGAGAGATATTAATTGATTCGTATGACAATAATCAGAGTATCTTATCACCAGGGACACAATACATGGATGTATTATATAATAACATTCTTCAAATTTATCTTATCCTTTAATCTTAACCGATATACACATACTCACACATACATTTTTTAAATGAATTCTACAATCATAATTCTTTTTTTGATTTAAGGTGGTACATTATTTGGCAAACATTTGGTACGCGATCTAGATCTTCAGAAACCCTGTTCTTGTCAAAGAAGACGCAAGCGTTGTTTTTGCTTCCGTCCAAACCGCAATGAAAATTGGCTCTTCTCGCGTTACTCAACGGGTTGGAAATGCGGGCTGCATGCAGACTGGACCGAACTGACGAGTTGCGTAGACTCTGAATTGAATAAAATTGAGGGGGAAGGCGTAAAGCGGAGATACTTTTATATTACTATAATAAGAGATCCCGTAGCGCGATACCTCTCAGAATTTCGACACGTTCAGCGTGGTGCTACCTGGAGAGGAGCTCGTCATTGGTGCGGAGGAGCCCAGGCGAATATTCCTCAATGTTACAACGGTCCTAGCTGGCAAGGTGTCACCTTAGAGCAGGTACAATAATTTCCTATTATTTATATTTTAATCTCCTGTCCACTCTGTTGATACACTAGAAATCATATTACATAAATCTTGATACCCTAGAACTTGAATCGGACTTTATGCGACCTCGCGATACGAGATACGTGACGATGATAAATTGTCCAGAGTGAAATGAAGTGAAAAAAATTATATCTAAATTTACTGAATTCAGAACCTTATCCAGTTCTATGTAAGCTTACACGATACCAGGGATAGCATAAGGATTTGACAGAGTGAAAACAAGAGACAGTGGAGACATACATTTTTCTGTTTATCTGAGAAATATCTGTCTTATCTTTCTGCTTCCTGGACCTTTATTAGTAAACGCTTCTGGTAGACCTTATCAAGTCTGACCCTTTATCTGTCCCTCTTCCCAAACGTAGCTCTACTAAACGTTTGAAAACGTAATGAAGGATTATCTACCGTTTATCAAACCTAAATTATCATGCTCAATGTCCATCATTCATAATATAGAGGAGTTAGTGAAAGATAACATAAAGAAACTGATATTATATCTTTCTTCGCAGAGTCATATTCCATGAATCTAACAGATCTCTTCTATATTTTTCCACAGTTTATGAGTTGCCCACACAATCTGGCCAGTAATAGGCAAACACGAATGCTTGCCGATCTTTCCCTGATTGGTTGCTACAATTCCAGTCTCAGCAAGCAGGAGAGCGATCGCCTGATGCTGGCGAGTGCCAAGAACAACCTGCAATTCATGCCCTTCTTCATGCTCACCGAATATCAAAAAGTAAGCAACTGGATGATACCATATGGCAACGAGCCAGTAAAGCAGAAGCCGATTGCGATATGAGGATCTAAAAACGTGATTGATTCAATTAAAATAATTATCCTCGATAGGCGCCATTGCGCGATGACATCGCTTAAAGAAAGTGAAAGCTCCCACCGACTCACGCACTTCCATCAGGCGACTTCATTAATTCTACGGTCTTCTCATTTCATGCCTATTGCGTAAGCATCGATAAATATTCTTTTATCATCTCTCATACGTCATATTTTTTGTACTACTCCCTAACTCGAATTGATAGTTGACCATTACTGGAATTCAACGGAATTCCTCTTGTCTGTGACGCGTTTCCCATATGCGGAACGTATACGTATAATTCAATAATTTTAAACCCCTGCTAGCCGTCCCGGTAATGCAAATCATCCCGGTGTGCGAAATCCGCATTGATGCGAGACCGTTTTATTCTGGGCGAGGCGTTCAAGAATAGAAGTCTTAACGTAAATGTTTACACGACCGTTCCTGCCCACCATATGTTCGCCATAGCTACTACGTCCTGTACACTTCCCGTTCCTGCAGTTAATTGTTTATTTGGCCTAGGGGTCCCGTATGCTCTTATTCTCATGGCGAAGGACCACTTACAATTTAAAAATATTTAGCGACCCGCACCCTGGTCCCGGTACGGCTGCATGCATACGGCACGTACAAGTGCAGCAGGTACTTACCGAAGCTACTGTTAATTGTGGAATTTATTTCTTTTCTTTTTCTTTTTTTTTTGGAAATCCCTGCACGGCTGCCGACTCTCGAAGGATAACGAATTCAATGGAGCTACTTCTTGTTGGCTAGAAACTCTCAAGGATATCAACTATCGGCAGCTCTATCTATTACCCGGCAATGCTATCGCATTTTAATTGATCTCTTGTCCCGACTCTGGGCCATTTTTTCTCCCAAAGATTTTCTCTCTACTGTTTATCGTTTCCACTGGCTTGCACAATTCTTCGAGTTTGTTTGCTTGACTTACAATTAGACTCTGGAGAGTATTATTAACCTTGACGCGCGTTCTACGCAGTATTAATGATCCTGAGAATGTCGTAGACGACGGACCGACAATTAACTACTGTCACGCTCATTGCACTGGTGGCAAACTGTGGATCGATAATGTTTAATCAGGCAATGGAACAGCAACGTTTCCTCAGCAGGATTCCTGTTAAACGTGGCTAATGTTAAGGGCGTTGCTTCCTTTGGAAATAGGGGTCGAAGGTCGTAGCTTACAATTCTCATTGTTACACAGTGTCCTGTACATATCATTTAGGGTCACTGCATATGATTTTAATATATTTAAATTGTTCAGACAGAAACTACTGAAGACTATTCAAATATCATCTCTTCTTTTTCCAGGTAGGTCAGTACTCCTTCGAAGAGACTTTTGGCATGAGATTCGCAGTGGCGTTCGAACAGCACAACGCCACCCTGAGTGCAGCTACAATGGCGACCCTTAATCATGAACAGCTGGACGCGGTTCGTAGGCTAAACAGGCTGGATCTGGAGCTGTATGAATTTGCAAAGACCCTGGCGTTCCAGCGGTTCCGACGGCTGAGGGATCGGGATCCTCACTTTGTGCAGAGATTCCAGCACCTGGGGGAACTGCCCTCGAGGCAGAGTGCCACCGAGTTCAATTGGGACTCCGTCATCGAGGACACTACGGACAACGACTAAGAGGTCGCAGAGAATACTGAGCCAGACAACACATATTTTCAAAGTCATTTTTAAGATGTCTTAAGGAAAACTTTATGCCATTAGACGCCTCAAATACGACTTTTGAATATTATCTGTTGTCTGGGGAATTCTCGACTGAGAAAGTGGAGTCAAAGCTGCCTTTTCTTGGTGCTTCGACACAGCTTCTGTAAGTATCCCCTCCAATAAGAACCAGGTCCAGGAATGTTAGAAGCTTTACTAACGGGACCTGGTGGACTTGAGCATCTTTGGGAGCTGGCCTTTGGCACTGGATGCTCATCACAAGCTTCTTATGCAATTCTGTGTAAATTGCATAAGTAGGAGTCTTCAACCTAAAGCCTTAGGAACTTTTTACTCCAGATCCTGACACCAAAGAGAACGCCGAGTACGTTATAGAATCTCGGTGAGATCTCACATCTCTGCTATTTTAAATACGAAACCTGTGCTCTTGTCGTTTTCTTTGTTACGCGAAGAACAATTAATTAATTGAACGTTGTGGTTGTGTATCGAGATTATGGTACTTCTGAATCACGAGGAGCTATACCGAACGAATAGGATCAATCTCGTGTCTTCTTGTAGGACAATGTTTCCTACAAAATTCAACGTATAGATCTGCAGCTTACATATCCTTATTTGTAAATGATAAACGTCTCAGCCACTTCCGGTTGTTTATACGTCAAGTCGACGATCAACGGCATACGAAATTATTTCCGTAGCCCAGCACGAATTAGAGACAAAAACAATGTACCCTTCTGAATTTTGTTTTACTGAGACACATTTATTTTTCATGCCAGGGAGAGCTCCTGGGGATGCTGCGTTATTTGACATACAGAATTCTTTAGCAATCGTACGTGATTCTCTGACGACTGCCTTTAGATCTCGGTGATAACTGCCCTTTAGATAATTAGATAACTCCAAAACGATATATCGTCCTGTGGGAATCAGACTTTTCCATCATTTTTACTAAAAGCCACAACTAGCCTTTAGAAACGTCAGTGTCAAGGATCCGCACGATTTCTGGTCTTCGTTTATGTATGACGAGTCTGCGAATTTTTAACGATAATAAGCGTAACAATTAATTGATGGGTTTAGAGTGCCGTGTGGATGCGATGATGCTTGCTGCGTGACTGTTTAGTTTATAGAAAAATTTGTCAGGAGTATCCAACGTTTAACCTGTAGACCGCCGGTCGTTTTTCAATACAAGCGCAAAACGTGTTACTAGATTTTCGTTACTTATTCGGATGAATATTGTATGTCATTGAAATATTTTGAAAATTGGATAAAAGGCGGTCTGGAGGTTAAACGGATTCTTCTCGCCAATAAACCCACCCGTATGTGAAAATTACAAGAGTTGCAGCTTAAGAAGTCGACGAGTTAGTTAAAGCGAGAAAAAAAAGTTAATCTTAAGACAAAATTACGTTTACGAATTATCTCTATTATTATTAACAATTTTTTGTTGTTACTGCTGTAATAATCTCTCTCTAATTTCTCGTTGCGGTTGTGACGAGTTCGTTGCGCTATTACCACGTCCCTTTTGACTGTTAAACGCATACGAATCCATTACATTTGGCAGCTTTCTTCAAGGAATTCAAAAGCCTCTAGAGAATCTTAAGTTTGCCTTCAAGGATCATTTTTGCTTTATGGTAAAAAAAAAATAGAAATGTTCAGATCATATCTCAAGGACAGGAATATCCTGCAACATACTAATACATTTTAGAAACCGGATTCTGGATCAGGAAGGATCTCAAAAATTAGTATGCAGACAGCTTGTATCCTTGGGACACGTGTGACAGGAAGTTTTCAAAAATAAGGATACAAACTTTGATTATTGTAACGATAGCTATTCTCTCTTTTGTCACTTTATCTTTGTTAATTCAGTCAAGACCTCTTGGCCTTTCATTTTGCTTTTTTATCCTCGATTACTTATATAAATCTTTTTCTCTCTTTCTTTCTCTCTCCGTCGCCATAACGAGAACGAACGTTGCTATAGTGTCGCGTCAGGCCACGTGGTAGAGAGGTGGACTGATCAAGAATTTTGTTTTGTAAATATATACCGAAAGTCTATTTTTTTCATTGACACTTATTTCCTGTAAGTTACGTCCTAGACAAGGCGATACACGGCGTAGGTTTTACAATAATCGTTCTGTTAATCCACTAGTACCATAAGGGACGCCATTGAGCGAGTATTTCACGTCGCTTCGATCAACTGGAATTCCTATATATATATGTATATTTTTTTTCTTTAAGACCTTCGCATATTTATAAAGCCTTTTTATTCTTTTCTCCCTTTCTTTTATTGTCACAAGACACGAATACTCGCTCGATGTCAATCATCTTTTATAAGGAATACAATAATTTTCTTTTATTTCTGTGAAAACTGTCAGGAAAGTCAATTTGTTATATATATATACAAGTTTTTTTTTTCAAAAGGGACTTTTGAATTACAAAAATTCGTAATATTGCGAGTTCAGTCCCATATCCAGTGTAAACGTAAGATCAAAGCAATTCAATGAACAAATAATTGACGTACAGTCTCACGACTCAATCTCGCACCAGGTGTGTCGATTCTCCGTAACGTTTGACACGAATTCAATGACTTTTGGAATTCAATGACAACTCGCTTGGCGATGCGAATTTTTAACGCGTGATTTAATCAGATCAATCGCAATTCGCTTTGTACTAGCGGATCCAATGTACGAGCGTCGTATGTGCAATAAGACTCGCTGGGTTACCACAATAATTATCTCATATCATCCAGTCACGAAAGATAAATGTAATATAGCTAATTTAATCATGTAGATTATTAAGTATTATTATTATATTATATAGACCGTGTAAACAATAATGATTGTACGGTACGCGAGCTCGTGCCAAGTTGGAAATGACGATTCTCATTATATATACTATTCGCTTCATCCAATTTAATCTCTTTTCACGGTGTAAACATTTGAATGAATCAATTTTTTTAATCATTTATAAAAGATAACGATTCTCCCACCTTACGTACAAGATATTGGAATTTTTGTCCACTCATTCAAATTATTGAGACTGCGCGTTTCCAACGTGGTGCGACCACCTGCTGTATGGGGAAAGAAAAAAAAAGTGAACAAGGCAGAAGTTGCGAAAACGTTGTAACGCATAAGCTGGAGAGTAACGAACGATAGTTCTTTCGTTACTACTAATAATAATTTTAATGGAGAGAGAAGAAAAAAAATAACAGAGGGAGAGATTACCGTTAAGGACCAAAGATACAACTATGTCTTTTGCAAGCGTTCACAAAGGAGCTTGCGGCACAAGCAATCGTCTAGTTGAGATTTTTTTTTTACATATCGCTAACTAGAAACAACGCTCACGGTTCACGCATAATCTTCGTTGACGACGTTTTTCACCAGGTCATAATCTTCAAACCTGGTTTAAGGTGTCTCGATTGTCTCAAAGCCATCCAAGAGTTCTTAGATTTTAGGCAATAAGTTACGTAAATATCTTCTAGTGCTAGCGGTGATAGCAGTAGGACACGCGTTGCGTTTTTTGTCGTTAAGATAACAAATATATATATATATATATAAATATATTATTTTTTACGGAGGAGATGTAATATATTGTGCGCCATATACTATTGTATCCCAACAATCAATGACTTTTTCAATGAGTTAGTTTCACGACTCTCGGCCAGTACGCAAATTGTTGCGTACGTACGTCGTAGCGAGCAGGATTTTCTTGTTATTGTTCTTAATATTGTTGTGTCGGAGCGTTAAAAGTTCCGAAAACAACGAGAAGCTTTAAATTATCATTGAGAATGAAACTGCGATTGAGGAAATCGCATACTCTTTCCTTTTTTTTTTTTTTAACAACGTCAGCAGAGAGAAATGTATATCTATTATATATACAGACATATATATACTCGTCAACGAATAGGAAAGGAAAAATTACACTTTTGTTTTAGCCTAACGAAGCGAACAACGGGCCTAATGCCTTTCTGTACCTTGTTTTAAGCCAGTGTATATATTATACCATTAGATCCGTAAGTACTAATGAATTATAATATAATGCATAAATATATGTATATGTATATCATATATCGAGTCATATATACACATATATATATTTAAGATTGTACCGTACAGGATAATATACAGACACAAAGTATATTAGTTATATTGTAATATTGGACGAGCTAATAGAGTCGTGAGAGTGAAAAGTAATCCGAGGCGATTAATTATTGTAAAACCTTTTAATAAATCCTGAGAGATTCTCAAAAGAACGTTGTGACTGTGTGCTTGTTGTTTTGTAAGACAGTGTTTTTAGTCCCTTGTTCCGTTTGTTTTTGTCAAAACGTTTATTGTTTAAGTCTAATCAAAGATATATTTATTTATACATTTATATATTATTATGACAAATTGTTCTGGATACTAATATTAATGTTTGTTATTATACAACGCAACATCGAGCCTTAAGTTACATTAGTTGTCGCTCTTAGTTTTGGTGATCAGGTGTGTTACTCAGTATGAGTAATGTATTTGTTCTTTTTAGTAATTCTTCCTTTGTTCATTTTACTCTGAAAATACTGAATCAAGCGATAACGTAATTTAGTCTTACGAGAATTACTCTGCTAGAGCAACGACTGCTCCAACATTATCTTTTCAAAGCCCATCGGTGGGGAATAGGCAAAATCTTCCAAAATCAGATCCAATATAGCTCCGTCATCCACTAAATGATTATTAAATAACTCTTATGAAACGTATGAAATTTATAATATAATTAATATTACCGATTGGGGACTTACCATAAAGTACTGGATATGTTGTTCCTTTTATTCCCATGATCGGAGCATCCAATGACTTTCCGTTTAGGTAGAAATTTAATTCTATGTGATCGTACGAGACACCCTGAAAGGATGGAGTTAGTATTATCTGTAAAAATGGAAAAACATAAGTTGATGAATACTTACAACAATGTCTCCTTCTTGAATAATATTCTGACTCTTATGCAATTCTTGTTCGTTGTGTCGTATGACACCATCGGAGCTAAGCGCCCAACTCTCAGCATCCTGTCCCCCAATGGATGTATTTAAATCTGTTGATCTTGTAGCTAATCCTATCGCCCAAATTCCCCCTTGCTGTATTTTAACTTCAAAGTAACTCTTGCTCTGCGCTAATGGAGCATTAGTCAGGGCAGCACCACGACCACAGACCCTTAAACCATTTTTGACAATGACAACCTCGTGTCCTGGAATATTAAATGAATATGTTACAAAACAAATTTAGAGATTTATCTAATATAATACTATTTATTATTATAATTACAGTAATACGCTTAGGGACTGCCTAAAAATACTTGTCAAATGCCGGATAAGTTCAAACTATATGTAATTAGGTATTTTGAGAAAGATTGACAGTTAAGGTGTAAACTAACTAATATTCAGAGCAATTAATGGCAAATTAGTCTATCTTTTTATTTACCCATATGCGAAGTGTCCAAAGCAATAGGATTTGGTTCCTTTTTTGGAATTTGACTTGCGGAAAATCCGAGGCCGTCGAAGCAACTTCTTAAGCAGCAAAACATCATTTTGGATGATTTTTACAGAAAATCTTTTCAGTAAAGCATTCTGCCTTCTTTTTGCTCGTTGTTTCCTAGATAAGGAGAGTTATCACCAACGCGCTAATCTCTTGTAGCTTCTTCGTTTTAGTAGGGCAACAAGCAGCATCCCATTTATGACAGCACAGAAACTGACGCGTTGTTTCCTCTGGATGACTGTGTACAACTGTGTGGGAATGTGTAGGAGTAGCACCACAGAAAATGGCTTCCTATTCGGGAAATTCTAATCGATATTAATTTTACCAGACAAATTGAGTTGGATAATTATTCGTTCATTTACTAGTTTTATTATGCATGGAAATTTTTCGACTGCTTATATTTCTATAACATTTCTTATTGCAATTGGAAATAGTGGACCTTTTTTTATAGGTTATGCATTTCGTCTCCCTCCATTATACATTCTTGAATTTCGTCAGCTATTTTTTTTTATAGAATTTATAAGTGTGTCTATATTCTTGATTATATTTATTAAAATTTTCTTAGGGTTTTAAGTAATATCTTTATGAAGAAATAAAATATAATTGGTCAGGATTGAAACGAAATAATTAAAACAATATTTGGTACCAAAATGGCATTTATTTTCTTATATTGTACGGGATAGTTTTACACGCGGCTCGGGTACAGCATCTGGAAATAGAAATACGGGTTTGTTAATAATTTTTTCATTGTGGATTACAACAGGATAAAAGATTAGTTGAAACTTACAATCCTGATACGATGGCCCATAGCCTTAGCAGGTAAATTCCTCTTGAACTTGGCACGGACAGAACCACTTGTTCCATGAGGACGAGTTACTTTGCCCCAGATAGCCCTGACTTTTGTCTTCTTGCTGGTTTTGCCAGGAACAGGGGTCTTGTTCTTTGCCTAAAAGAAATTATGTATTATAACACCAATTGAAAATTTAACTTTTCAATTGTATATACCTTATAGACATAAACGCATCGTTTGCCAATATAAAAATCAGCATCTCTCTTCTCCCTTGCTCCTTCTACTTTAAGAAGAGCTGTGTGCTCGTGCTGGTTACGAAGGCCACGCTTGTATCCAGTGAAGATGGCTTTGGCGTAAAGACGTCCATGCCTCTTGAAGGGCCTCTTCTTAAGAGGAACAGGCTCTGCTGGTTTCTCTTTAGGCTTCTTGGGTGCCTTTGTTTTAGGCTTAGGTGCTGCTACGTCAGCCATCTCTATAACAAGTTTTTAATTAACAAATGAAAATCTTGAAGACCGACATAACACAATTAAAAAATAATATCATACAAGAGATAATGTCTAAAGATACAGCACTGTTTTACTACCAGACTATGAATTAAACTAAACACAGCGATACTCCAATATTTATTATTCAAATTAATATATTTAAAAAACTCAATGAGCAACTCCACCGTGTACAAAACATATTCCTTATTTTTATTCATTGAAATAGTAATGTCAGTTATACAAAGAATCTTAAGGAACAATATTTTCTTCAGGTACCGATAGGTTAAAGTAACACAACCGTGTTTTCAATATTTGACCAAAAATCACAGAAACTAATATTACACACGTTATAATAACAAATTCACATTACTCTCAAATCTCTTTCACAAACCCAGGAAGATCCTCTTTCTAAATTAAATAACAAGACTCCGCTAAACACAGTACACGCGTTTGTTGTCAACTACAAGAATCGCCATATGAGCGTAGCCGATGGAATCCAAATGAATCAACAAAAAATATACTGAATTCAAGTATAACAATAAAACAGTGCAATGAAGAGGAACACAGTTCACCGTTTAATAATTATATTAATGATCTGTGACTTGTAGTTTTTTCAATTTTTGATATAAAATATGAGACTAGACAGGCACAGGACGTACCGGATGTGTACCACGGATAAAAAGAAACAGGAAACAGAGTCCCTCTACAGTAGAGCCAGAGTAATGATCTATGAATCTAACTTACTTACACAGGGTAACGTAATATTCTTTTTTATCAACAAAACTAATTATCTGTTTTTGATACAGTTATAACCTGCTATTTCTGGAAATAGTACAAAAATATAGTAAATCATTCACCCTGTATAAAGTCATGATGTTTTTTCTTCCGAGTATCGATTTTCAAACATTTTATATCATCGTATTAGTATCGTTGTCAATTTTTTGCAGATTAGGTCGACCCAGACGATTGGGCGCGAAAAGTCAAATGATCGATTGATGGGAAAATGACGAGTGTAACCGATACTTGTCGAAGATGTCCGAATAAAGCCTTTAGAGAAACACGGAGCGGGATGGAAATTTTATTCAAGAGCCGATATTTTGTTGACAATACTTTAAATGTATTCTTTATCAATTTACATCTTCCTTATCTCCGATGACTCGTATGGTTAATCACCATGGACCTAATAGATAATCCTTCAGACTAATTTTGTTCGTCTTGGCGAGTAGGGTTTCACGTTATACTTATTTTTATCTGCTTTATTTTATCTATATTTTAACTTCCTTATTCTGTTGTATAATCATATAATAATCAATGTCTTATCACTCTCAATTCACCTCTATCACTATATGACTTCTATCAAATTATAATTGCTATATTTAATCTGGATAGTACTTTTAAGAGCTGACTTGTATGTATAATTGACAAAATAATTCTGGTACTTGTTATTCATCAATTTTCATAATCAGCAACTGATAGCTCGAATGTTCCCTTTGCGTAGTTAAAAACTGAACCATGAGATTGTATTAATGCAAATACTATATATCAGCTATGTTATATTTACTTGAAGAATGCACAGCGAATAACTTACTATGTTTATATTAAAATCATCTACGTTATGCTCTGATCTAAAATGGACTGTCGAAAACAAAAACTGGACAGAATATGTCAACTTGTTGTTGCGTAAACTAATTTAATAAATCAGTATGCATGGTACGGCTGAAATAGTGGAATGCAATGCTTGGTATTGTTCCCTATTGAAAAGAACTATTCTCTAATCAGTGACTAGAACAAGAGGGACCATTTATATGCCTATAATATATTGTATATGTATATCTATCTAGACTAATTGAAGCTATAGATATACATTTAGTAAAATAGTTTATACAGCACTTATGTATAAATGCAAATGATTTGCATGAATGAATACATTATTACTGTGATACTGATACCCTCTTATCAGTGTATGAAATTGTCAGCTTTACAATTCTAATTATGAAAAAGATTTCTACACATAAATTTCTATTTTGTTTCAGCATTGTTCAAGATAATTTGATTCTTTAACTGGGGCTTCAGATACTTGAGTAATACAAAAGAAATAGGGAACTTATGTAACAGGTAATTAGTCGTTATCACAACTGTCATTAATTAGCACTGGTTTAAGTTTACTATCAAACTAACAGTACTTTGATAATACACTAATTAATAATCATAATATTTATCTGGAATTATTCAAAGCATGTAAATATAATCAACGTTTCCTCGATGCATAAGTAACATATAATTATTAAATTAATACTATAATAGTACTATTATTATAGGTGATGGATTGTATTGCTGGGGATCATGCTCTCTACCAGGACCATCTTGCAAGTTACTAATTTTTTACTAGATATCCGAAGAAGTGCCTCATTTAATGGCTTAACATATAGCTAGGTAAAACACACTCATAACTGTGTTTACAGAACTCAGGAGCATGGAAGGTATGTATATACATATATATTGCATGTGTATACAGGTTTGAATGCGCGACTTGCCTACTTATCGCTTGTGCTTATTCGGGCTAGTCGCCTACAGAGTGGCTCACTGCTGGTCAGAATCGGACGGCGGTCAGGTTGATCACCGAGTTCATTTAGTTGTAGCTTTGCTTATTTTCAAGGAATATCTTAAGAAGTTAATAGATAGGATTAAAAATATTTAGAGATTAGAATTTAAAGTTCTTCATTGAGATACTGCTGCGTATTCTAGTGAGAGCATCCATCTGCCATCGTGCCACAGTGTTTTTTGAGTTGTTTCATGAAATTTTGAATCGTTCATCAAAATCATTGTCGAGTGAGTACCTTAGAGAATTTAGTAATTATACAATCTTTCCATAGACCCGATGCTCAAAATAAAAAGCGTTCCTTGTACCTATAAAGTTTTATTATAAAGATAACCGCAATAGACGCGACTTAAGAAATTATTGCTTTAATATCTATACGATTGTGTTTATATCTAATAACTTTATCATACAATAACCAATATCATATCACTCTCGATTCACCTCTGTCACTATATGACTTTTATCAAATTATAATTATTACGGATTGTCGTACTCTCTGCAAGATTCGATCAACTGGCGTACGATGGTAGAATCCAAATTTGAATTACATCTGCGCACATTAAGCCCTCTAGCCAGAGGCGTTTCTCAAAATGATCAACACTGTATAGCGAGTGTATAATGAGACTAGAACCTGCGAATATCATGTAAGTAGGTCTCCTTGAGATTCCCTACGTTTTTACAAGGCAGTGACCTTCTCTTATTATTTTTTACCAAAGACTTCCGTAACGCATGAGGTCTCACAAGAAAGAAAGAAAAATATCTACTAACAAGAACCAAGCAAATTATTATAAATTATCAACGTTCTCAAAGCAAAGACTGACTCGTGAATTTTCATCGAACGAATTGACTGGATACTTCACAATCCGCCTTTCTCCAAGCAAGAAATTTGAGAGCGTCTATTCTCGGCTGACTATCTGTGCGCGAAATTTCTTTTGCAATTTTCAAGTATTCCATCGCAATATTCTCATACACTAATTTTACGTACCAGCTATACCGTACTGCAGTGTTACAGTTATCCATACCCTATTAAATACCGAAGAATTCGAAATGTCAAAAGTATGCACTATATTATTTCAATAATCATAGCTCGCAGTTTAGCCTGTACATGAACTCCACTTTAGTCTATAGTATGAACAAACGCATTGTCGTTAATTTAAGGATCATTATAGTCATATATATACTAACTACCCACCAAGCTGTAACATACCTATAATAGTATTATGTATAATGTCCACGTACCTAGCAGGACAATCTTTTAGTTTATATAACAACGCATAGCGACATGAGATCAGTGAAGTTTAGTTGGACAATTCCCATTGCTGTGTATAATTAACTTCCTGTTACGTCAGAGGTACATTTTGATCAATCTTGATGAAAAACCGGTTGTTATAGATCAATTTAAATATACTGAATCCCTTAGGGCTTTGGGCATTATTATACGCATGTACTCTGTATGTTTTATGAATATTTGTATCATCTGAGATCTGTATGAATTGTAAACCACAGGTACTTATTGTCCCGTGAATGCCGTTTGGTTAAAAGTGAAAGTAGGAATTTACTTCGATACGTTCGATCAACTTTGGGTTTGTCCATGAGATATAGGTATTGTATGCTGCGTGTGCAGTGGTGGATAATTTTTTGGTTAGTCAATAAAAATTGTTAACGTTATAGGAATGGGAAAGAATGCTTTGTTAAATCCCTTCTGGAATTTGTGATATATGTTTATCTTGGATGTTTTTACAAGTTCTCTTTGTCTCGCTCTTGTACAATCATTGTATTCAACAGGTAATACTAGATTGTATCTGAACACATTTTAGCAGTATGAAAACGCGTGGCTGTTGCGTCGATCAATAATCTGTTTGATGCTCGAGCTGTCATTGGAAAGTGATGAAGAAAACCATAGTGGTTCTTCGAGGAGGAGTTAATCTACCTATATAGTTTAATCGTGCAGAATAATCTAAATTAAGTTTGATTAATTAATTAATAGTTCAAATTATTGCTGCGTTAAAAGATTTAGTTATTTACAATCCAACAGGATGACACAATATGTATGTATCTGTTAAATGTCATTTTATATGTTTTCTGCACTGACAGATGTTCAGTAGTTCGATTTGGTGCAAAAGTTCTTATGCGTCTTGTTTACAATGGCATTTTGTATTAACGACAGTATTTTGTTTGCGGAATTTTCCTTTATGCTGTGTACGCCTGTTGCTTCGCGTAACAGGTTGTTGAAATTCACACTCTGTAGAGTGTCTAGTGATTTTCTTTTTCTTTTTAGGAAGAAATGGAGCGAAAGAAAGTCACTCCGGATGTTAAAGACACTGAATACGGAACGTGAGTATTAACGAAGATTTGTATGTGTTAATTGGAAAATTGTTTCGTTGCGGTTTTCTGTAAAATATTCTTTTTCTTTTGTTTCAAGTGTCACGTACGTGGAGGACGATACTCCAAAATGGAAATTTTGGGCCAAAAGACGATACGTCGTTGCTATTCTTGCATTTATGGGATTTTTTACTTCGTACATACTTCGTGTCAATTTAAGTATCGCTATCGTTTCGATGGTTGCTAATAAGAGTAAAGTCGATGAGAACGGCACAACGTACTACGTAAGTTGTAGATAATCCCTGTCTAGATGCTTAAACCGAAAAATTTAAGATAAGGAGTTAAGAGTATTATACAATCATTGTTTTCTGGGTAAGTAAACATTTAACTTTTAATAAGACTCTGGAAGCTGATGGGTGGTAATATATTGTAGCATTTCTTTTGCTTTGAAACGATTAAGTCCACCTGTACCATTTATTAAGATCTAATTAGAGATAAGTTCTAGGCCTTTACGCTAGAACAACCGGCGATTGACGTATATCCACTTCTACCTTTCCAAGCAAATCATTTAGACAGCCCTTGGTAGATTTAGTGTTAAAGGAATTCGTTTTTATTGTACAATCTTTAGCATTCTTTTTCTCTAACTTTCCAGGAACAAGAATTTAAATGGGACTCACCACTTCAGGGTTTGATTTTAAGTTCCTTTTTCTATGGATATATATGTACACAATTTGCCGGCGGTTGGCTGGCTGCTCGTGTCGGTGGGAAAAGAGTCTTTGGAATTGGAATTGGTATTACAGCTGGTTTTACAGTCATTACGCCACCAATAGTCAGAGCTAATGTTTATTTGCTGGTGGCTGTACGTATAGTGGAAGGAATTTGTGAGGTAAGCAATAAGAATGATTGCAATATTAGAAGTCTCCAAGTTCTTGAGTACTAATAAGGTCTGTTTGATGATACTATTAATTTATATGTATATATATTTTAATAACTGCAGGGAGTGACCTATCCATCCGTGCATGCAATATGGGCCAACTGGGCTCCACCTTTGGAAAGGTCAAAGTTAGCTACTATAGCCTTTTCGGGCAGTTTTGTGGGAACTGTAATTTCTATGCCAGTCGCTGGATTGATGACTGAATATCTTGGTTGGGCCTCCGTCTTTTATGTTTTTGGTGCTTTTGGCTTATGCTGGCTGATCCTGTGGTGGATCGTTGTTGCGGATAAGCCTGAGGATGATCCATACATCTCAGAAATTGAATTAAAATATATTAAACAGTCACTGGGTCATTCAGGTCCAAAAGAGGTGAATATGTCTTTACGGTGAAGATGGCAATTGTTGATTAACTCAGTATTACAATGCAAGATGTATATGACTGATTCCTCTTTTAGGAAGTTGTTTATCCATGGAAAAAAATATTCTTGTCACCTCCTGTCTGGTCTATCGTTGCTGCTCATTGCAGTGAAAATTGGGGATTTTACACTATGCTCACACAACTGCCTACTTACATGAGCGGCGAGTGAAGCTAATTGATTATAGTTTTTCCATGAAATGTATTGCCTTGTGAATTCGGTTGCATAATATTTCTTTATCTTTTTCAGATGTCTATAATTTCAGAATAGACAAAACTGGCTTCTTGTCGGCTCTGCCATATCTTGCTATGTCAATCATTCTTCTTGGATCTGGTCAACTAGCGGATTACTTGAGAACAAAAGAGATCCTGACTACGACTCAGGTTTGTACTCCAACAAGACAATATCAGGAAGCAATTACCAAGAATATCAATTATAAACAAATTGTTTCCCAGGTTCGTAAAATCTTTAATTGCGGTGCTTTCGTGTGTCAAACAATCTTCATGACGACAGCTGCCTTCATGACAACAGCGACTGGAGCTATTTTCTTCATTACCATGGCCGTTGGTCTTGGAGGTTTCGCCTGGTCAGGATTCAGGTGATTAAAGATACAGAATACAGATCTTTCTGAGATCCCAAAGTCACTAATACTTGACCTTCTTTTTTATTTATTTTTCCATGCGTAATTATGTCTATTACTTGTTCCTGGATGCGAAAACAACTGACTTTATACTTAATGGGACACGTACTGTTCATATAAGAGTTAAACTTTTTATTAGTGACATTTACGATCCACGAGTATATCCACAAAGTGTTGTAATATGTTAACATTAATTTATTACGTTCCAGTGTCAATCACTTAGACATCGCACCGCAACATGCCAGTGTCTTAATGGGTATTGGTAATACTTTTGCTACGATACCTGGAATAGTTAGTCCCTTGTTAACTGGATACATCGTGTCAAGTGGGGTATGAATTACAAAGATATTATTATCCCGTATGTCTTGTATTTTTTCAATTTTTATTGGGTATTGATTTTTCGTTTTTCTATATCTCTTAGTCGGCTGAAGACTGGAGGACAGTCTTTTTCATTAGTAGTGGTGTTTATCTAGTTGGTGCCATTATATATGGATTCTTCGCGTCTGGCGAACGGCAATCTTGGGCCATGGAGAAGAAAAATGATGATGTTGGCCATGACAACGTAGCAATGGAAGTAGATAAATTGTGAAAAAAAAGTTATATTTTTGTATGAATCTTTGTAAATAGAATCGGTTAATAATTATTTTACGTTAATGTATATTTTTCTTTCGTCTACTTCTTTGGAGTGCGAGACCAGTAAGACTGTAGTAACCGAAGAGAGAGACAGAAGAGAACGAAGTGAAAGGTTTTGACAACTGTCTATTCGAAGAAAACAGTTTCCAAGCGCGAGTGAGCGAACGGATCAAGAAGGTTTGAAATGTCGCTGTACAGAATGAAATCCAGTAAGGATGGTAGGAGAATGAAATTTTCTTAGACCAAAAGTCTTGTCACGTGATAGGAATGTATTTGATCTACTGCTAATACTTTTATACAGCGCTACTTACATATGTTTAACCCTAAACTTTATAAGTAGACTTATTCAACTGTCAATTTTACCAACGACTTCGAACCACTGTCTGAGAGCATCGCTCAGCACTCCTGGTAAAGCGTTTATGTCTCTGAGGATCATGTAAAACGGAAACGGAAAGCTGTCCATGTAGGATCGAATGCCAAGAAGTTTTCCACCTTGGAACATAGGCATTCTTATGTCCAATATTGAATCCTGCGATAGAAATATATCATTAAAACCATAGTCCTTCGTATAGGTAACAAATAATCTTACCTTATTAACTGGATTGTCAACTATGATGAAAACAAGAAATATATCAGCAAGTTTTGCTCTTCTGACAGCACGATTGACGCGGTCAGTTCCTTCAGAAAATACACCTCTGCCATCTGAGAGTACGACAAGTAACTTTGCATTGTCCGAGGAGGTAGGTTGGCTATCGAACATGTCAACAGTGAAATCAACCAATTGTCCCATCATGGTTTTCTTTTGCTCAAATCGCATCTCTTGCATTAATCTAAAATAGATTGATAAATGTAAAACTGTGATAAATGTGTCTTTTTAATTAGGTTAGTATATATACCTGGAGCCACTTTGTTCGGTGAAAGGTTCTCCCAGTGGATGAAGTACATTGGGTTCTTCACCGAAACTAATAACACACAGTTGTCCAACTTCTAAATAGGTCATAGCTTTGCTTATCAATGATAATGATTCAAATGCTAATTCCTTGGAGTGATTATCTGCCATACTACTGGAATCGTCAAGGGCTAAAACAATCTGGTAATCCCTTTTAGAAGGTTTAGTGCGCCTTAACCAAATTTTGTCTTTTCTAAACTGACTAGCAATGTATGGGATGATCTTTCTCATGTTAATCCGTCTACCAGTCCTGTAATCTCCTTTTAATCTAGATGCCTGTGTCGGTTCTAAAACTAATCTCAGTTTCTCTGAAAGATCTCTAGCAGCAGCATCGGTCACTGCACTTAAGCAGTTCCAGGCTACGGTGGCTTCTTCGGTAGGTGGGATATTTGTCCATTGACTCAACATTTTTTCAACCTCAAGACGTTTTCTTTCAATTTGTTTAACAGTTAAAAGATTTTCTTCAGTGTCAATGATGTTTGTGAAAAATGCAGACTCGTCACCTCTATCCACCCTGAGAGTTTCAGTTATGTCTCCTTCGACTTCTACCACAGTTTCCATTTGACCTTCTTCGGCATTATTTCCCTTTTCATTGGATTTATTCTTCTCCTTTTTGTCATCATTCTTTGGCATTTTTTCTGGATTTTGCTTAACAGCAGCTTCTTCCTCTTTATTCATTTCCTCCTCTTCATCTTGATGCATATCTATATCCATATTCTCATCTTTTTCCTCATCTTCCTTTTCATCCTCTCGATTTGCCACTTGTTGCTTACTTTGCTCTTCTGTAGCCGCGTCTTGTGCGTAGTCGTCGAATTTTTCTGTCTGCTTAACATGTTGACACATATCAGCTTCACCATCTTCTGTTCTCCGTTCACCTTCTTCTTGATTATCATCCTGTGGCATTTCATCTTCTGCATGTATCATCTTCTGCTTCTTTTTATCCGGTTCGATTCTGTCTAATAAGCTTCGATTTTCATCACTCTTTCCAGGATTCTTTCTCTTATCTTTTTGTTTATCCTCCTGTGGCCTCTCCGCCATTGGTACACTGTTCTGCATCGATGATCCTGAATGTCCTGAATCTTGTTGCTCGGATTGCGCCTGTCCGGTGCCTTTGTCGTTGTTGTCATCTTGGGTATTTTCTTCAGAAGCTTCTTGTTGTTCTTTATCCTCTGATTGATTTGCTATCTTGTCCCGGGATCCATCTTGTTTATTTTCTGCTTGCTCCGCAGCATCAGTTTCTTTGCTACCATCGTCGGCACTTGGTGTCGCTTTTTCTTCTTCCCGTTCTTTATCTTCTTCCGCATTCTTATCTGTCTCATCTTCTTGATCTTTGTTATCTTCTTCCGGTGCCTGAGTAGCTGTTTGTTTATCAGATTCTGATGCCTCTTCCTCCATTTTATCCTCTTTGTTATCTAGATCCTTTATATCTTCACGCGTATCCTCATTCTCTTCGTCACTGGAGTCTTCCGGAAGTTTATCGTCCTTTTTATCTTCATCAGTATTTTCAACTTCCTCTTTCTCTGGCGGCGGTTTAGCATCCTTCATTTCGTCAATGTCAAATGGATTATCTTCACCAGCTGGATTATCCTCCTTACCCTCTTCATCGTCCAAATTCATATCTTCCGGCAAATCCATGGGCTCTGGTTCCGGTTCTGGCTGATGCTTTCCATGGTATGGATCAATTTGATCCTCGTTAGTTTCCGGTTCCTCCATTTCATTTATTTCCTTCTTCTGCTCTTCCTGCTGTCCCTGTTCCTCACGTTCCTCCTCTTCATTCTTTCCATCATTACGCTCATCCTTAGCTCCCATTTCCTTTTCGCCTGTCTGCTCACCTTTTCCGGTTTCCTCTTTGTTCTCTTCCGTTTCGTCGTTTTCATTCTCAGCTTCATCTTCGTCGGCACCCCATATCTCTTCATCTAATTTATCAGCACCTTGTTCAGTCTCACCCATTTGCTTATCCAGATCTTCTTCTTCATCTTCTTTCTCACTGTTATCTTCATCATCCTCATTCTTCTCCAAGTCTTGTAACTTACTATCAAAGTCTTCAGACATTTCAATACCTTTATCTTCCTCTTTACAATCTTTATCAACTGGTTCTTCCTTCTCTTGCCCAGCTGGTCTCGCATCCTCCAGTTGATCTTCTGATTCTATCCTTTCAGAAACATCTTTCTGACCTTCTCCATCGCCCAGTCCCATACCACCCTTGTCAACGCCTTCCTGCTCACCATTAGCATCTCCCTCTTCCAAATCAAGATCCTTTGGAACGCAAAAACCGTTAGATGCCAAATCCAGGAACACGTTTAGCTGCAGGTGCAGGATTTTGCAAGTCACCCTGAAGGAAGCCACTTGTTCGTTCAAAAAGAACTGGGACAATAGAAGATACTGCTCCAACAATGGTAAACACTTACCAAGTAATCTAAAAAGAAAAGCCACATTACCATAGCATATAAAACTAACACTAATTGAAATACAATAAATTTAATTCTTACCGGTTACAACGATTAGCAGTATAAGAATCCACATCCTGTATCATCAACAGAATTTCATTCAACTGTTGTGAAATTTCACGGAGTTTCAATTCCCTTATATCCTTATCAAGCGATTCAATCAACTTCTCACGTAATCCATTTTCCTCATCATCCTCGTATTCATCATCTTTCTTCTCTTCATTCTTTTCGATCTCTTTCTCCTCGTTATCCCTTTCTTCAAGTATATCTACTTCAGCTATACTATCCTTGTACTTCTTCTGTATAGCTAATAGCAGCGTGTTCATAAGCTTTTCTAAATTAGCTTCAAATTTCCCAGGAATCTCATTAACCCCAAATTCATTTGTATCGCACGATGCGGTAGAAAGTTGTTGGAACTTAGTAATACCCTGCTCAATCTCTGTCATGAAAAAATAAATATTATCCAACAGAGGATGCGTCACATTCCTCTCACTCCCAAAGACTTTACCCAATTGACAAATAGATGCCTTAACATTTTCAAGAACCTTGCAAAATTCCATCAGCATCTTAAAGTGAAACGATGTAAGACTAGTACTTTGCTTGGAATAAGAATTATCCACTTTTACTACAACTTCCAACTGAGCACACGCACCGATGAATTTCTTAGCAGTAGTTTGTAGTAACATCAAAGAATCCCTTATGAGATTGTCAGCCTCCAACCAGACAGGATCGCCTTTCCTAGCTACAATAATAGGAACATCGTCAGTATCCAATGATAAAATTTCATTGCACAATTCAGAATCATTAACCGCTGGACAAGCCTGTAAATACAGTTGGACTTGTTCCAGACCACTCTGTACTGTGATCATCAACTGTTTAAATTGATCCACAGATCCTTTCAAATCATCTTGCTTTGGGGTGTAATCATCGTATCTGGAGTTCTTCAAATTTTCTAAATGTGTGCGCAACAATATAAAATGATTGTAAGCATCAGCCAAGGTTCTCTTCTGTTTGTGAGCCATCAGCATTACATGAGCTGAGTATCCTTTACAACGTTCCATGTTCTGCAGCCCCAAGTCTGTATTGTTGCTGGTAAGCAACGCGTTCAGAGCATTTATTTCTACGAGCGACCTATAGTAATACTTTTCACAACCCTCCCACTCAGTAAGCATCTGCTCGTCTATCTTCTTTATTTTCAACTGTTGCGCACTGGCGAATAAATTCACTGGCGGTACCGTTAAATCTATGATCGTGTCCCGTTTATTTTTCCAGGTCAAGACACCGGTACGATAAGATACGCCGATACGTGTTAGTCTCTTGAAATAGTCTGCCAGAGCCATTTTCTTCTGCTGGAGAATACTCTTGGCTTGGGATTTTTGTTTTGGTTTTGGCAGGGTACGATCAACTTCTAAATTTCTTAAATGAACACTACGATCCATTGAATCCTCAATTAGTTGTTCTAATCCTGTTCGTAAGCCTGGATAGGATGACATTAGAATTGTTTCGTTGCACAATTTTCTAGATTTGTTCAATAATTTGTCAGCTCGTGATATGAGATCTGTTTTTGTTGATCCTGAATCGAGGTTGTATTGCTCTTCTGTAATTTTTGGTAGAATAAAGTGTTGGGGATTTATCGTAGCTATTCTTTCGCTTTGACGATCCCAAATTCCTTTGTCTGCCTCTGCATTGTATGGTAATGGTTTTATTATCAAACAACCTGCTACACTCTCCTTTAAACCGGTTTCGAATTCCTTTATGAACTTGTGTAAAGCTCTATGTGTCTTTTCCACAGTTTCCTTTATTGCCCAGTAACTGATATCGTTCCACCTAGCTATCTTAACATAATCCTTCAGTTTCTTCTCTATGGGAGCTTTCAGAGTATTGATCTTTCCGTTTACGTTGTTTCTAAACTGATCGTAATAATGATATACGTTCCAGAGAATAGCTAAAAGCTCCTCACGTTCCTGACTAGGATTCAAATGATATACATGACAATGGAATGTCAAAAGTAAATCCAACCTGGTATTAAACTCCACTAGATTAGATTGATTAACAAATAATTCCAATGATTCTATCAATTTCTTAGGTGTTATCGGTTCCTCCTTATCAGCATCCCCAGTTACTTCTGACTCAGTATCATTGGTCATCTGCGATGATGGTTTGGTAATGTAACATTCTATCAGTGCGTAGAGGAAGAACCACCATTTTGAAGTCTGCGATCTCAAATGCTCTTGAGAAACATTAAGGCAATCTTTCCAGCATGCGAGTTCAAGTTTTCTCCAAGATATAATCTGCTGCGTCAATGATAAAGAGTATTCTAGTAAACTGACACCGCTGTGTGCATTTTCCTCCCACTCTTTCATCTTGACTAAAAGTAATTCCAATCCAGTCAAGAATCTGGATACTGAAGATGTCACTGGAAAACTGTATACTCTCTGTGATATAATCTTTATCGATTTCAGGGTAGGATGTTCAGGCCATTCTAATAACAGCTCGTCAACTCTATTTATAATACGTTCTAACAATAGTAAACATTGGTTACTCTCTTCAACGTTACTATCCTTGTAAAAATCATATGATTTGCGTTGTTTCATTTGGATATTAGTCTTATCTTCGTTATCAGGATCAATACTGGTGCCCTGACTAAGGGATGCTGTTACTGCAGTTAAAAGATTTAGACTCGTGTAAAGCTTAGGCGTTAGATCAGCCGTTAAAGCAGGATTGACGTTGTCTAATAAAAGACCAAATGTCTTATATCTTTGAATCAATGGTTTCATGTAATTTGATCCACTGATAGTTGAACTGTTCTTCAACCATTGACTCCTCGTGAATGAGACGACGATACTGGAATGCATTTCCTGCACTTCCTTGACGTCGTCCTCTGTTATCAATGCTTCAAATCGTTCTGTCTCTTCTGCAAGTTCCTCTCGCTGTTCCAAGGATGGTTTATCTATACTGTCAATGTCAGAAAAATCAGCGTCACGATACGTAGGGAATAAATTACGAAGTTCCTGCTTAATCTCTTCTTCATCCGTTAAAGATTCACCCTTTATCTGTGCTTGATTCTTGTACAAACTCTCCTTCTCTGCCTCGCGTTTCTCGAGCTCAGCTTGTTGCTGCCTCCAGATCAGGACGATTTGCTGTAGTAATTTATTTAGCTTCGACCACATTGGCCGACTGAGTTCCTTGCCCAGTGCAATGTGATTGTAGAGTTCACAGAGACCGGATTTCATGATTCTAAATTGTTCCTGCAGAGAAGCGAAAACGTTGCCGGCATTGAGATTCTTGTTAATGAGTTCTCGAGTAGCCGGAGACGTGCACAGGTCTACTAGTTCTAATAAATTGGTTTGCTCGGGACCAATACTTGGAAATCGCACTAGATTGTACAGCAGAGACTCGACCGTGTATGAACCAAGACTCGTTCGAGCCAAGGATATCAATTTCTTCGTTTCATTCGCCAGTATCCGTATCCCGTGCTTCAATTGAGTTACGGAAGATAGTAAAGGCAGCACTATATCCGGATAACCCGGTAGAAATTTATTTTCTATTTGCTCAGAAAAACGTTCCAAGGATTCCTGCCACATCTCTGCCTGCCGTGTAGCATCCTCAGCCATCCTTACTCTCAAGCCATTCGGTTCTTTCTGTAGCCGCGCAATCACATCCGTTAGTCGTTCTACGTGGTTACGCACAACATCGTAAGAGCCTAGAGTGTTCCGGAAGCTAGCGGTTTCCTTAGCCAACGCAGTGAATTCACTAGGTGATCTATTAACCTTACTGAAACTCTTAAGATCGTCCTTCTCCTCCAGTAAGTTCCTAAGACTGTTCTTCATCTCCAGAATACGTGGATGCTGGTTGCGACTATCTAAATCATCTCCGAGAATTCGCGAGTTCAGTAGCGCTATGTAAATCGTACTCTTACAGTCCACTATGTCTTCCTCGAGGTAACGTTGTCTGAGTCCCATTTTGAGGACAGGATCGATATGGCCCACATTGCCAAAAAGGAAGACCTGGAGGTAACCAAGTAACGTCCACGCTTTACCTCTGTGCAGGATATCATCTTTGATTTTTTCCATAGCTCCCAACTTCGCTGAAAGTTCACCAAGTTCAGCCAGTGGTTCGAGATAGTCGCGCTCCAGTCGAGATATCAGATCATTTTTCTTGTCGATAACTTCACTCTCTATTTTTCCCATGACGATGCTCACTGCGCCCTTGTCCATCTTCTCCATCTTATCAGTCGCTGATAGGAATACGCTCAAGTGATACTTGAGCGTGCCAATATCATTAAGAGCGTAATTATATTGCTCCGAGTTCAAAGACGCGCTATTCTGCCATAGGATCTCGTTGAGGATTCTTAACTGATTTATTCGCGCTCTATATGTTCCTAGAGTGGCCATAGCTAGCACTGATTGCTCCCTAGCACTTGAAGTCTTATCTAATATCAATTCAGATATTAAATTCACCAGTATCGGTCCTTCGATCGGATACTCCACCTACGATTACAATATATAATTAATTGATAAAGAATAAGTTTCATTAATTAAAATTTCATTAATGTACCCACCTCCGTGTCATCTGAAGCTACCATAAACTTCTCAATGTCTTCTTCGATTATTCCATTCCAGTGTAACAATCTGTTAGAACCTTTGACAGCGTAGGAGGAATGTGCGAAACGTGTGAGCCAAATGAATAGCTCAGGCATTAATTGATTCCGCTCGATGGGGTTATCGATCTTTATTAGAATCGCATTTAAAACAGCTAACAGGTTTATGGGTATGCTTGGAATTTCAGCAAATTTTGGAAAGAGACAAGAAGTCCTGTTCATATCCATTTCATTGTTTAACATTTTCTCGGATACTCTTTTCTGAAGTGACGCTGTCAATATTAGGAACATGTATTCGTATATTGGCCACAGTTGCACCCTGGCGGCCATTAACGTCAATTCCTTCTCGTTGATGTCGTGCACTCTGGCTACTACCTGTGAAATCTCCACGGAATTTCTCAAAGACAAATAATTCCCTTCGCAATGTTGCACAATCTCCGAAGTCGTCGATAACGCGGCATCGTTCAATTCTTTGCCCAGGTAAATATCGTGCCAAAGGGTTATCGCTTTGGATCTTGCTTCTAGAATTTCCTCGAACTGAAGACAAGCAATTTTCAATTCCTGTTTCAATTTATTACCCGCCTGTCTGTCCTTCCACGTAGAAAAATTGTTTGACACATTTTTCAATATCTTATACACACTCAGAACCTCCTCGGACGAATATGGCTGTGGTAGATCCAGATATAACTTTATCTTCCTTGACAATTTACGAAAACGATCCTGCACCGTTATCAGACTTTTGTTTATCTCTGTTATCATAGCGCGCAGTGAGTCAATCTCGATGCTGCATTCGTCCCGAAGCGCCAGGTCCTTAGAGAGTTGAAATATATTTTCCAAAAATTTTATCAACCACTTGTAATGGACTCTTAGTAGCCAAGAGATCTGATCGAGATTCTCATATCGACTGCTTGACTTCTTTAATTTATCTATCAGAGTAAACTCTCCAAGCTTGTAGAAACGAGCGCGCCATTTCAAGTTTCTTCTTATCTCTACGTATCTCTTGTTATCGACTTTTACTGCAGCATCCTTGAGTATCAGGTAAATGCATTTGTCCAATTGTGCAAGGAATATCACAAAGTTAGTTATCAATGGCTGATCGTTTAATTGCGACGTGAGCATACCTATATCAATTATAATTTTTTAATACACAATACTCTATTATTTATTACTATATCATTATATTTAATACTCACCATAGTACACGGCATTGGAGTACTGTATGATTGACATGATTTTCTCGTTCTTTGAAGTGTTCAATGTTTCTAGCAATTTACCATCCTTTATGCCTAATGCTTCCAGATATAAAAGCAGCGCAAGTCTGTTGGAGTCAGAGATATTTTCGAATTTTGACACGTCCGTAGAAACTCCTGGCACTTGGGCAAGATCCCAGGGCAGTGTGTTTACAACGGAATGAAAATTAAAAGTCGATATTTCCTTTGCCAATGAAGCACTTTTCGCATTAAACTTCTCTAAAGCTTCCTCGTCAATCAATATTTTTGCCAGCCATTGATTTCTCAGGTTGACGTTATCCAGGGAAGACGTCTCGTAGAAGCTTAACAGGAGGTACGGTAGAATTTCCAAGAGTTCGACACGTAATGTAAATTCGTGAATGTTTTCAAGTTGAAAAAATTCATTTAAAAATTCTGTCGTCAATGCAGAATCGTCGGTGCTCTCCGTTGAAGATTTTAATAGAAATTTGTATCTGTTAACAATGGCAGATAACAACGATCCCTGCTGTCTGATTAAAGTTAATTTAGAATTGTCCTGAAGATTGTTAACGTTCAAAGTAACAGCATCCAAGTCAAGATACACGTCATTGCTCTGATTATCAACAGTGAAGTTATTTAATGTTTCATCGATTCTTGAAATCAATCGATCCTTTATCTGCGAGTGACCCAATGATCGAGCTTTTACGTAAACGTCAATACAGGCAGTACGAAAAGCTTCCTTCACTGGGAATCCACGTGATATCTGTTGACTTATCAGGAAAGCAGCCTGAACCAATTGTATCACACTGAGTTTATCAACAGTGAAACTATCATTGACCACATGTTGATGAATCTCTATCAATGTATTTTGATACGAAGATCTAGTCAATCCAGAGTCATAAAGCATCGATTTAAGATCAATTAAATTCTCATGGGAATTGCCTCCGTGTCCAAGCATACAAATTTCGACTCCTCTGTTTCTCATTGCTCTGAAAATACAAAAAGTGACGTGTAGCCTTATAAAACTTTTATCTTAATAACTTTTATGTTTCACAGGTAAAAACCTACCTGGAAATTTCACCGTAACGTGGATCCATCGTAAGGAACAAACGAAAATCCTTGTGTGGTTTTACGGTGACAATATTTCCAGAATTATCAACACCACGTTCGCCTATACTAAGGACGCCAGCAGGTTCCAGTAATCCATTAAGTCTATCGAGAACAGCTGGGCTGCAAAGATTAACTTGATCCACCAACAGCCACGAGCCTTCTTGCAAGCACTGTAAAAGCGTAAGTCATTATCGATACGGTCAGACAGTTTCAGTTATAACGATAGGGTAGTAGTTGCTCTCCTGATAAAGAGGTTTAATGTCTTTTTCTTCTCTATCCTAAACTCAAATATCATCCGGTATCCTCTGTAAAATACAATCTGGCGAATCGTACGGATCTCTAAGTGACAGAATCGATAATCTCTAATGTCGATAGTCTAGATAATACATAACGCTTCGTTACCTTCACAAGGACGCTATCGACCCACTCAAACTTTCCTCCAGCATTCAAAGACTTATCCTGCTCGACGAACAGCGATAATTTGTGTAATTTAAATTCGATTTTTTTCAATTCAGACTCCATCGACGGCTCCAGCTTTTCCATGGCGTTCACCCGACTAGATAATTCCTTACACTTTTTCAAGAAGAGACCACTCTCCGCTGACATCGTCGTGGAATCCTCAGCATCTAAGGATACAAATAATATAAAGATCATACTTGTATCGATATAATTATTGATTTATCACTGCCTGAGATAGCCATAATGGAATTATAAATTAACTAATTAAGATCCAGCATCGATTAACAAACCTTGTGAGAGATTTCGTATTTGCTCCAAATAACTCTGATGGGTCTCTATATCCTTTAGACTTTCTTTGCTTATCTTCTTTTTGCAAATGTCCTTCAGCAGATTTTCCACCTGCTCAAAAATCTGCTCCAAGTGTCGGTTATAGTCAGTCTGTAAAAGAAAAGGGAATCAATGTTTATAATAACCCATACATTTTCAATGAGTTAATTACCCAGAGCTAAAGTCCATCTTTATAGGACATTTTAAAGTCCTGTGACAGGGGTGGATTTTCTGTAATCCGGACCAAATGTTTTGGTAGGAAGAAATTGATCACTGGGACTGAGGGACTCTTGTAAAGTTCTGATCGTGTGGGGTGAGGAAAGAATAAATTTTGTAAAAGAAGCTAATAAAAAATATATATATAATAAATACTGGTAACAATATTTACTAGTAACTAATATTTTTACAGATAATATCTTAATGGAATCTTGACACCAGCATGTTATATAATTTTCTGCAATTACACAGGTGCGCGGCTACATTCGATCTTGATTAATTTAATTGTCAAAGTTCCAATAGTCACCCACGTTATAGTCCCTCTATCCTTGTGCCCACGTAGTAACACATATATGTACCTTCCACCCCAAATACACCCTCCGTATACATAGCTATACATATAACATCAATTCCGGGCAGACAATTTAATTCCTGGCAATGTTTTTTTTTTATTTATCCAACTCATATCCGAAAACCCATAAACTCTCCCCCAAATCTGCAAAACGTAATTTAACGAAGGGCTTTACCCTTTTTTCCCTCTCATTTTCAAATGGAATACGTCAGTCAGGATTATCCTGACGTCAAACCGCTGGTCTATCGATCTTGAATAAGAATGATTGATACCATCTTTCTCACACCAGATAACGATAAGATCGAAGCAGTATGTGAATTCACTATGTATGTATACACACCACTTTCCAAGATTATATTTCCTCCCTTTATTTATCCTCGTAACACGTCATTGGGATGACAACGGAAAGCAATGAAAAATGGTGCTTTTAATTCCTCCTGTAAACTCACTTCTGATAAATAGATTCAGGCGTACTTCGCTACTTACAGAGAACCGCAGGAACGCCTTGTAGCTACGTCAAGTGAAATTGCATTCTCGTTTCTTTCCAGGCCAGCAAACGTTTTCTCGATGTAAGAAATTCTTATTCGAATAGCGACCAAGTTTTAAAAAATCAAAAGTACTATCCGTCAAACTGAACCACTTTGCTGTATAATAATTTTTCGGCTAAAATGGTCTCATAGTACCGTAAGTAGGTAAGGTAGAGAAGTGAGGTTAAGTAACTTCAGGTTAGGTAGATAGGGTAGGTAAGTGAAGGAATGCAAATTCTCTCGGAGAATTTACGATGGAATTTCAAGCAACCTCCGACGGTGGTTGGACTGTGTATATATATAACTACACAGTAGCAGAGAGCATTAAAGCATTTTAGAAAAATTGCTCGAAACACAAACTTTTACGTATTCCATGCACGCTGTAGAATCGGCCATGAATAAGAAGCAGTTACTACGTGAGAGTATAGGGCGGGAAATAAATTTGAAATTTCAAATTGAAAGGTAGTCATTGTAAATCGGTTAATTTATTTGACTTTATTTTTCGGAAATTAAGTACCGGGGAAAAGAAAATGACAAACTTCGTATTTCGACCCGTATGAAAATTTTTTACTACGCTTTCGCAAAACCTGCGATGAATAGCTCGTTAGGGCCTCTATAAATTATTTTTCCCTTACTGTACAGCGAATTTCAGTAGTGCTTATTTAATGCTCGGCACGAGATGATACTTTAAATATTTTATCAGATTTCCGAGAAACCGTAGAAGCGTCCGTATCTCTTCTGTCTCTCTCCCCTTTTCTCTCTCTCTTTTTTTCCTATTAGACCCGTGCCAAAGTACAGATCGATTTTAGGGAGTGATGTCAGATAAAGAGGATACACGGCTTTTTCCGTTCCGGATAGGAAAGAGCCTTATATATGGCCCTGTATTATACATCTATATACACAACAGCAAACGTAGGATTCTAATACAGTCTAAACATAGAGATCAATCCGAGAATAGTTATCCCTCGTATACTGACTCCCTCCGAGTATATATCGAACCGCCAATGGAAACCGGCAATTTCGTGTCTACGATTACCCAGTGACTTAAATGTCAATAAAAAAAATGCTACGAAGAATAACGAGTTACCAAAAAGAAATATAAAAAAATACATGAGAATCACGTCGATCATTCTCTGCTGTATCGAGGTATGGAAAAAGAAAGCTTGAAAAAAATGCCTAATTCTAACCTCAAAATCCGGGAGCCTTTTCTAATTTAGTCTTTTGTTTCTGCGGCGGGAAGTTTCGAAGTGCCCTGGTCGAGTGGCCTGGCTGGAAAAGTTTAACGAGTGCAACTGGAGAACTCTGGGAAATACAAATTGCAATGGAGGAAGTGCAGGAGGCTTGGAAGGGAAAATGGATGTTATAAGTGCAAGCCTAAGGGATGACGTTGTGAAGGAAACTCGTGAGGGTCAGCGACGTTAAAAAGAGTAAAGTTGATAAAGCCACGCAAGTGCTTATACAATTTATATATACACATACAGTTGAAGTTCCTTTCATTCGTTCAAATTTTTTTTCTCTGAATGACGACAACCTCGGACTATGGATACAGATGAATAGAACGATCCTGAATGATACAGGGGGATGCTGTACCCTTATCACAATTTTTATATTACGCATCCAGCCTGCAGGGTATCTCTATACAGTGCCAAGAGTCACATTCACTTGGGTAACCCCTTTCTCTCAATGGCGGGAAAATTCAAACCTTTATTACATCAGCCGGAAAATATCCTCGCGTGCTTTCTGCTGGATTGAAAGCGGCCCTTATATTTGAAAAATGTTTTTTTTTTTTTATTTATAAACTCTGTACTTTACCGTAAAGAAGTTATCTACCCCGAAGGATACTGAAAATCGTAAAATTCACCTCAGGTATTTCTGAACTGTTGGTCTTAAAGAAAAAGTAGAGTCCCAACTAAAAGTCTGTCCAGGCTGATTGTTCAAAGGGACAAATATTTTGTTTGTACGGTACTGACGTCACGCTTTATAGTTACACCGATTTATATATACAGAAGTGTAAAACAAGACTGTAAAATACAAATTTACTATTACAGTCACAAAGGCATGTAAAGTCGTCGTACAGTCTGTGCAACGAATTTTATCATTTTTCCCTATAACGAGTCATTTGCAGTGAACTTCGCAAGTGCAAGACTAAGGGATGATACTGTCAGGCATTATTGATGTTATTTCTAAGATTATGCTTAACGAGTTTATAATTTCGTTAGCGTAAACGACAATCGACGATTGTCTCGCTGTATAAATTCCCAATAGGTTCGTAACTACTATAACTGCTATAGGCGTTTCCAACCCTGTATAATTGATCTTTGTCCTTATGGTTATTATTTGGCTATGAAAATGTGGATGCTGGGTACAGTACCTGTAGATAATAGATATATACTAAGAAAGAAATCTTTGGACGTCCCGAAAGGGGTATTGGGTTAGAAAAATAAAAAAAAAATTATAATGAGATTGATATCTCAAGGGATGCTTGTAGTACGAATACTACAGGGTGGATTTTAAGGGTTGAATATGTACAGTGTGTACATATATAGGCAACATTGACATCATTAGCAACCCTCTTGCCAAGGTTAATTACTCGTTATTTATAGGGTGAGAAATATCTTAAGCCTCGTTCACAATGTCGATTCAATGCCAAGAACCGCTATGGGTCCATTATCAATGTATTCTCTTAGGAGATTAACGGGTGGTCGTTTTATCAGGGACTAATTTATTTCTCCTGTCTGTGGTTCTTGTCGTATATTTACACCCCTTATAAAAGGGGTATAAACACGAGGGGAATCCAAGGTTTCATAGTTAATTGACAAAAGTCCCCTTTTGAGTTTCAATATTCCTCGGGGGTGGGGGGGGGGGGGGAAAAAGAAAAAAAAAAAAAAA